GAATGGTGCTCAAAACATAGATATATAGATTTTCAGACACAATTATATATACCAGTCAGGTCTCGAATTACCAGTAGTTTATTCTGATAAACGTTAAACGTACTGGGAGAATATACACACTTCACGGTCCAAATCATACATGGAACCGTTTAGTTCTATCTAAAAAAGTTACTACTTCTTCTGGTGATTGTAGACCGTACATTTATACCTTAATTCTACAAAGCCTTAGAGTCTACAAAGCCTTAGATTTGACTCAAGAAAATGTTACTTTAGTTGATGTTAAAAACTTAATCGACAGATCGAAGCATGATGACTAACATGTCAATTATTGTGTTGTAATTGGAAAGTCGATGCATAATAAAATCATTGAAAGCTCTTTAGGTTACTTGGGCATTATTAATACAAATTGATGTTAGTATTTGTTTAATGATATGATGAACTGCGGCATCCTAAATTTGAGTCGATGTAATGTCTTCCGCGTGTAATTTCTTAGTTTTTGCAGTATTGCCTGTGTTACATTCTGATATTTATAACTTATGATAAAGGATTTAAAACCACAGGATAGAAAACAGACTAATCAATATATTGCTGGACGTCCGTAATTTTATTTCATTGTCTTAAGAAAAGAGAGGTTTACTTGTAAAGCTGTTTTGAAGAAAAATATTCAAATAACTTGCCAGATATTGGAGCTTCAGAAGTATTTCTTATGGAACTAATAATACAACGTAATCTTGATCTTCCTAATGCATACTTTTCGCGATCCAATGCATTAAAAATTGATGGACTAAGACACTGTTTAAATGAGGACAATGTTAATTTTTTTCCAAATTGGTCATGTTACAACATTCAACAAACAAATTTTGCTTTATGGTTAACATATATATAACCATTTTCAATTCATTTTGTCATAATTTTGTTTTCTGGAGGGAGGGAGCTAAACATAAACAAAATTACAAGAAAATTATGATATTTTATTTTTAAAGAACTTTTTTTATTTTCAATTAAAAACGGAAACAAAATACACTTAAATACACCACATAAAAAGTATGTTTAGACCATTAAGCTAATATTTTCTTGTATACGCCGTTATTTTAAATAAGAATTATAACACGCCTGTAAAAAATCAAAATCTATATAAAATAGTTTCGGGGAAAGCAATTAATTTAAAAGCAGATTTATAATTAAAAGTTCTGTTATGAATTATATAATTGTTATGAAATTATATATATTAATGTAATTATACTCTGCAATATTAAGTGATATACACGATGTAAGAATGGTAACTTAAAATGCTTCATATTATACCATAGAAGCTCTACACTATCACGATGTCTTAGAACTGTTTACCTTAGTTGTCAAACCTTTAAAACCCTGATAGAAATAGCAATGACTTTCATTGGATGATTCTGGCAAAAACGAAGGCAGATTTGCTCTTTGGTTTTACTTGCGGTAATTGCAAAAAGAAATAGAAAAAATAGCCAACCTTAGAGTTCACTTTTAAGTTTGCTTGTTAACAAGATACATGTAATTATAAAAATTATATAAAAGATGGATTTTAAACAAACACGTCAAAAAATATATTGTAACATTAACATGATCATTTTGTCTATCAGAAATGTTTAAGTAAGAATCTATTATTTCTCAGAGTTTTTCAATAGCACAATTGAATTTAAACAAGAGAATAACGATGGCTTTTCATAAAAGTAAAATAAGCTGGTCCAAACAGTAATTTATCACTTCATATTTGCACTCTTTATGTCATTGAAATATTGAACGTTTTTGAAACAATTTGAATACAGCCAAGTTTGTCTTTGTTTATGGTTTCAGAAGGAAGCCGAGTTAAACTCGCCTATAAGAACCATTTCATTTATGTAGTCCTTTTCCTCTTCCATTGTAATTTCAATATTTTCATACAGGTGTAATAGTTCTGTTACTTGTCTGTGAAGTAAATGAAAGTATAGGCTGTTCCTCCATTGAAATGTTTCTGTCAGATTTATCATCCTCTGTACTGGAATAAAATTGATTCTATAATTAACATTCAAAGCACATATCTTTGCAACATAAACTATCAAGAGTGCAATCAACTTAACAAAAATGCATTACATAACATCTAATAAGGAATTACACATTTATAAGCTATATAACTAACAACCAATGAAAACTGAACCAAAATGACCTCGTAAATGAACTCACACATTTTTGATTATGAGAGAATGTTTAGCCTAAATTTCATCAGTGATTTCACTAGTATATTACAGATATTCTTCTAGAAATGTATTACATTGTCAAATGAAAGTTAAATTAACTATGAAATTCTAAATAGAATAAGGGAGTGTTGAAATAATGGTCCAGATCTCAACCGAGGAATAGTGGGCTCAAGTACGTCCATGTTGATTGTTGAACAAAGATTCTTTGTGAATAAAATATTATTAAGTTGATTTACCCTAAAATGAGTCCTGTATTTGACAATTTATCAATCACCTGTGCAAAAGGCACGTTGAACCATTTCATAACATAATCAATGCAGTGTGCAATGGTGGGACGTACACAAGTCATTGCAATGAATTCGAAATTACAAATGTTTAGGCTTAATTATAAAATAATCCTTTTTAATTTACTTACCATTGTTTTCCAAGCAACTTTTTTTCAACAAAATGGCGGGCGCACATGTGTGTACATTCGGAATACTTCTATTTGATCCATATACATAGACTTAGACTGCCAATAAGCAGTTAGCAGTAGGCAGTGAGCAGCAGGCTGTCCAGTAAGCAGTAGGCAGTGAGCAGTAGGCTGTCGTTTATGGAATTCCGTAGAAAAGAGACTCTTGATTACTTAAATTTACTTCATGTCTAACTCTAATATCCATGTGTACATGTATTTTACCATTTTCCTACATAAAAACGGAATAGTCTCTTACGTCAAAACATATTGACGACAGAGACCGTGGATGTTCGCGGATACCGTTGATAGGTTGGCCCAAAACAAGGCCGAGCACTTGACTTGCTAATTGATATGTTTAAGCCTTAACATGAACACCAATGATGTCATGTTGAATTGTGGTTACACTAGTGTAATATTCATTTTCATGTAATGGCTTTTTTATACTTCTGTGCATGAATAAAATAAAAGTCTATTGATTAATCCTCTTTAGCCATTGCTTTAACCCTAAAATGCATAAAGTCAAGTTCATACAAGAAAGGCATGATGGCCCTGATCGCTCACCAGAAACAACTGGGTTTTTTTAGTGATTACAGAAATAAATTTTTCAAATAAACTTGTAGAAAGACAAGTCCAGCTCAGTTTCAACTTGCCTATCTAGTTATAAAGTTTCCCGACACTGATTTTTTTCTTCAAAGTAAAACAAGAGGGCCATGAAGGCCCTAGATCGCTCCCCTGACCCATCAACCACTTCCAAGCAATGTCTTAGACGAGCATCCTCATCAAAATTGGTCAAAAATGTGACCTCTAGTGTGTTAAGAAGTTTTTAAATATTTGGGCAGTGTGACCTAGCTTGTGACCCATATTCAAACTTCACATAGAAATCATCAAAACAAGCTTCCTGGCCAATTTCCAGGATATTGGGATCAAAACTGCAGCCACTAGAGTGTTAACAAGCTTTTTCTATTTTTAGCTCATGTGACCTAGTTTTTGACCGGATATGACCCATCTTGAAACTTGACCTAGAAATCATCAAAACAACCTTCCTGACAAATTTCCAGAATATTAGGATCGAAACTGCTGCCACTAGAGTGTTAACAATATTTTAAGCTCCTGTGACCTAGTTTTTGACAGGAGATGACCCATATTCGAACTTGACCTAGAAATCATCAAAATAAATTTCCTGACAAATTTCCAGGGAATTTGGATCAAAACTGCAGCCAATAGAGTGTTAACAAGCTTTTTCTATTTTTAGCTCCTGTGACCTAGTTTTTGACCAGACATGACCCATCTTCGAACTTGACATTGAAATCATCAAAACAACCTTCCTGACCAATTTCCAGGAAATTTGGATCAAAACTGCAGTCAGTATAGTGTTAACAAGCTTTTTCTATTTTTAGCTCATGTGACCTAGTCTTTGACCAGAGATGATTCATCTTCGAACTTGACTTAGAAACCATCAAAACAACCTTCCTGACAAATTTCCAGAATATTTGAATGAAAAGAGTAGCCACTAGTGTGTTAACAAGATTTTTCTATTTTTAGCTCTTGTGACCTAGTTTTTTTACCAGAGATGACCCATATTCAAACTTGAGGAAGAAATCATCAAAACAACCTTCCTGACCAATTTCCAGATATTTGGATAAAAACTGCAGCCACTAGAGTGTTAACAAGATTTTTCTATTTTAATCTCCTGTGACCTAGATTTTGACCAGAGATAACCCATCTTCGAACTTGACCTAGAAATCATCAAAACAACCTTCCTGACAAATGTCCAGAATATTTGGTTAAAAACTGCAGACACTAGGGTGTTAATAAGCTATTTCTATTTTTAGCTTATATGACCTAGTTATTGACCGGACATGACCTTCGAACTTGACCTAGAAATCATCAAAACAACCTTCCTGACAAATTTCCATAATATTTGGATCAAAACTGCAGCCACTAGAGTGTTAACAAGCTTTTTCTGTTTTTATCTCCTGTGACCTTGGTTTTGACCCGAGATGACCCATCTTCAAATTTGACCTGTATTTCATTGACACAAACATTCTGACAAAGTTTGATGATGATCCAATTAAAACTGTGACTGCTAGAGTGTTAACAACCCAATTGTTGACGACGACCGATGCACAACGCACGACTACGGACGCCGGACATAGCCCCATCTCTATACCTCACCTTGACCACTTCGTGGTCAGGTGAGCCAAAACGTTATATCAAAAATATTTACTGTACAAAAACTCTAACCAGGAAAGACAAAGAATTTATTAATATTTTACGCCTGTAACTCAAAATTATTTTAACATATTATTTTAATCGATCTATTTATATTGTATTTCAAGGTAGCCATGGCTGTTCCAGGTAAAAAAGCCACCAAACAGTTTTCATCGTCAACAATCTCTAAGGGTTCTGATGAAGATCTTAAAATCTACTGTCAGCCATGTGATCGGGATGGACCTAGGCTTCCGGCTCATGGTTATTGTGTAAACTGCTCAGAACATTTGTGTGAAACATGTTTTACAGTTCACAGAAGACACACATTGTCAAGGCACCATACTCTACTAGACAAATCCAGCATGCCACAGACCCTGTCACCTTTGTCACAGAGACCGTCAGATAACTTCACAAAACCATGTCCTAAACACAACATTGAGATGATCAAGTTTTACTGCCATGATCATAAGGCTCTACTTTGCAGTGTTTGTGTTACACTTGAGCACACGGCATCATCTTGCAATGTTGATTATATACCTGACATTTCAGGCCAGATCATCAAAAGCGAAGAGTACCAAAGTGTATTAAATGAAATTGACGACATAACTAAGAAATGTAGCAAAACGCTCAAAGATATAAAGAAAAAGAATGATGAATCAAACAAGTCTTTGACAGATGTAATGACTGACATAATGAAATTCCGAACAAAAATCAACCAGAGACTAGATGAATTGGAAAGACAAGTATGGGAGGCTGCAAAGGCTATCCAAGAGGACAATAATAAGCACTTGACGAAAGTAGAAACAGTATGTGGAGATGTGTCAAAATCTATGAAACTATCATCTGATGCCATTAAGCATTTAAATACACCAAGCCAAGCCAATGATTTGTTCATCGAATTAAAAAATGCCGAAAAGATGATGAAAGATAATGCACAGAGAGTTTCTAAACTCTCAAAATTTAACATCAAAGAATACATCTTTGAACAGAATGAGTCAATAGCAGATTTTCTTGATAAAGAGAAGTCAATAGGAACATTAAAGAGTAAAACATTTAATCCTGCTTTGAAGTCCAGACAATGTTCACTAACGGATAAAATATGTATCAAAACATCACAAGATACGAGTAGTAATGCTTGTTGGATAACAGGAATTACCAATCTTACTCCTAACATTCTTATTATCACAGAATATCATAACGTGGCCGTGAAAATGGTTGATATCAGCAGAAAGTCTGTACTAGCTCAGCATTGCTTTGACAGTCAACCTTGGGATGTCACATCAGTTTCAGAAAATGAACTTGCTGTTACATTTCCAGGGAATCGTTCTATACAATTCATATGTGTTTCTGGAAATAACTTGAAGAAGAAACAAGCTATTAAGGTTGATGGACTATGTTGGGGTATTAGCTATCAAGAAGATAAAATGGTGGTGTCATTAAGTAATCCTGCTAAAGTTCAAATCCTTGCTATCAACGGGACTGTGTTACATACAATCGAAGATGAGAATATTTTCAAACGTCCTGACAACATTGCCACATGCGACAATGGTATCTACATATCTGATTGCGGAATGAAAACAATTACTAAGTTAAACTGGCAATGTGAGGTGAAAGGTGAATATGTTTGCACAGTCGATCCACGTGGCTTGACAATGTCAGAAGACTGGACCGTGTTTGTTTGTTATCCTGACAACAAAACCATTGGAGAGATATCAGACGACTGCAATGAAGGACAAGTTGTTGTAGATGATAAACAACTGAAGCCCTGGGCAGTCCACTGGTCCGATGAAACAAGTTCTTTATACACAAGCACCCAAAGTTCATCAGAAGATGATAACTTTATCAAAATCTTTAAATTGTCTAAATAAGGTCAGAAAATCTTCTACAAAGAAGGAAAAAATATAATACAAATGTATAATCAATTAATCATGTTATATATAGATATGGCAAGTGGTTGGAATATACGCTTTATGAACTTGATAAAGTTATAAACTGATTATAAACAAGTTAAATGTATATAATACTGGTGTTACAAAATATGAGGAAGACAAGACAGCAGTTAATTAACCATTTTATCTTTACATTGTCAACAGTTGAAAACAAAATTGTTAATCAACAACTATATTTGGATTTATATGTCAATGTATATATTTTGATATCAGATATTGTTGACATATTAAAATTACAAAGGGGCCACTGGCAGAATGGTATTTGTGTAACAAGATATAAGCTAATGTAAACTATAACTGGTCCTGTATACTTTAAAGTTAGCAGGACCTACTACCCTATGAATTAATTGGCAATAAATGTACACAAGAGAACTCATAAAAATCCCTATATAAAGCTACGTAGCATTGACGGCTCCCAGAAATCAAAGCCACTGTGACCTTTGCAAACCGACTACAAAATCAAGTGATTATCCACTAGTTTTGACCGGATTCTTCACACCAAATCTTAGCACAGTAGGCCAGTGTTCTCGAGCTATCAGGTCAGATAACCTTGCAACAGTGACATTGGCCAAGTGAAAATGATGTTTAAAAATATAAATAATTATAAGAAATATATATTGTAAGTCAATTTTATTTGGCTCCTTAAAGCAACCACTGACAAGTCGATTATTCTAATGTTGGCAATGTTCAGGATAATATACTGTATATAGACATTAAGCATAAAATATAAAAATGGTGTCTAGGAATTCTTTTGGGGTTAAATTATTTGTTTGATGGTGAACTTATCATTAATGCATGAAAATAGAAATGAAAAAACTGATCCGAATTTCACTTTGCTTATTTATAAAATATATTACTATTGGTCATTATATTTTGAAAGAGACACATTAACTTTATTAGTTGCCATCCTCCAATCCCCACTTCTGAGAACAGCTGGTATGGGCAACCTGATACACTGCAAGGTGGCCATATTCTAAGCTATTTTGAGGCTAAAACTAACCATTACAGGTCCATGGTGAGGGGGAAAAGAGTGACAAAGCCACGGTCACAACTGCATACCAACTTTGTATGAAGCTCATTAGGGAGTGCATTATATAAATCATACTCTTTGGTTTATAAGATGTGGCTCTGAACTTGTCAATTTCCAATGTTAATTTAAAAATGTTATATTTTGATTTAATATGATTGTGTGAATATGAAGATTCCTAAATAGTTATTTAGTTATTGGTAAATAAACAGATTTCAATACACTGGTTAATGGATCGCCTGCTAGTATATGACTAGAAATAAATAGTATTTTCTTTAAGACAAAAATCTAAGAACTGTCAGGTACACAGATCAGTCGCAGATGCAACATTAGAATCTTCCTCCACCAGTAAAGCTTTAAATTTTTTCCAATTGTCCTTTAAACAGCTTGTGTTAAACCAAACAATTACGATATGCAGTTTTTTAAATAGTATGAACAATGGGGAAAACAACAAGATTTGTTTTGAAGAAGTTTTAATGAATTTCAGTGCTTTTCATCTTAAACAAATGTCATATCTTTAACTCATACACATAATACGAAAACAATTTAATGACATGCTAACAAGTTCAGAGAAGTCATAACTACATATATTATTATTTCCTCAACAATTAACCACTGAAATACATAATAACATAAAATTTCTCACAATATCTATGCAACAAATAAAGTAATGGTAATATGAATATGTTCCATCTTTCAATGAACATTTCACAAGCCTTTTTCTCACTGATTTTATAACACATCTAACCCTGAAAATGATATAAATGGGGAATTTTAGAAAATTTAAACAAGAGGGCCATGATGGCCCTGAAATCGCTCCCCTGAATATACTAACTCTCCATGACAATGTTTAAGTAATATTGTAAACTACATGTATAAACAAAAACAGATAAAAAATCTGAATCTTAAACTGATATCACAAGTTTATATTCGTATCTGAATAGTGCATGTGTAAAAACATTACTGGTTGCTATTGCTAAGGGCAAAAAATGTACATATAAGGAAAAACCTGGGCTTTTATTTGAAAAAACTTGGTTAATTTTGACCCCAGGGCTTTTATTTTAATACACTTAGTAGACACGCACTAGAAGATGCTTCATGTTTAACATGTAAACTCTAGCTATTTGGGTTTTTTAATAGAAGATTTTATCAAGCTTTTACTATATACATGTACGGAAAATAAATGACCCACTGGGCGGGGCCAATTTTGACCACAGGGCTTTTATATAAACAAACTTGGTAGACACCCATTAGAAGATGTTTCATTCTTTATATCTAAGCTCTAGCTGTTTGGATTTTTCAAAAGAAGTTTTTTTTAATTTTTTGATTTGGTTGTCATGGCAACCAGAGTTCTGCATGGAGTTAAATTTTTTGAATAGGTGACCACTAAAGGAACATTCCTGTGAAGTTTGAATGAAATTGGCTCAGGAATTTATGAGAAGATGTCACATAAAGACGGACAGACATCAGACTAATTGTGATCACAAAAGCTCACCTTGTCACTTTGTGACAGGTGAGCTAAAAAGACATAAAAAATGTAAAAGAAATGAAAAAATGTAAAAGAAATGACCTTATTTGTCAAAGTATAAGTTTTGCAGAAAAAAATCTTTTTGTCTGTCTTGTATATCTTAAAGGTTTTCAACTCCAACCCCCTTACTTCAATTTTTTGAATCCCATCTTTTATTACAGAGAAAACCAGCATTTACATAATAAAGTAAAACAGTTTCATGCTTGGTCAAATCTGAAAAGATTGATACTGTTTAAAGTAAACTGCATACCGCTTTGTTTACTTGACTTAAACATCTCTTAAACTTCTGTTCGACAAGAGCAGTATCAATCAAACTTTCTATGTTTTGCATTACCCCCTGAATTGGTGACAGTAGGACTGTTAAAGGTCTTCTTGTTAAATTCAGGCTTCTTTCCAAAATTTCCACCTTTCTTTTTTTCAAATGATTTGTTAGGAGAATTTGGCCCTTTAGAAAATGATTTCTTCTCAAACTTGTCACTGTTACCTTTCCCAAACTTTGGCCCTTTACCTTCAAATGACTTATTAGGTGAATTCTGGCCCTTGTTAAATTTCTTTTGTTTATCAAAAGTCTTATTGCCAGACTTATTGGATTTGTCAGTTTCATTAGACACTCCTTTACTTTTCTCAGACTCTGCTTTTCCTTCACTCATGATTTTTTCAATATCATTCTTCAAAGCTGCATTTCCCTGTTGTTTTTTCTCTGCTTTATCTTTCTTTGTCTTCTGTTTCACCTTAGTCGCTTCATCTTTCTCCTCCTGGAATGGATTCTTGCTAGCATTGCTCGCTGATCTCTTGGTCTTATTCCTTTTCCTCTTTTTCTTGTCTTTCTCCTCTGAGTTAATTTGGTTAAGGATAAATAATTTGGTTAATATTTAAACAGACATAAGGTTAATTCTTACACAGACATCAGGTCAATACTTACAAAGACATAATTTAATAATTACAGAAATAAGGTAAATACATAAAAGGACATAAGGTTAAAACTCACAAAGACAAAGTTAATACTTACAGAAATAAGGTTAATACTTACACAGACATAAGATTGAAACTTACACAGACATAAGGTTACAACTTTCACAGAATTAAGGTTATACTTACAGAAATAAGGTAAATAATTACAAAGAAGTAAGGTTAATATTTACACATACGTAAGTTTATTACTTACAGACATAAGGTTAATACTTACAACTTACACAGAAATAAGGTTCATACTTATATAGACATCAGTTAAATACTTAAACAGAGGTTGATACTTACACAGACATATTCATGATTATTGTTATTGCAATCAAAATCAAAATAACTTGATCTCAATATTGATTTGTAACAAACTGTTTTCCAAAATAATGTTATAGTCAATTATATTACATAAATAATATTATATAAATACATATATACATGTATATACAATAGACATATATACTCTCACTCTGTATTATCGACACAACTCTATAACCACATACTCTCAGTATTTTGACATGTGCCGTCAAGCATATGGTGAAGTAAAAAATCTTTGACCTCATTCAATATCAAATGTAATGATAAGCTGACTTTGTTCTGCTTCACACAAAATATTCATTATGAAAGTCAAATGTCGACATGTAGGAAACATTCAGTACATCGATAATACAGAGTCCCATGCTAATGATTTTGGAATTACTTTAGACATTCACAAGACTATTTAAAATGTTCCTGTACTCTAATGCAATTCAAAATTGTTTTAAATTGATAAAATCACTATTAATAGCACTTTCCTATCAAGAAAACTGAAGAAACACATGGTCTTCTGCCAAGTTTATCAAATCACTTCAGCACACTAAAGCTAAAGCTGAAAGGAACTCCACAGTGATAAAAAAGCCTAAAAACATAAAATTTAAATTTCTTGCATACATCAACTGGGTCACTTAAACAGAAAGATATACAAACAATAATTAAGCAATATACTCAGTAATAAATTGAAAATCATATGAGCCACATCACAACAAAACCAACATAATGGGTTTGCGACCAGCATGGATCCAGACCAACCTGCGCATCCGCGCAGTCTGATCAGGATCCATGCTGTTCGCTTACCAACTCTGTAACAAGTAGAGAAACTGATAGCGAATAGCATGGATCCTGATCAGACTGCGCGGATGCGCAGGCTGGTCTGGATCCATGCTGGTCGCACACCCATTATGTTGGTTTTGTCGTGACGCAGCTCATATTTTTGTGCTAATCTAAGCCTGATTAGAATGAAAACAAGAGGGCCATGATGGCCCTAGATCCCTCACCTGACCCATCAAACTCATCTGAACAATTACCTAGACAAGCATTCTGACCAAGGTTCATGACAGGTGAGTCAAAAATGTGACCACTACAGTGTTAACAAGGATTATCCATATTTGAGCAGTGTGACCTAGTTTTTTACCCAGGTGACCCATATTCAAACTTGACCTAGAAATCATCAAAACAAACTTTCAGACCAATTTCCAGGATATTTGGATCAAAACAGTAGCCACTAGAGTGTTAACAAGATTTTTCTATTTTTAGCTCCTGTGACCTAATTTTTCATCCGAGATGACCCATGTTCAAACTCATCCGAGCAAGTATTTAGACAAGCATCCTGATCAAGTTTGATGACACTTGTGTCAAAAATGTGACTGCTAGAGTGTGAACAAGATTTTTCTATTTTTAGCTCCTGTGACCTAGTTTTTTTTATCCGAGATGACCCATGTTCGAACTCATCCAAGCTATCACCTAGACAAGCATCCTGACCAAGTTTGATGATGATTGAGGCAAAAATGTGACCGCTAGAGTGTTAACAAGGTTTTTCTATTTTTAGCTCCGGTGACCTACTTTTTCATCCGAGATGACCCATGTTCGAACTCATCCGAGCTATCACCTAGACAAGCATCCTGGCCAAGTTTGATGATGATTGAGGCAAAAATGTGACCGCTAGAGTGTTAATAAGGTTTTTCTATTTTTAGCTCCGGTGACCTAGTTTTTCATCCAGGATGACCCATGTTCGAACTCATCCAAGCTATCACCTAGACAAGCATCCTGACAAAGTTTGATGATGATTGAGGCAAAAATGTGACCGCTAGAGTGTTAAAAAAGGTTTTTCTATTTTTAGCTCCGGTGACCTAGTTTTTCATTCAGGATGACCCATGTTCGAACTCATCCAAGCTATCACCTAGACAAGCATCTTGACCAAGTTTGATGATGATTGATGCAAAAATGTGACCGCTAGAGTGTTAACAAGGTTTTTCTATTTTTAGCTCCGGTGACCTAGTTTTTCATCCAAGATGACCCATGTTCGAACTCATCCGAGCTATCACTTAGACAAGCATCCTGACCAAGTTTGATGATGATTGAGGCAAAAATGTGACTGCTAGTGTTAACAAGGTTTTTCTATTTTTAGCTCCGGTGACCTAATTTTTCATCCGAGATGACCCATGTTCGAACTTATCCAAGCTATCACCTTGACAAGCATCCTGACCAAGATTGATGATGATTGCGGCAAAAATGTTACCTCTAGAGTGTTAACAAGGTTTTTCTATTTTTAGCTCTTGTGACCTAGTTTTTCATCTGAGATGACACATGTTCGAACTCATCCGAGCTATCAACTAGATAAGCATCCTGACCAAGTTTGATGATGATTGAGGCAAAATTGCGACTGCTAGAGTGTTAACAACTAAATGTGGACGGACGACGGACAATCATCGATCCTAAAAGCTCACCCTGAGCATGCTCAGGTGAGCTAAAAAGCCCTGCAACGCTTTTCATATTTTGGTCTTTTTTCACAATTAGAATAATTATTCTGGAAAAAGAGAGTGAGCAAATGATCTGAATTTTGTTGTAGACATACATTTTATGGAACATTATTTTGGAAAAATGATTTCCAGTCCACCTCAGTGGAGTTCCTTTAACTAGGAAGCCCTTTCATGCAATATTTCAAGAGCAAGCAGGCACACATTTGGAACCAGGGACATTCCATAAGCAAGCAAAATTCAAACCCACAGTTGTGAAGGGCAAGTAATTTAAAGTCAGCAACCTTAACCATTTAGCCATGGTTACAAACTGAACACTGATATAAAAGTGAAGGATGGAAGGCAAATTGACATCAAGATGGGATTAATGTCAAGGATAAAACCTGGCTAGTTTGACATTAATGTACATATTCAACAATCAAGTATCATTTTGAAAAGGATATGTTAGCCACGGGTGATTCACCAGGTATCTTAGCTTTGGGTGATGAACCATCATTTTCTTTTCCTTTGTTATTCTGTTTCTGTCCCTTATTTTTCTCTCTCTTTTGCTTCTTCTTCTTTCCTTCTGCACAAGGTTCAACCCTCACAATCCGACCTTTCAGTTTGCTCCCTTTCAATTTCAAGGCGAAGGACACGCCATCTTCTTCCTTTAAAAACAGTACAGGTGTATTGTGAAAATAAGATTTAGATTCGAAACTTTCTCAGATCAAAGTACAGTATTTACAATAATATTTCATTACCTTCGACCTGCAAAAACTTATGTATAACTTTTATATACAATGTTAAAATTTACATTCTAACACTATCGGAATTTTTTCTATATAAACAAAGAAGGCCCGAAGCGTGCATTATTGTACAACAATGCACTAGCCATCCTTATTATCTCCCTGTGTATTTTCCCATTGAGGGCGCCATTTTTTTTTGAAAAATCTGATAAATAAAAACAATTTTTGTCGAATTTTTGTGTGTAAACTATCTAGAATAAAAGAAAATGGTCTAACTAAGAAAATAAATCCGAACACCAATATCTTTAATTCAGTCGTTATCGCTGTACAGACGTTAAAAGTCTTGTTTACGTGACGTCACAATGTAGCGCCAAACAGCACGTGCAAAACAATCAAATCAAGTACGCTATTTAAATGTCGCAAACGAGTTAAGTTTAACATTTATTTCACTTTTAATATTTTGTATTTCGCTTCAAAAATTATAGAGTGAAATAAAATACACAAACAAAGTTTTATGAACGTTTTCAAAATACGTTATTCTCAAAATGTTTCTACACACAGATTTAACGATTTTTTTTTAAACCCACTGGAACAGCCTTTAAAGAACGTTTCTATTGGAAACTCTGAGGCGAAAACAAATTTAACCACCAAACATAAAGTTCAACTTTATAATAATTATTATATTTTTTCTTGACGTGTTAGAATGGAAATAGATATTAATTCTTCGTGCATTATTATATAATAATGCATGTTTTTCGTTCAAATGCTTTGTAATTAATCACTCAGGTCTATCGGCCTTCGTGATTATATTACTACGCATTTGAACTCAAACCGTGCATTATTCTACAACAATGCACTCAGAATTGATATCTATTTCCTAAGTAAACACTCAGCAAAGAAACCCTTTGTAGAGCAACAACCTCTTAACAACAATATTAACAATTTTCCCCAAAGCAAGACTTCACAACAAATTTAAAAAATTTTAAAACCCTAAAAAAATAAACACTTTAATTCAAGGTTAAAGCTTCCCAAGGAAAAAGTTTTTGAATTTTTACTTTGGCAAACCCAATTTTTACAATTTTATATCATTTTGGCATGAAGGGGGTGCAACTTTAACCCCAGATAAAACAAAAATTTTTAATCAAAATTTAAATTTTAAAATTTTTTCTGAATTGGGGTTTTTCATCAACCGACACAGGGATAGGGTCAAGATGGCAAATGTTCCCGGGTTTACTTGGTGAAGGGAAGGGCATCAGGTTTCCCTTTTTTTTTTCCCTATATTATTTCTTTTGGGAAAACAGGCAAACCCGAGTAGAACCACTGATGTTCCATATGCTAGCTGGATAGCTTCTTCACATGAAAGTATCCGGAGTCCATGTCCAAATTTCGATCCCACAGTGGGGCAAGTGATTTGAAGTCAAGGACCTTAACCTAAATTTAAGTAAAGCATATTACTCCGAATTTGAGTGAATTGCAAAAAAACTGTTTATTGTTATTTCAAGACATTTTGAAACCAAAATTTTCATGCTGAAACATTAATATCTGACAGTATACTGATCACCCTGCAGGCAAGAACAGACTAGTCATGCTTTATAATGTGCTCATTTAACGTTTAACACAAGCATAATAATTTACCTTAAATGTGACAAAACCAAATCCTTTCCCAAGGCATGATTTCTTATCTCGGATAATCCGAACATTGTCTATCTCACCACAGTCACTGAAATGCTTTCTTACAGGTTCTTCTTCGATATCTGAAATCAAATTTGTAGTAAGGAAACAGTTACAATAGATGTATACAAGTGCATCCATCGCAAGCAGTGTTAATACTTGTCTGATAAAAATTCTAAGTTTAAAAGGGACATAACTCCAAAAGTGTTGCATTCAGAATTATGCCCCTTGTCAAAACAACTGCAACTTGTCATGATATGCCAGTTTTGCAAGTCGATAACTTCTTAAATGTTTGAATGATGGGCTACAGTAAGTTTTTTTTTGCCTGACAACAAAGACGATGATGACGCAGATGCAGCAATCTTAATAGCTGGACATGTTCTTTGAAACACATGTTATGAAGCAGATACTAATAAGAGAAATTCAGATATTGATGTAGCATATACAATAGTATCTCTTAATCAAGGTAATCTCATACTAAAGGAAAGTTAGGGTGTCTGCCTCTCAACCCAGGGATCAAGCGGGGCAAGCCGTTGTTTCCTTGAGCAAGAAACTTTACATTCATTGCTTAGTACTGGTTGGTTCCAGGAACGGATTCGAGAGTGTTTCAATAAGCTTATAGCTTCCAACACAATCAAACTAAAATAAATTTGTATAAACCAACCCAGGGATCAAAGGTTTTAGGCCTACTTGGATCCTGACCTTATTTCCTTATATGACACCAGTACTGGTAAGTTCCAAGAAGTGACACAAGTAGTTTTAATTTTTCTACAAATTTTCTTTACAATTAAGCTTAAATAATGTTTCAAGTGAACAATATGAATATTATATCTAGGTCATCTAATACTACAGGATATCTTTATGTAGAGGTCACTTTATTTGTATCCAGGGCCAAAACAACATTTTTGGAGAAGGGGCCTCTGCCTTTTTCTTGAGGAAAATATATGTGATTTTGGCATACTTTGGGAAAAGGGGTCTCAAATTTAACACAAACTTTTAACAAGTTCTTCAAAATAGAAAAGCAAAAAGCACTGGGAAATACTAATAAGGGAGTAAAAGACCAGGGTTCGACATTAACGGGATCCCGGGATTCCGAGGATCCCAAAAAGTCGGGAGGAATCTCGGTGATTCCTAGCTGGGGATTCCGTTGGGATCATTGAAAAATTGCTGTGAAAATTTTTTAAATTGTCTGAATTAATATCATTGAATCACAAATATTCAAGAAAAGTGTTAAAAAAGATTGGCACAACTGCAAGGTTAAAGAAAGAAAAGAAAAATCCCGCCGGTAAAATCTACGCTCTTGTATCATGTACGCCAGTTTTCCTTCGTGCAGTGACTGCTATATATCAACTCATTTGCGATATATAATGAAAAATATTTTGGCTAAAGAAACATTGTTGAATAATTTTATATCATGCATTGACTTTATAATATTAAGTTGTGAAAATTCAAAAAAGAAATGTAATTATCGTATAATTATTACACAAGTGGTGTGTACTTCAAATATGTGCTGATCGGCGTTGCCGGCGATAGCTACGAAGTTAACAAGTGTTTGTTGTTGGTTTTTTTTGTGCCAAAATTCGGTATTTGCACAGATATACATACACCTATATACCTAATAAACTCCATGGTATTTGTGATCATTGTAAATTTTCGTAAAAAATAGTGAAAAAAAAAAGATTACTGTCGATGTATTTTTTTTTTCGCCCTGCAGTACAGCAAAAGTATGATTAATAAACAGAATACAAATAATCCATACTTTTCAGTTTAAAATCCTTTTTGAAACTGACTACAGCCTATAAATGCTAAAAAATATTGTCTAACTAAAGTCTGAAGTGTACTAAGGTCAATCAAGGTTACGCATAATTTACCGACAAAAAATAGAAAAATCCTTAGGTGAAACATACACCAAATGACGTATATTTCATCTGACAGTTCTTTCAGCCAATCAGTGTTCTGAACTACATGACTGCTGCATGCGGTGAGTGCCTTTGATGTGACAGATGTCAAAACTTAAAAAAATCAATACACACAGGGAGGAAAAGAATCGGACATTTCAGTGTAAAAATTGAGAACAATAAATTTGGATATTACACATCCTGTCATGGACTTGGAGCAACTTTTTATTTTCAAAAATGAAATCATTTGAAGGTACCCTACTTGTAATGCAAACAAAACTTTTTTCTGAGTAAAAAATTAACAAAATATTTAATTTACAACAATCTATGGGATATTTCCTTTTAAACAAAAAAAGTGTACAGTAAGCTGAAAAACACTTATATTTTTAAAGTGATCATAATTAAACATTACTTTTAAATGACATAATAGTAAATATTTTCCAAAAGTTATCCATACCAGAACTCACTGGAATATAGAGCCTAATCATTACCTGTAATTTTTTAAAGATCTACAGATCATAAGTGGATCATTACCTGTAATTTTTTAAAGATCTACAGATCATAAGTGGGCTCTATTTCAGTGAACCCTAGGCTATCTTGGAAAATGTTTCCCCAGTTAATACTTAACTTCAAAAGTTCAAACCCTAAGTCCCATTGCCCAGTCACTTGCATTATACCTTCATTTACAGAAACTGGTTCACAATTATCAACACCAGGGAGAAAACAGGATTTAGCAAAATTTGTATTTTCAAATCGAACTCTTGTTCAGTGAGCTTATTGTTATTCTGTTTCCGTGCATGTAAAAATGTATTATGTATTAATTTATCTTAGCAGTCCAATTATATATATATATATTTGTAAACACTTTGAAACACTTTTAAAACTTTAAACAGCAATATTTCCAGAGGGCTTATAAACTACATTTTCTGCATCTGAAACAAGGAAATATATATCCTGTATGTTGTCTTCAAAAAAGAATTTGAAATCGGTTTGCTGCACTCCCTTGTTATTCTTCGCCTTCATATTTTACTATTTTGATCTGAGGAATCCCTGACATTTAGGAGGAATCCCTGAATTAAATCTCAGGGATTCCTATGGGATCCCTTGTAAAAACAGTTAGTGTCGAACCCTGAAGACCTTAATTCAACACCATCATTTAATTTTGTTCTAAATTCTATGGGAAATTCATAAAAGACTGCGGAATTTTGAGGACCTAACTGGCGGAAAAAAAGAGGCTAGTTTGGTTGGGGTAGCAGCCTTTATGCAGCCTCTACTTAGAAGGGTTTTTTGGCCCTGGTATCCATCATACATGTATATCATATAAAAAATGTCTTACCAAGAGGAAGATTTCCAACAAACACTGACATCTTCGGGTTTGTCTACAAATACACCAATAAATATAGAGTTAAACATTACCTCGCTAAATATCTGAAATGAACTTGTCCATCGTTTTATCTGGACAATACCATACATCATTTGAGGAGAAAATTTCGAAAATATTTACAGAATGAATAGTGAACACTGCAGACCTAAATCAACACAAATATGCCAGCTGATATTGGTCTGCACTGGTCATTTGTTACCAATCAGGCTTAAAGTTAATATAATTTATCTCCATTTAATAGTGAAAGCTTTAAAGGCACAGAAACAAATACATTTTTCATTCTTTAAAAAGAGCAGATATGATGTTTATAACATTAAAATAATGGTTTTAGAGCATGTAACGTGCTTATAACCTGAAGAAAGAATTGCTGAATATAAAATAAGCCTTATTAAGTAAAACATACCAAATTTAGGCTATAATGAATTATTAAACAACTTACTTATTTTTACTTATTATTTTAGCCATATGATACAGCCAATAACCCATCATACCAAAATCATTACCTCCCTATTCAGAACAAAATTTTAAGATATGAGACAATAATCACTGAAACCGAGTACTTTAGCCCACCGTGAGTGAATGAACAGAAAACAAATGTCTCTTTAACAACAAAACATCTCAAAATAATATCTACAGAATCCTCTATATTTATTCAATAAAGACTTCGTTAGCTACCTGTGTTTGTCTGCCAACCATATCTACCCTGATATGAAGTCCGTGCACCAATGTCCCATTCCTGTAACAATGATTAGAGGATAATGAATTATGGAGGGGTTGAATAAAATCATATAATGCAAGTCTATGTTGAGCATTGTAATGTTTTGAAAGTTCAAAAAATTTTAGTATTGAACCTTTACCAATATAATATTCTATTCTATCAAATATCCAAAAATAAGAATGGTTTACAGTAATGAAAGTCATTTTTTCATTGTTGCCTTTACAGTGTAATGCTAACATTAGCACATTTTATGCCATGTTTATATAACACAAAATGATTGCATATGAACTGTCATTGACTTTAAACCACCTGCCAATTACTTCTGTATGTTCAAGTAGTGTTAGCCAGTGATTTTTTTCCATGTGAACGCAGTTTCAAATAATTTAAACTTGTCAAATTTAAACAAAAATCTAAGTGGCAAGAATTTTCAACCATATTGTTTTGAAAATTTCAGTTGATGTGAATTCTTTTATGTCTTTATTTGACTTCCACTGAACCCAAGTTTCTTTTACAAATTCTATCAAAGTTTCTTTTACATAAAGAAAGTTTAAACAAATAAAGAAAGCCTAAATAAATATATGCTGATTCTAAAGAAAACTTACATTGATAGTGCCTTTTTTGCTGACTCAACTTCTTTGAAACAAATATAACCATTGAAGTTGTTGCGCTGAGAATGGAAGTCCTTCCTGTAAACAAGTGATAAAACCATTGATCAAAATACAATGTATTTTTTCTTCACAACCAAGTTTTTAAGGAGATAAATTATGTTTAGCATATTTTGTCACTTTCAGCTTCTTACAAATGCAAAACGTGAAAGCATTTTATAGTGTTTCAAACATTCACCCTTTGGTCATATTTTTACCACCATCATATTATAGCTTTATTCCTGGCAACTGGAAATTAAGCACACACCAATTTATCTGAATAAGGAGTGATGAACATCTCTCTACTTATGGAAGTCCATGTTATTGGTGGCACAGAATTGTACCACCCTCTCAGAAACAATTTTAAACCTATATAAATAGCAACAAAGAGCACATTTTTAGCTCATGATATAATCATATTAAACAATTGCATCAGGAGGACTTAAACCAAGGATCCTTAATTGCAACCACTGTACTCAGCAATAAGTCCAGCCAGCCCACACATCCATGCCATATGACCAGAATCTGAACAGTTAAAATTGCTTAATTTTAGCAGTCTGACGTTGCAAGTTTTTTTAAACTACTGATCAACTGTCGAAAACTCAAAGAAAGATCATTTCATACAGTCAGCAGTGGATGGGTTAAACTGAAAGATATGGTATGAATGGGAAAACATAACTTACGTGATAGCTGCAGCTTTTTTAGGCTTCTTTGGATCTTTGATAGGCTGAAAAAAAGAAATCAAATCAAGAAAATGTTTTACCTGGCAATAGTTCATCTTTAAATATGCAACAATTTAAGTCCCATTAACTATGTGCTCAAAAAGCTTGGTACAAATCAAATTTTTTCTTATTTTACCACTGCTGGCAAAATTAAATATCTTTCAAATCTCATTTTACCCTTTTAGAGAGAAGATCATAAGTGACATTATTGGCAAAATATACAATTACATTTGGGGTAGTAAAAAATACCCGACATCTTGACATGAACACCACCATAAATTATCCAGCTACGGTTGGTGGTCCCAGCAGGCACCTGAGGGTTTCCTCCACCAGTTAAGGCCGAGAGTTGCAATATGACCTCAACAGTATTGGTTTGACTTTAAATAGTTCAAAACAAACAAGCAAAACAATCATTGGACTATAAGTAACTAACAAGCCTACAATCAGGTTGCAAAAAAACCTTAGTAACATAAAATATCATTTTTGTTTATTTAGCACTTACAAAACACAAATGCTAGGCCAAAAATAGAAATATGTTTGTTTCCCCTTCCCGACCCATTAAAAGTAGGGTTGGGTACTGGGTAGGTAGGTAGGTAGGTAGGAAATTTTTTTTTTTATATGTGCATAATAATAAATAGTCTGCATATATGTATAATGAACTATCAAAATAAGTTTATTAAGCGCAATAGTATATGTACATGCATAACCATATTCACAACTGACACATGCAACAATTTATTAACCATGCCTTAAGCTGTCTTAAATATCAGATTAGATTGTACCTGAAAAAAATACTTTCATCCCATAAGAACCTGAAAAAATATTTTGGGTAGCGGCAAATTTGTTGGGTAGGTAGGAAGGGGAAACAAATTAAATTTTATTTTAGGCCCTATACAATACATGTAAAAACAGTATATAGAGAAATACTTACAACTGTCCTGAATCTTGAGGTCTCTATGGCACCAAATGGTTTGAATAATTTTTCAAATTCCTGAAATAAAGGAAAATCTATTTTTAGTTTCAGTTACCCAGTAAAACGCAACAGCAGAAGTACAAAGAGTATATTTAAATTACTAATGATATCTATCTGTATCAACAGTGATTTCTTTACCTGTATTTTACCGCCGAATAAAGGCTGTTTCCCCTTGCCCAAAATAGGTATATTTTCACCTAAAAATGCTAATATTTTCCCCTGAAATGCCCTGTGCACATTCTTCACTTAAAAGCAGCTTACATATCTGCAAGAAGACAGAAAGCTGTCCCTATAGATAGCCTCTGCTATGTACCATGCATGTTAAATTGAAATGAAATTCTCACTTGTTAGAATTTGATTCCTCCTTTTCTGACTTATGGAGCTATAATTTTTCCTTCAGAAAGTCAGATTGTTTTGAAAATTGAGAAAAAAAATCACTGATATTTGTACATGTATTAAAAAAAACTATTTATGGCGCCAACTGTCTAGATTGATTTAACATTTAAATTAAATATCATTATTTTCAAGCTTGATGTTTTTGAAAGTTTGATAACTTATTTGGATATAAGCAGTTCAAAGAGCAAAACAATGCATCTTTATAGTGACTTTTAACAAGACTTTGTAAAGTTGTGCTCTGGTTAAAAAAAAGAAAAAGTAAAGAAGTGTACCTTTCTCTCAATGTCTTTTGGCAAGTTGCCAACAAATATGGTTCTTGCATCTAACTCCTCATTAGTAGTTTTAGCCTTTCTATCTCTCCTTGGTCTGGTTCCTTTCTCTTGTTGAGCATCTTCTATTTTTGCCTTCTTTGAGGGAACCGTATCTTCATCTGAATCATCAGAGTCTTGTTTCCTGATTCATTAAAAATCAAATTCATGTATATCTATGAGTCAATTGTGGAATTTGCTTTTATTCAAATAAACAATGCTACAAAATGCATGCTAAATATAAAATATCTCTACAAAATTAAATCAAGGGTTTACATTTAAAACTGCATTAACTCATATGAAGTAAAGAAGGATTTACAACAGTCTTGCAGTCAAAATGTACTGTATGATGTTAAATGCTTAATAACTGAAATGTAGTTTTTTTTCTGAATGTTTTCAAATCTTTCACAAAATCATTGAAAAGTTTTGGAAAAGAAAGGATACTAACAAATTAATACACAATAAATTTAAAGCACATGTTTATAAACTTATGAGTAACAACATCAAATTTGGTATTATAATCCTACAGGCAATACTTATACTAGTTTGCATTTCCTGAAGTTTGTATTTTTATAGATATTTGTCAAAATGATGTAATTTTTAAAACAGGTATATACTAAAGATACATTTAAAAATGCTCCTACGAGCTGCAAATTAACTTCTGCTTTAGCACACAACTACTGTCACAGCCTTACATGAAAAATTTGTGAAGGTGTTCTCACCTTTTTACTTCTTTTTTCTTTAAAGACTCATGGACAATCCCTTTAGGTGGAGAAAAACCAGCTCCTTTACTCTTCTTAACTTCACTGTCTGATCCGGCATCTTCATCCTCCTCCCCTTCATCGTCGTCGTCATCGTCATCATCATCATCACTATCATCAGGACCAAAAGCTTTCACATCTTCAATTGTATTGATATCTTTCTTGTAGCTAAGATCATCTTCACTGTCACTATCATCATCATCATCACTTTCATCATCACCACCAGCCTTAGGGTTTTTTGCCACAGTCCTCTCAACAATATTTTTTGGTTTATCATCACTATCGTCCGACTCACTGCTATCGTCACTGCTGTCACTGTCAGGTTCAGCCTTCTCAACTTTGGCCTTCTTTATGCTCACTTCAGGCCCATCACTGCTATCATCACTACTATCACTGTCAGATTCTACCTTGTCAACTTTAGCCTTCTTCATGCTCACTTCGGTCTCATCACTGCTTTCGTCACTGCTGTCACTGTCAGATTCAATCTTCTCAACTTTCGCCTTCTTCATACCCACATCAGCCTCAGAACTGTTACTTTTGTTCTTACGTTTTCTGTTTTTTGAAGTTGGAGAATTTACTGCATCGTCCTCCATCTCTTCTGCATCTCCGTTTTCAGTCTTGCCTTTCTGCTTTTCCTCTTTCTGCGAAAGAATAAAATATCTTTTCAAAAAGAATAGAATATCTTTTTTTTAGAAACTAAACTATGTACCAAACTGTTTTTTTGTTCTTTTCCAACACAACTGAATTACAAATAAAATTATTTTTATAGAGATAAATAAAACTGCCTTAATTCTTTTACATTTAATACAAAAAAATCATAATTTATAAAAAAAGAAAAAACTGAATACATTTTTACCTGTACATTTTTTATAATTTTCTAATTTTAATGTTTATCGTCTGCCAAGCACATGATCAGGAGTTTTTTTGTTTTTTTTTGAAGTTATACCAAATTAGTTTTTACCTTCTTTTCGAGTCTTTTATAAAAGCCAAATGACTTTCCCTTTTTCCCAATGGGAGTCCCATCAGATTGGTTATGTGTACCTGGCTTATCAGGTGAAGAAATGTTTTTTGTCTGTTCTATGTCTTTATTCACAGGTGTCTCCTGGGCATTACTTTTCCTTTTTCTATTTCTTCTCTTCTTACTGCTACCACCTTCTGGAGTTCCGACTTTTCCGTCTGGGGTACCACCTTTTCCATCTGGAGCACCAACTTTTCCGCTAGGTGTACCAACTTTTCCGCCAGGTATACCAACTTTCCCGCCTGGTGAACCAACTTTTCCACCTGGAGTACCAACTTTTCCACCTGGAGTACCAACTTTTCCACCTGGAGTATTAACTTTTTTTTCACCAGGAGTACCATCATTTGCCTGCAGGATTTTTACTTTACTATCTGGTGTTTTCATCTGTTCTTTACTTATAGGTGTATCAAGTCCAGATTTTCTGTTCTTTTTGTTTTTCTTCTTTGATGGCGTATCTTGGCCTGGTGTGGCTGATTTAGGACTAGCAGAAGCTAAAAGCTTCGACAAATCCCCGGCTTTGTAGTCAGTCTTCATGCCTTATCTAAAGATTTAATAAATAAAATAATAATCTAAATACACATTAAATCCTCTCTATACATACACACAAAATATTCTAGCACAGTGTTTTTTCCCCTGCTTTGGGAATGGTGCCAGTACTGGACGGATTGGGAAAATGCTTCGGTTTGACTTAAATTGGGAATTTTACATAAGATGCAAAATATTCATTGGGAACTTTTTTATCCAGGGACGCATGAAAAATATCACTCATATGGTCATACTTGGTTTTTATCTAATATCACCTATCAACATGGAAGCATCCATTACTTTTCTTGTTTACATTTGCCGATTTTTGAGGAATTTTGATTTCAGTGTTATTTTTGGAATTTATCAGTCATGAATTGGAAAATTTGCTGTCTATTTTCTATTTGGAATGGTGCCGTTTTCCGGTATTAGTTATATAAGGAAAAATAAGCTGTAGCATGATGTTTTTCAGTAAAACTAGAACTCCGCAATTCAGATGTGTCGCCTTGTGAACAATATAGTTTAGGAGAAATGGCCAGGATAAAAAAAAATATGAAAATTAACAAATGGCAATAACTAAAAAAATAAGAAATGCAGAGCAGCAATTTCTGTGCACAGCACTTTTTATCAATAAGATCTATCATCCTATGAAGTTTAAAGACCATAGCTTTTATAATTTATGAGAAATGGCCTGGACAAAAATAAAGTATGAAAATTAATAAAGGGTAATAACTCAAAAATAAGAAGTGCAGAGTACTAGTTCTTGTACATTGCACTTTTTCATAATGAGATCTATGATCCTATGAAGTTTAAATACCATAGCTTTTACACTTTAGGAGAAATGGCCTGGACAAAAATAAAGTATGAAAATTAACAAAGGGCAATAACTCAAAAAATAAGAAATGCAGAGTACCAGTTAGTGTGCACTGCACTTCTTCTTAATGAGATCTATCATCCTATGAAGTTTCAAGTCAATAGCTTTTATATATTAGGAGAAATGGCCAGGACAAAAATAAAGTATGAAAATTAACAAAGGGCAATAAACTCAAAAATTAAGAAGTGCAGGGTACCAGTTCTTGTGCACTGCATTTAGGGTCATTATAAGAAGCATGCATACCAAGTCTGAAGTCAATCCGACTTATAATGACTGACTTATGCTCCGGACAAGCTTAAGGGGATGCAGACAACAACACCGCTGAAAACGACGCAGACGCCGACACCGCCGACAAAAGTAACCCCTATATGTCACCTTTTTCAAGGAGACACAATAAGGGAAAAGTTGATTGCCTCATAACATGGAAATTTTACATGTAGTTTCCCTCAAAATAGCTTAAACAGCTTTGTTTCAGTATTGAGTAACAAATAGATTGAGCAAAAATGTTCCCTTAACATAAATTTTGTTTGTTTGTTTTGGGTTTTACGTCACATCGACACAATATAGGTCATATCGCGATGTTCCAGCTTTGCTGGTGGAGGAAGACCTCAGGTGCCCTTCCGTGCATTATTTCAGGCACAAATGGGCACCTGAGTAGAACCACCGACGTTCCGTAAGCTAGCTGGATAGCTTCCTCACATGAAAGAATCCAAAGTCCCTGTTGGGATTCGAACCTCACAGCGGTGAGGGGCAAGTGGTTTAACATAAATAGTATGTCTCTACATATAAACACAAATGAACTCACATCAAAGTGTTTAAATATTCTTATTTTTAAATGGCTTTAAAATTATTACAAATTAAAAATGATTAGTGAGAAACACTTGCATACAACCAGGGCCAAAAAACCCTTCTTTGTATAGGCCGAATATAGACTGCTTCCCCAACCAAACTAGCCTCTTTTTTTCCCAATTTGGTCCTCAAAATTACCCAGTCTTTGAAATTTCTCATAGAATTTGGAACAAAATTAAATGAGGGTGTTGAATTAAGGTCTTTTACTGCCTTATAATTTTATTAGTATTTCCCAGTGCTTTTTGCATTAAAATTTTGTGTTAAATTTGAGACCCCTTTTCTCAAAGTATGCCAAAATCACGCACATTTTTCCCAAGAAAAAGGCTGTGGCCCCTTACACCATAATTGGAGCTTATATACTTATAAACTCCTGATTTAGAGCCCGTGGTCTATGCCAGGATATAGCCGAACCTGATCCGCAATAAAGCTTAAATAAATTAAATGTTAAAAAAACAGGTGCTTGACATTCCACGCATGAAATTGGATAAAATTTGTATCAACTAATCAAGTGTGCAAAAGGCGTTGCATTTTATGGTATAGACTAGTCCTACAGTACAGCTCGCGCGGAATGTACTTTTTTCCTTTTCCCTCCGCGGAACTTGAGAGGAAAATCGCCGAGAAACTCCATAAAACTCCGCAATTTTCGGAGGTGCCGCGGAGACAGAAATTCGCCGAAAGCGGCGGTATTTTACTTAAAAAACTGTGCATTTCAATCCTCCGCGATTCTCCGTGCCTTTTCTTTCAATTGGTGCAAATAAAATTCATAAAAATGATCAAAATAAAAGAAATTGTTTCTTGTAAATGTATGTTGTAGATCTACTTTCGATTTCAGCAAGGATATTATCTGTTACCTGGCCGGTATTCCGGACCATTGCACACGTGTTTATATTTATACCTATGACATAATAATAGAGATGAGCGTATATTATATCATATGCATATGTATATTATTTAAACTTGATGAATGCAGACTTGTTCATAATTTTATGAGACACCTATTATGCGTTGTCTTTCAACGAATTTATTTCAAACAATTCATGTTAACAGAAGATCTAAACTTTTGTAAAAGTGATTGTTGTTGTTGTTCTTGTAGTAACTGTGTACGGTTTTAATGTTAGGCCTAATTGTTTTTGTGTATCATCAAATTCAATACATTTATATACATGTTTATCTTTAGATCCATCGTCTCTTCCCATCATTTTATTTCTAACGAGTCATCTTTGAAAATAGATTGTACACTCGTGTTTGTAATAATAATAATTTCTATATTTGTTTTCATTTCAGGACCTTAGCAGTTTTAATAGTTCAGAAAAAGAAGCGAGTTGTATTCTCCTTAAGAGTTCAACTTCACATTCTCTTCCCTTTTCTTTTCCTTAATCTTGTACTTTTGGATTGAGATTATCTACATATTATATGAAGTTCGGTGGAGAAATTTCACGGATTAAGGCTGCGTCGATCTTCGGAAGATATGTACTGTAAGCTTTGAAGACGTCAAGACAGACTTTCTGAATGATAAAACTTAGGATTTGTCGGATGGTCCTTATCAAAAGGCACAATGTATCCTCATTACAAAAAAAAAGAATTATAACAAACAACTTTTGACAAGCATGTGCACATCTGAGCAAAAAGATAAGTACATGTATGTGCAAACGGCGCTCAGTCATTGGCGTTGACGTCAAACAACATACTCAAAAAATGTTCACTTACCAAATATATCATCTATGCAAATGTTGAATATTGAATAAATATGTTCCTCTACCATGAGGAGACTTACTGTTGGATAGTTCTTAATGTCTCCGTATGTGATTACATACCCACCTTCTGTAAAGCGTTATATCCATGTACATGTATGTTTGCCGGCTTTAAAAAAAAAGGGGGGGAGGCAATGAACAATGATACACAGTATAACATTCATAATATTCTTTGTTCACTTCTTTTATTTGTCAACCTTTGTAGAACAAATATTATTAGTATTAGTTATACTTCAAGTAAGAAGTTATTTAGATAAGGCACATCGTCTCTGGAAACTCTTGAAATCTTCCATGCATGGTCATCTTGCTGAAAAAAAAAACGTTAATGATTATAAATGATTGATAGAATAAAAAGTATTTTGAAACCAATATCATTATACACTAAATGAGAAAAAAGAACGTTCAATCTTATTTATTGAAAATGAAGTCGGTATAGTTTTTCACCAGTGTGTATACATTTATATTGAGAAGAGAAACTGTATAAAACACAGATATATTTTATCGTAAATTATTATAGAGAATTGTAAAAGGTGAAGACATTATAATTTTCGCTGTTGACACATAAAATTATCAGTGAGGACGTACTAGTTTTGTTGTACAAATTTGTGGACATTTGAAATAGACATCGTGTACGCGTTGGGAAACGTATAGGTCAAGAACTACATGTATATAAACAGGTAACCAATGTCTTATAAACTTTAAAATCTTAAAGAAAAAGAAACTTTATAATTTGTGTTGTTGACCAAATTAAATATGTGAAGTCATGAGCAAAGCATGGAGACCGACGTATTTTAAAAAACATGCATGTAAAATATAAAACAATATAGGTGTAGTATTACATGTACACGTCAAATTTTCAAAACTGTTGATCTTATTTCTTTACAAAATATAAATAGGGTTGTTATAGTTTTTCATGTTGACACATTTACCACAGAGCTATCTGTAATAAAAATCTCTGCATTTACGGGTGATTGAAATAACGGATATATCTACAGTACATGTATATCTAGCTCCGAGGCCTATTTCCAACATAGGCCAACATTTCCAATGGGCTTCAAAACATAAAAAAAACTTATATACACCTACAGTATCCTTGTCCTAAAAACAGCAACAAAAAATGCCAAATAAAGTATAAAACCAAAATACGATGCAGACATGATTCAGCGGTACGGTGTTCAAGAAGATTGTTCACAAGAAATACTACGATCGATTAATCAAGTGGACCTACAAATTTCAAAACAAAAATAAATAACAATTAAGATTCTTTAATGAAAAATGAAAATTACTTTAATGAAAAGGGATAATTTTAAAATATAATATCAACTTATAAATCGTGATTTTCTTGGAGAATCTCCGCGGTAATACCTTTACACTCTCTAAAACTCCGCGATTGTGGTCCAGGTTGTTTCTCCGCGATTACGCTCAGAAAAACGCGGTGGATTAAGAAGGAGTTTGCTTAAACGTCGATCGCGGAGGAAGCATAAAAAATGTACATTCCGCGCGAGCTGTACTGTAATTATAAGACCTTTAATGTAACCTATTTCTGATTTCATGTTTTTCCTTCATTAATCTGATATTTTACATTTTTCAATTTCCATTTTAAGTTAGGTCTTAACAGATCATTGCAAAAACGTGTAGCAAACAATTTGACATTAAACATCGATTTAGATCTAATGCATTTAAACGAATATCTTTATATTGGGAAATATGAATATCCTATGAAAAAATTATATTGTCCAATTATTTGGACTAGGTATAGACTAGAGGGGTATCTTTGTCGTTATTTTTTTATTATTTGCTAATATTTTTCAATTATTTATAGAAAGTCAAGCTCCTGTGGTTTAAACCACTAACAACGTCATCCGGATATAGACATATCCGAAACACAAACACTTACACACGTGTTGCAACTTCAAAAATATTGAGAAAAGTCATATGAAGCGTTATTCATTATGTAGTTCAAGATTCAAAGTAGTACCTTGTTTACTTATTTCCGTTCTTGTGACGACTAGGATTTAACAATTTAAAGCTGGATGCAAATAAATAGTGTTTTCTTCTTGCTCAAAATGTGTTTCCTGTTGTTGTTGTTGTTGTTGAATTATAGTCAAACGTCCTCACGTCGATTCGGTCTCAAAATAGAGGGAGAGAAAAAAAGAATCCCTAAAAACGTCTAAAATTGAAAATGTTGCAGGCTCGGTCTGATTGAGTTTGTTCATGGACGGCACTGGAAAGTGCAAGCTACCGTTCACCCCCTAAGAAAGATCAAGTCTCGCTAAAAAATCAAATTCAAATTGGCCTTATTCGAAATAGGTCCCTATAAAATATCTGCTAGCTTAAGTTAGACATCATTTAAGTCTGAGCACCCAAGTCGAAATGTTTGTGTAGTATGACAATAAACAAAAATATATATTTATATTATAACTGTAAACTAAGAAGTTTAAAAATCAACTGGTAAAAATATATTAATTTTTTTCAATTAAATAGTTGTGTTTTTCCCAACTTTTATATATATATTTTCAACAACAAAAAATGATTACTGATATCAGATAAGTAGCCTACTTTCTGGCAGAGTTATATAACACCAGGAATATTGTTTCCATTTTTATCATTCTTAACAATTCGTGCTCTACTGTATTAACTGGTGCATTAATTGTCATCCTAGAAAATGTAGCGATTTTCACGGAAATGACGAGCAAGATTAATTATCTTCTAATATTTTCTCTTTTTCTGCATTTAAACAGAGACGTCATAGCTTACATTTTATCTACATATCTGATTTAAGTTTCCTTTTACAGCAGTAAAATTTTGTTCCTACACCACTGAATGCGATGCAATCCCAAAGCGTTATTAATCATAACTTGGCAGGGCTAATTAAGGCACTTTGGAGTCCACTCAGACTCTTTAAGTGGCTAAACAAAACTCGACTATTTTTTCTAATAACAATGTACATTAATAAAAAAGAAATCATTTTATCCCACTGACCATTAACACTCCAATGTCTCTTACCTCTGGCCCAGGAAAGTATATAGATATATAATGTTGATAATAATAATTTTATGCATACTCATGCATTACCTTATAACTATAAGTGCGATCTGGACCATGTGGACAGCGCAATTTTCTCAGACTCTTTTTTCTAGTATTACGTACGCTGGCATCTCTCATTTTAAATATTACATGTAACAGGGTCATTTTTAGCATATTTCCCGTTATTAGTAATTTACTACTTCGCTACTGTACCTGTTCCTGTAACTTGATAATTGTTTCTTTATGATTTCTTCTTCTTCTTCTTCTTTCCGATTATAAATTAAACATGCACTGAAAGAAAATTCGATACTATATACAGTATATATCCAACTTATATATTTCATCACTATCTCGGAAATATGGAATCAAGTTTACTTATAAACATGTATATATACTGGTTATCTTGTAAATGCGGTTATGACCAAGCCCTAATTATATTAGGGCGTATAATTTACGTTTTTGATGTTAGTCTTGATTTCGTACCAAGTTACAGGGTGAGAAAAATGTGCAGCCTGACCGGGACTCGAACCCGGGACCCTCGGAATACCGTTCCGCGGCTCTACCGACTGAGCTATCCGGCCGCTTACACATCTTCTCCCCTAAATAGTGAACAGTTCTGAACCGTGACAAACTCCCCTGCTATATTGAAATTCGTCCTCGAATTTCACAGAGTTACAGAGCAATGTAAATTAAACTCTGAGCTATATCAGTCACGGTCCCCCGTTGGGCGCCAAATGTCACAGGGTGAGAAAAATGTGCAGCCTGACCGGGACTCGAACCCGGGACCCTCGGAATACCGTACCGCGGCTCTACCGACTGAGCTATCCGGCCGCTTACACATCTTCTCCCCTAAATAGTGAACAGTTCTGAACCGTGACATACTCCCCTGCTATATTGAAATTCGTCCTCGAATTTCACAGAGTTACAGAGCAATGTAAATTAAACTCTGAGCTATATCAGTCACGGCCCCACGTTGGGCGCCAAATGTCACAGGGTGAGAAAAATGTGCAGCCTGACCGGGACTCGAACCCGGGACCCTCGGAATACCGTTCCGCGGCTCTACCGACTGAGCTATCCGGCCGCTTACACATCTTCTCCCCTAAATAGTGAACAGTTCTGAACCGTGACAATACCTCTGTTTGATTGGTGATTTGACCTATATTATCGTATGGATGTGAAGTTTGGGGTGCTTATAATTATGAAGAGGTAGATAAATTTCATATTCTCTTTTGTAAATATACATCTACATCATACTGCTTCAAAATCGTAATCGATTACACTAAGCAGGCATATATTTATCACATAAACCGCGGCGCAGGAGTGTAATAAAGCCATTAAATAAAAACGATATTACACTAGTGTAATAACACTGACGTGACGTCATTTGCGCCATATAGAAACATAGCGTTAAAGCGCGCTAATGTTAGCGTTTCACTATGGGCAAAAAAATACTCATTTTAACAGTTTACTGTTCTTATTTTATATACGTGATAAATAGAATATCACATTCGTGTAGATTCAATACTGAATTTATTAAACTCGTTGAATAAAACAATATTATGCTCGCCAGAGGCTCGCATAATATGATTTTATTCAACTCGTTTAATAAATTTAGTATGAAACTACACTCATTCAATATCCTCTATATATTACACGCCCGTTTAACTCACAACGAGTGAAAAATGTCCATCGGTAAAAATGTTGTGAGCAACTTCCGTTCCTCGTTGTGAGCATCCATCTATGACGTGTGACACGATAAACAAGGTGAGTTTTTCATAATTTTTGAAGATTACAGTCATTTATGTAAAAATATCGAAATGCAGTTAGCTAGCGATGTGTTTTCCGAGTATGCACATGTAAAGATATTGCCTGTTGGTGGACAATTTGATGGAAATACCGTGCGACGCAGTCACTCGGGGTACGTAGCTGGAAAACTGGAGACAACTTCTCTTTGGACCTAATTTAACATTGAAAACGTCGATTCTGGTGACGTTTTGTGCATTCTAACCTAAAACAGATGCCCACAAGTCTTCAGCGTAAATTATTATCTGAAAGTTTTCATAGAAACGAAGAAATACCCTTTTTTGCTTTAAATGTTTTTGGACAATTTGACCTTCAAGGTAAAGGCCATTCAGGGGTCAAGGTAAAAAAATACAGGTCCGTAGGAAGGTCTTGTGCTAAGTGATGGTGTGTTCAAATATGAATCAAATCCGTTTACTAATAAGGAAGTTATGGCCAATGTTAAAGATTTCGGACGGATTGACGGACAGTTCAAAACTAATATGCCTCCCTTTGGGGTATGCACAACGTCTTGAAAAGAAATGCAGCTGTGCAACAACGTTTTAATTGCATTGGTAGATTGAAAATTATATTTTCACCATCTGAATTACATATTAAAACTATACACGCACTGCGCTTGTCTTGCTCACAACGAGGTTATGGTGCTCACAACGATGATTAAAGCAAAAAGGGTATTTCTTCGTTTCTATGAAGACGTTTGAACAGATAATAATTTACGCTGAAGACTTGTGGGCATCTGTTTTAGGTTAGAATGCACAAAACGTCACCAGAATCGACGTTTTCAATGTTAAATTAGGTCCAAAGAGAAGTTGTCTCCAGTTTTCCAGCTACCCCGAGTGACTGCGTCGCACGGTATTTCCATCAACTTGTCCACCAACAGGCAATATCTTTACATGTGCATACTCGGAAAACACATCGCTAGCTAACTGCATTCCAATATTTTTACATAAATGTCTGTAATCTTCAAAAATTATGAAAAACCCACCTTGTTTATCGTGTCACACGTCACAGCGAGGAACGGAAGTTGCTCACAACATTTTTATCGATGGACATTTTTCACTCGTTGTGAGTTAAACGGGCGTGTATTAGGTGTAAAGAAACAAACTCCTATATATATATACATATGCGGTATAATGGTGAACTCGTCCGATTGCCAATAAAATGAAACTTGGTAAAAAAAAGTTGTTTCATTGCACTGTCATACAACATCTGAATTTTTCTATATATTTATTTACCTTTATAGACAACATTTACTTAGTTTTTTTTTTCTGAAGATTTTTTTAAGCTCTGTATTTTTTTAATGATTGGGATAGCACTTGGTGTGCGGACGAAGGTGTTTATGAGACAAACATACATGTATGTGAGGAATATTTGTGCCCTAGGAGGACACGTTTTTGGCTTTGACCACGTCATTTTGAAATTTGTTTTTGATAAATGCTCGCTGTTCAAAAAAAAATCGCACGGAAGGTTAATTATAATTCGTTAAATATAACATCTTGTTAATATAGCCATGCCATAATCATTTCTTAAATTTCGTTATGCCATTTTGATAATTGACTACAATCAAATGTACCGATATTTAAAGATACAATTTAATTATGAGGTTTTTAGATATTCATTTGCAACTTAAAAATATTACTGAACAATTAAGAAAAATATTATCATTAATTCAATTTAAATAGTTTCGAAATTCTAAAATACTTTATTATCGAGGGATTAACAACAGTTATTACTCCCAACCATGGGTTAAATTATTCAACTGTAGCAAATGGCTATACAGCTCTACCATTTGGCGAATCATTGTAGTGGCGAATCATTGTTGTGGCGAGACATTTAAAACTCGAATTCATGTAAACAAATAGGTTAAAAATGGCTACACACGTTGGGGTAGATGTCGGAGTATTTGTTGGAAGTAGCACAATCGAGAAGAAGAATGCGTCAATATTCGCTGGGCTTGCCTTTCTTGTGGGTGTTTTTGTTGGATACAGTTTAAAAGGATTAAGAATAGCCTACTTAAAAAAGAAACACGATTTCTTTGATAGGCAGGCTAAGAAAGCGAAAGAACAGCTGACGAGATAGAGGTTAAGCATGCAGATGTGTTCGATTGTCGTAAGTTGAATTAATCATCTAACAGGCTTAATCGAGTAAAAATGAATTCAAACCTAACAGTATTATAATAAACAGTAGGATTTAATACGTCAAAACCTTGATGTAATATAATTATTCTCTTCTACAAGAAATAATGACAGAGTTGAGTGCACGTACACACGTGCGAAATAGGTTTAACGTTACCATGTATACGAATTGCTTTTTTGCGAGCAGTATACGTGTTTATACATGTACATGTATTGATGTAGGCGTAGTACAATAAATTGATACAAAAATGTCGGACGTACTTGATATTGAGATAGGAAAAGATGGTTTAGAGGTCGAAGCAAGTGGTACTGTATTAGTAGTGATAGCTGGATTAACATTTATTGTTGGATTAGCTGTTGGTGGTATGATAGGATTTAAAATCGGCAAACAAGTCGGCAAACGAGATTAACAAGACTTAGTAAGCATTGATCTTTTCTACACTTCTCATAATAAATAACGGGTGCTACACAGGAACATTATTTACGATTACAAATATCAATCATGATCAGTGTCTTTCAAAATTATTTCAATTCTATTTGAAAGACCCTGTCATGATTGCATGGGCTAACAAATTTTTATGCGCATAGTTCAGAACAAAAACTACAATGTATAAACAAAATAATCAGTTCTTGGAAAACATTTTTTTTGCGTTTCATAAAAACTATAGGAGCCTATGTACATTCGTCATTGTTTCCAGCCGGATATATTGTACAGTGTTTTATTATGTTAATCTTTTTTTGTCGAATTTATTTTAGTTCGATTGTGTTGGATCGATGCTTTAAGCTTATTGAAACACTCCCGAATCTGTTCTTTGATCCAACCAGTACTAAGCAAAAATTAAGTGTATTTATAATGTATCTGAAACTACGCGACCAACGATTCTTATTGAAACTGGTTAACCACATGGCCGATGTGTCCAACTTCGAATCAGCACTTCGGATAAGTATACACCTTCTACATACCCCCTTCTTTAGATATTTGCATATCAGATTTTAGCTCACCTGGGCACATGATCATGGTTAACTTTGTAGTTTCGGATCATAAGCTGTCCGTCCACAATTGTTTCTCCTCTGTAATCATTTTGCCAAATTTTGTAACACTTGCTTAGGATGTTTTAAGCATGAAACCCTAATGAAATTCGACCACGTTTATTCAAATTATACCTCTAGGTTAAAACGCATCCGCCCTGAGGGTCATCACTTGAGTGCACTTAGTCTTAAACGGTTTTTTATAACGTAAGGCCTTGAGCTTAGATATTTGGTGTCTACATAATATTATAGATTACCGCCACTAAGCTTACAAATACAATCATGACCCTGTTGTCAAATTCGCCTCGAAAGTTACTTAGTTTTACTTGTACAGGAAAACCATTTAAAAAAGTGTCTTCTTCATGTAGGATTGCATATATATAGACAAGTACTTAGTTTGATCAAATCATAATCCTAGGGTCATAACTGACACCATCCAATTGACGATTGTTTTTGCCTTCATCAACAATACATGATTTTCCCGCTAACAAATCTCCTAACTCTTGTGTGGTAAGTGCATACACAAGGTATACAACTGGGCAGAAAATATTGTTTGAGCGACATCGTTTTAAATATACAATTAAAACGCCTACCGGAAATAAAACATTCGATCATATCTCTTTGTATCTTTTATCTTTGCTAAGAGGTTGATGATATTAAAGATTCGAATTTTAATGTATAGTTATATAGTATGCAAACTTTAACGTATTTTCTCACGTAAAATAACATGCCTCGCTTCAGTTGGTGGTTTTTGATCATTTAATCTCTTTAAAATGTTACGTGTATAATAAATAATCCATTCATGTTAAATGCAGGATAAACATATTTCGTTGTGAATATCCTTAAATATTTGAACTACATACATGTACTGCCTCATTGCTTTCGTATTTAAATTCATTATGATAGGTATCGTATAAGTACCTAATCTCACACCCAACCTATTCTCAAACCTTTCATTATTTTTCGTTATTCGTTATTTTTGCGACGGACGCGCCCTCAGGCGCGTTCAGAGCTAAGTCATCTACACATGGGATTTCGTTGGCTACACTCGCGCAATGTGTCCTAAACCAATTAACAGCCCAAGAAATAGTACATGAATTTGATCCTTCAAAACTCCCATACTTTGTCTGGATATCTTAATGTCTTCCATATTTAGCCTTTTCAATTTCAAATTAAGTTATCCAAGTTAAAATATGAACGTATATTATTGATAAAAACGTTGTAGTCCCGTAGTATTATTGCGCAATATGCAAATTACTGCTGAAACGATTTACCGCTGTCGAAAAAGTAGGACAGCAAATTATACTACAATAAAGGTGTAACCTCTGAGTTCCAAGACATTATTAGTAGGAAATAAATATTTCTACATTATACAAAACATTATTATTAACAAATCAAAAGTTTTTCGTGACTCTAGGATAACTCGCGCATTAATAAAAGAAGAACTATTTTCGTGACTCATACCGCGGGTTTAGCTGAATATTCAGCAGTTATTAATATATTAGATACAATACAATGGCTAGTATAAATATCTATTTTTGAAAATGCATGTAAGACACTTTACCGCCATGTAGTCTTTCATGGTAAGGAAGTTATAATATCAGTTCTACTTCCGATTCTTGTGGTTTGTTTACATATTTTACTAGGTCATGATATGAGTTAACCTTCGCTATTCTAAAAATAGATTCTGCTTCACCTGTTCTGATTTTTGGACAGGCGATTAGGAAGTACACATTAAACATGTAATTAATAAACCAGCGGATTGTAATGCAATACTTTTAGAAATGCTATACAATTGTAAGAAGCAAACAAGTTGAAAATGGAATTTAGTGTGAAGTTGAAAAGGACAACTAAACACTGTAGTGCTTAAGTGACATTTAAATTAAAATAAAAACGATGTGCTCTGGCCTCTACATATTTACCTTGTAAATAAAAAAAATCTAAGAAATACACTATTAATTGCTGATGATTTTAACCAATTTTTTTTTAATGAGACATATCCAAGAGAAATAAAAATACAAATGACTTATATTTTATTGTCTGTATGCCCACTATGATATAACACGAAGCAATTCTAAATAGCATTCTCAAATGTATATAATGTATTATGTTTGAAGTTTATTTGCCTGGATTTATTCTAGAAATATTTCGTTGATCGTTTTCTTTCTATTTACATATCATTTATTAGAATAAATCGATAAGGGCACTGATTTACAAGTTTGACCAGAGTTTTTAGGCATAATTAAATTTCATTCTGTATTTAAGTGCTTGAAAGTAGAAAATCTGAATTATATCAATTTGGGACACAAAATATATTGCTCTACAAATCTCGAACTTGTATGGAACAAAATTTCTCTGTTATATATTTTGTGTTTTGTTTTTGTTTTGTTTTTTTCTAAAAGAAGCCTTAATGTCTCTCCGGTTGCATGTCCGTCGCATTCAGTGCTGCAGCACTTTGATTTTTACTAGAAGTGACTATGATGTTTTCAGTTTGTCTGCATAAAAGCTTAGTTTCTGACAGACATGTCTGCTGCTGTCAAATAAAAACAGTGCATAGGAACAAATATTTACATTACATATTTTATTATTTAGCGTAATTTCATACAAATTGCTATTACAATTTGTAGGTCCTGTAAATACACCATTAACTTTTTGTGAAAATGAATATTAGAGACAAAATATCTTAAAGCAGGTACCTGCATCCTGTAGGGTACTTCATTTTCATGTGATAGTCATATAACAATCACTTCATTGGCTAAACTAAACAGTAGAATTTTAGAGATACTTGGAGGGGTTTGAGATTGGGTTCTTTATTTTAAGAGGCCATGTCAGTTTTACAAAATAGGGCTGTGCTTTTCCAAGATGGAAAAAGAGCTTTTTTAATTGTTGAATTTCAACCAAATTATACAGAAATGTTACATAAAGATTAAAGTGAACATATGTAAAGAATTTTCATAAAGATATTTTCTTATTTATATTAAAAGACATCTTGAATGCTTAGAGGTTTAAGAACTGGTTTGTCAACGATACATTACTAGTATAAATCATTATTCATTCTTAGATACAATACATAACACTGAATTAATAATGAAAACTCAAACAAACTGTAAAAAAATGTTTAAAAAATGTGTGAGTCTTTATTAGAAAAATTTAAAAATGCAAATAAATGCTAGCTTGTCTGTTTCTAAGAGAATGTCCAGCTGTTATCATCGCTGTTGCGTCGTCGTCGTTTTCGTCGTGCAAAAACTTTAATGTAGCACATTACTAAGTATCAGTATGAAACTTGAAAAGTTAGCGAATCATGACATGGAACAGTACCAGCAGTCTGACAAGGGGCATCATTCTGAAAGCTATATTTTGGGGGTTATGCCCCTTTTAGAATTTTTACCAGACGAGCGTAATCAACACCGCATGCGGTGCTCTTGTTTTTATACTAAATATATTTTATTGTTAATTTCAGGGATCTACAACATGCTATGCAATGTTCAGGACCAGGTCGAATTGAAGATGAACTGTCGAACACTGACAAATGTATTAAAAAAAACGACAACCATTAACTGGGACAACAACAATAACAACAACAACAACGTTTTTCTTGTGGGATTTTTAGTCTTTATCTTCAAGCATAACATTTTATAAATGAAGAAAATTTAACTAATCCTATTCTGTTACAACTCCGAAGCATGAACTGTAGAATTGGAACTGTGATAATTTGGTGTAACATATTTTTATGTTTTTGTAAAAAACAATTCTGTGTTTTGATGATGCATTTGTTACGTTCGAACTTCCATTATATCAACGTAATAGCCCATTAATTTGTATAATTTATTTAGCTATTTGTGAAACCGTTGGATAAAGTGTTGGAATGTTTTAGTTTTCATTATCTTTAATAATATATGTATACTTACGTTTCATGATAAAAGATGAATTAATTTACCATACAGGTAGGTTATCATGCAAACATGTAACACCGTGCCTACATGTAATTCGGCCCCATAAAGGAATAATTTCTCTGAAACTGATAGAATCGTATTTGTAGGTATTTGGTTAAAATTGATTAAAACACAAATGTTATCCTATCACGTGAGGCAAGGAAATATATTTTAGAAAGGAACCTACACGAATACTTACAAAGTATGGTAACCAACTATCATCTTTCGGATTTTGTGTCGTGATATTTTGTGTCCTGATTTTTGTTATTTTGCGACAGCGAAAGTGAGTCTTTACGTCCCAATATCCGGTGGCAGATACAGTAAACTATGGTAAAAGAAATCTGGAATTTGACAACATTATGGCCTTTTTAAACGTGGAAAATTTTACATTATCAATCACCATCAATCAGTGTGAATAGTCGAGCGCGATGTCCTACCGACATCTCTTGTTATTTACCATTTATATTTAGACAGTATTGTCCTACTGTTAGATCTTAGTAACAAATACAACTAGTAGTGTTCCAGTAATGGTGATTAATAAATGAACTGAACGTTTAAAATCATATAGTATCATTCAAATTATAAAGCCTTACTGTATATATTTTAATTGGTTTTACGCGATTTTATCGCATTTTTGTTCATATCTCGGCTTTCGGTCTATCTAACTGCCTTCCGTAAATTTCCTCGCAAATAAATATAAAAGTGACAGACAAGGGCTGTTGGTGCCAAGCAAATGGCCTGCCTATCAAGCCGTCATTCGTACTAGGTGTAGCACTGCACCATCCTCGTCGAATCTACGCTGTCTCTATTGAGCTAAACTGGCGATATAAAGCGTCCGATGAAGACTTTGGAATAAAGATGATACAAGAAGTAAATGGACTAATAAATGTTCTTCCTTTTAGAAATCAGTATTACTTGCAGTGTGGCCATACCACGTGACATTGACGTCATTTTTGGCATCATTTCCAAGACAAATATTGCTCGATTCGGAAAAGAAAATAGCCGTAAATATTTTATTTCTGTATCAATCTCTTTGGGATATGCACCAGTCTACGGGGAAAAATATAAGTTTTCCACAGAATATTAGATCTTCGTCAGTTTATAAGCCGTTTTATCAAACACTTTGCATAACCTTGGAAGTTGCTTGTATTAGAGCGGACTTCGGTTGCAAGCTATTTCGTTTTCTGGCGTTATTTGGTCTACGCCATGATAAATAGGTCAGGTTTACATCAACCGGGGGTACAGACAGCAAAATCCTACCTTAATATGTTTATATGGTTATCATTTATGGCGTAAATCTTGCCATTTTCTTCAATTGTCAATTCTGGCACCAGTTCCAAGTCGAAAAAAAAGGACTTCAGTTTAAAGCAGATTTATGAATCTGTTGCAAATGCGAAGCAACATGCCTACCGTTCTCTCTCTATAATTATGTTAACCATAAAAATATTTGTTATTTACTGTACGATTTACATAAACACAAATGAATATTCGAATGATTTTTACTTGCTGCGCTATAAGTGATTTTAAAAGTCGTAAAATTGTTGTCTGTACATGTGTATTTGTAAAGAAATTGATTTACTCTTTAATCATTGTTCTTTCATGGTAATGATTATGAAAAATCTATATGTGTCATGTAGCAATAATAAACGTATTCAAAACAGAGAGAAAACTGAAACCCAAAACGGCGAAATTGACTTAGCTAGAATGTCCAATGAACGTGCACATTCAGGATCACTTCCATTTTTATGCTGTAAAGCGTTATGCCTCAACGCGGCAATTTCAAAGTCAAAGAGTATTCTTTTGTAGAGTTATTTATACGTATAACCATAATGTTATAAACCTGTAGCAATGTTTAAGTATAATAGATTCAGCTTTTTAATACAGTGGCACTCGTTGATAAAAAATATTTTACATCCTGTTTTCATACCCACGGTGAACTGGATATAACTTCGTTCACTTAAGAACACTAAACACTATTTATTTTATTATTGCATTTACTTCTGATGATAAACTACATATCTGACAAATTTAGTTAATTATATCAGTCAATGAGAGCTCACCAATACACATTGTAAAGAGAGGAAGGGAACGGAATATTTATGGTTTGAAAACATTCAAATTGAGTAGAATTTTTAACAATAATGTCTCTTCCAACTGAATAAAAACGATAGGGCTATTTGGGACTATTTCTTATCGATGTGGTAATTGGATGTAAATGCATGGATTATTGCACGCGGCATGACCTGCAGATGTCATTAACAGGATTTTTGTTGCATATTAAGATTTAAAGAAGGACCACATATTAAAATCTTAAACATGATAAACATAATGCATATGCCAAATAAATGAATTATCTGATATGTGAATAAAGAAGTAAGTAATTTGACAGTTGAAGAATAAAAATTGAATATACTCTTCAAATGTAATCGTAATTTTACTTAGCTTATGTTAGCTATCAATAATTCTATGAACGCATCAGTGTCATATATTGACCCCAGTCGTGTTGCTATTACATATATGTTAATGTAAATATTTATATAATTATTGATAATCATTGTTATGTCCGACTTTTAGAATGTTTTGTTTCAAGAAATTTGACTTTGATCGATGGCTGTTGGTTTGTAAAATCATTTATCTGTTTACTATTTCCTACTTTGTTTACTCCACATGGCGTCCATTCTCGTTTTTTATTGGCGACTCAGGGCTATTTCGGGCCTTTTTTGATAAATAGAGAATCATAAGTAACGCATTTAAGTAACGATACTAGCTACAGTCTCACTTACATCCCGGCAGTGCCCCGGTAGACGTCCGGGGTGATCCGGGAACGACCGGGGTACGACCGGGAACAACCGGGGTACATCCGTAACTCTGCCGGCAACGTCCTGGATGACCCGGGATGATCCGGGAACATCCGGCATTTGACCCCGGATGGAATAAGATATTTAATATCACCGGGGTGGTCAGGGATGATCCGGGAAGGTATAGCTTTGCCGGCATCATCCTTAGCTCTGCCGGGAACGACCGGGGTGATACCGGGAAAGCACCGTAGCTCTGCCGGCACAAACCGGGAATAATCCGGGGTATGATATAGCCGGTAGAGCTACGGTAGAGCTACGGTAGAACCCCGGTATATGCCGGCAGAGCCCCGGTAACTACAGGCAGAGCCCCGGAGGATAAAGGTAGAGCTACGGTTGATCCCGGTAGAGCCCCGGCAAAGCCCGGATCATTAAAAAAATAAGGACAATTTGTGATGATTGAACTTGTTTTTATTAAAAGCCTTCCCATTTCCCTTCTATCCAGTATGGCATAAGGATTTTTCAGAAAATCATCATGAATTACTATTCTGGAAGTAAAGATATTATATTAAATAAAAGTTATGTATCAAAGTTATCATTTTCGGGCGTTTTCAATCCACCGGGGTTCTACCGGGGCTCTGCTTGGATCGGCCTGGGCTCTGCCGGGGTTTTACCTGGATCGACCGGGGCTCTGCCTGGGTCAACCGGGGCTCTTCCGGCGTCATCCGAGAGGACCGGGGAAGCACCGGCATGAACCGTAGCTTCACCTGGGCTCTGCCTGGATGATCCGGAGCGAATCCTGGGTGGTTAGTAGGGAACTACCGTAGTGCTGCCGGGGTAAGTGTGACCGCAACAATAATTCCATCCCGGATCGTCCCGGATCATCCCGGTAACTTACCGGGATGGTCCTGGGCTCTGCCGGGAGTAAGTGAGACCGAGGCTTTACACGCAAAGTTCCAAGTTATATGTAATGCTATTTAAAATTGTTCTACACAAAGAACAAAATCTGACTGATGATAAATATAGTTAAATAAGCATAAAATGTGAACGTCATGTTAATGCGCGTGACAATTAGATTCAGGATTTTAAGTCTAAATTGTGATTTTTGTTTATCAAACTTTATAGAAATTTATTATACGGCAATTCCAGAAAAATATATACCTTTTCAAAGTCTCTCTTTTGAGGACAGAAGAACCTATTCGTCACCTTCACGAGTGTCAGTGTTTGTCAGTTACTCTTTACAAAAAAATAGACTGAAAAAAATTACCTTAAGCCTTTTTACAACACTCGTGTTATATAGTGTAACCCTTTATGTAGCATTGTTTTATTTTAACTCTTTCTCTCACTGAGAGCACATTTATCTCTTATCAATTTCGCCATTGTGAAATAGAATAAATCACATTTTACTACATAGGATAAGATGAGCAATACTTTAAACATCTTCAAAACGAAACCAAAATATTATTTTTCGGTGCACTATTGCGATACAAGTAAGTGTTATTGCTTTAAGGACCAATCAGTTTTTTCACAATCTCTTTGTGAAAGATCAACAATGAAACAGTAAATTGTAGAAAGAGAACGGTAGGCATGTTGCTTTGCATTTGCAACAGAGTCTATAATCTGCTTTAAACTGTAGTCCCTTTTTTCGACTTGGAACTGGTGCCAGAATTGACAATTGAAGAAAATGGCAAGATTTACGCCATAAATAGTAAACATATAAACATATTAAGGTAGGATTTTGCCGTCTGTACCCCCGGTTGATGTAAACCTGACCTATTAATCATGGTGTAGACCAAATAACGCCAGAAAACGAAATAGCTTGCAACCGAAGCCCGCTCTAATACAAGCAACTTCCAAGGTTATGCAAAGTGTTTGATAAAACGGCTTATAAACTGACGAAGATCTTATATTTTGTTGAAAGCTTATATTTTTCCCCGTAGACTGGTGCATATCCCAAAGTTATTGGTACATAAATAAAATATTTACGGCTATTTTCTTTTCCGAATCGAGCAATATTTGTCTTGGAAATGATGCCAAAAATGACGTAAATGTCACGTGGTATTGCCACACTGACTTGATGCCTGTTAAAATTTCAGAATTAAATCGGTTAATTAATTTGTTATAAAACTTTGGTGCTGAAATTAACTATTTTTTCCTCCCTGAATGAATGCCAATAACAACTGCGTTTTCACGCTTCATACGTACATGCGATGATTTTCAACGCATCATCCATGCGGTGATTTTCAACGCATAAACAGAGGGACCAAGTTTATGGGCAACGTTCAATGCATACAGCAAAAACTGCGTATACGGGGCATAGCTGTGCCTTTTGGCTTAATAATGGGATTAAACTCTTACCATTTAATACAAAGCTGAAATAGAGTTAAAATATTTTAACAAACACGATTTTGATGATGATTATGATCAGAGGTGGCGTTGGTTGTGGTGATGATGATGATGATGTCAGAGGTGTCTACGGCGGTGGTGATGATGGTGGAGGTGTAGCCGTGGGTGATCATAAGGAGCATAGAGTAAAATAACATATTTTAAGGAAATGTTTTTCGGGAGGGGGACACACCGTGTATACACATAGACAATGGAAAATTACACTAACGCACCTTGATAGTTTTCTTCAATAAAGTAAACAAGAAAAATCAGAGACCAAGGTCCGGTAAACAAGGCGTTTGAGGAAGTTGTGTCACATTTTCTTTTTCTATGTAAAAGTCCGGCGGTAGGACTACGTTTTTGACACATTTGACAGCTTATTGTACCAGTAAATGTTTGTCCATTTGAAACAGGAATTTGAACAATAGGTACATATCAGTATGGAAAAATATGGCATACAAAACTTTTTCCCGCGTTTTTTTATCCGTTTGGCAATGCCTGGTATATTGACACGCGTCTGGGGCTCATAATACACCTTTGGGTAATTCGGAAATACTATGATTGTCACAAATTTTGTACTTTTTAAAAGGATATTTGGCAATTTATACACGAGTGGCCTTTTGTTTTTCCGTCAAGAGGAGTGGGCCCATTTAGACAACACATAGTACCCATGTATCTTACACGATTCGTCATATATCTGTGAAGCTGATCGTGATAACGCGACCTTTTATGTAGGCCCTTAATGAATTATCACATATTGACCAGTTTTCAAATTTTTTTTTCATATAGCTATAGTATAAATGACTACACAAACGGATTTTCAAGAACTTTCGAAAAACTGCACGAAAATTTGTGAAATTTCGTGCCATTACTCATAAACCCGTCCGCATGAAATAGCCACTATTTCCACGTGATTCTCAATACCATACAGTACGGAGGCGCATCAGTGACATAACTAAATGAACAAAACTCGTACATTCTTTTCGTCCCCAATTTAAATATAGTCCGGCTACTGTGAAAATTATATTTTGTAAAATCACTGTCGATTGAAAAGCATACTGTGTGCTACCAAAAAATGCAAAAGCTTTAATTTTTATGACATCATTTCAAATCAAATTCTTAGGCCATCTTGGACACCTTAATCTATGAACACCAATAACAGGGAATAATGCACAATCATGAACTGCAAGCAATACTCTTTGATATATGACAACTTTTGTTGTTTTTTTGTTCATTTTAGCCCCGACTGTCATCCTACTAAAGTTGTTTGTGCAGAGTATACAGAGTTTTAACTTGTATTTCTTGCATATCAGACTGGCGTTTCCGTGAGTTTTACCAATGCCATGGGCGGGTGACCGAGGGACGGATATTCCGATCCGAACCGCAAACATATGTCAGATATTTTTTCTTGCATATTCTACCATATTCCATTATATTTTAAATTCTTTATCTTTATTTTCAATGAAAATTTATATCATTACAACCGTAACTACTTTCATTTAACAGCGTATGAATTACAAAATCATTCATAACGGTAAAATGACGTCATCTTTATCGTGCCATTGTACAGCACGCGACTCATCTGGAACCCCCCATGCCAGATGAAATTTCCGGCATGGGTAAAACTAACGGAAACGCCAGTCTGATATGCAAGAAATTCCGGTCCGAACCACAACATATGACAGATATTATTAATCTGGTACATGGAGTACACAATATATTATTATAGTTTAATAACTGGAAACAGACACAAACCCTTTTTGTCATATTTTCACAATTTATTCACCATAAATAAAATTAAAATACATTCAATAACAGAAAAAATGCCTCTTAAAAATAGCACTTAAAACTCTAAGCCTTTATATTGATTGTCAATGTGACCTTCAAAGTTTTCCATTAATAAAAATACAATATGTAATACTGAATTACTGATGTGACCACACATAATGGTAGTCCTCATGATTAATTAATTTGTCTAAATAGTTAATTCTCAGACCATGGTTCATTAATATGGCTAAATCTTGCATGATTTTGTAATATTTCAAGTGGTCAGATTAAAAGAATAATTTACCCCAGAATTGTGTAATGGATTTGCCAATATTTAAATTTGGAATGGTGCATTCAAAATGCAATTTGAGCTACAAACAGTACAGAAATTACATATCATGCAAGGAACAAGAAATACAATAAATGTAAATTATATTAAAATTCAAACATTCAAACACACATTTAATGTGAGAAATCAATACATGTATACAATATTAATGTAATATATCACAGTAAATCAACAAACACAAGATGACAAATCTACTCTGTATTCCCATTGGTTACCATAGAAACCAGTACATAAATATCCTCCTGGACCCTTAGGACCAAAGTCTGGCCCTGTGATCACATAATCTGGCACCAAATTGGAAAACTGAAATAAAACATGAGATGTTTATAAAAAATGCACGTCCCCCTTGTCAGCATACATGTATGTCATTACTTGCACGCAATGTAACTCAGAAACCCTTTGATACAGATAGCCCGCCTTGAACCTTCAGTTCTGGTGAGCTAACAAATGGGGTGTAACTTTGCCAAAATGACTTTTAGGATACATTATTTGCTCTTCTGAAATGGTGACATATTTAGATGGTAAACATGTTCATCAAGCTTAAAGTGAATAATTTTGAAAGTTTTTGAGAAAATGGATGCTAATAAAATTGCTTACTAGAGCTAAAATTCTTGACAAAAATTTTAACCAGGGCTAAAATTATCAGTTGAAAAGTGGTATAACTGTGGGTAATATACTTTTAAGATTATCTGCCCTTTTAAATGGCATCCTTAAGTAACAATTAACATGTTTACAGAGTCTGGAGTGAATAGTTTTAATACTTTCAAAGAAAAGAGACTGTAACGAAATTAACTAATGCCAATGCCAAAAAGAAGATTATTACAATAGCTCCACTTCTTTTCACAAAAAAGTGGAGATAATTAAATACAAATGTAAATTGATGGCATAATTTTTATAGTTACCAATTACCTTTGTTTAAAATTTTGTGAAAATATTCAAAGTACTGTTAAATTTATCACAGGATCCTGTTTTTGCAGACGGATAGACAGACATATAGTGAGAGATGACAAAAGCTCACCTTGAGCATGTTTTGATAGAAAACTGCACATATACATGAAATACCTTACAATAAAGGAGCTTGTCAAATGATAATTGAAGTTTACCGGAGATCTTGTCATGGGAGGTATAGTTGGTGCAGCTAAAGTAACAACATCTTCCATTCCTTCTCTGTCTAGACCAAACAATATTAGTGCTAAATGATTTACACCATTCGGGGTCAAAGTGAGGACACCAGTCCGAGGCGACGAGTACCTGCATCCAGCAAGAGATATTGCATCTGAAATTATTGAAAAAAATGAGCCGCGTCACGACAAAACCAACATAATGGGTTTGCGACCAGCATGGATCCAGACCAGCCTGCGCATCCGCGCAGTCTGATCAGGATCCATGCTGTTCGCTATCAGTTTCTTTTCTTGTTATAGGATCCATGCTGGTCGCAAACGCATTATGTTGGTTTTGTCGTGACACGGCTCAAATGTACTTCATAAATCCAACAATGTCAATGTTACATAGTTAACACTAAATTACCCTTTTCCATTCTTCATGTAAATAAAGTGTATCTTTAAAGGGACTTGACATGAAGGGTTTAGAAATAGTTCCTGAGATTTGTGTACCATTTGATGTAGGTCTGGACCAATTACTTCTGTGCAAATTTTCAGATCATTCACTTACTCCCCTGTTTCCAGAATAATCATTTTCATTGTTTAAAATGACAAAAAAAAAATCAAATTGGGCTAAGAATCGCTAAAAAAAATCAATATTCAATTTAATCCTGTGTATATTTCTTTTGCAGATTTTCCATTTTGAGTTTTTCACAGTCATGATCTATGTAAGAAATTCAAATTTCATGGTTTTAGACTTTTTGATCTCAGTGTAGCTCCTTTAATGGATATATCCATCTTTCAATCTGGACAAAACCATTTTCTAGGGTAAATTTCAAAATAAGTACTGACTGAATAGCAGCACAGACATGTAAGCTGATCTTGATATGCACTAGCCATGTGGGTTTAAACTAGTTGCTGCCAACAGGTTAAAGTTAAAAGCCTGGAACAAAATGTGGACAATAAGAAGATGGGTATTTAACACCAGGTAACAAGCATTCTAAAAACTTCAGCATCTCATTGACAACTACTCTTAAGTAAACTATTGACACAGATTAATAACACAGTTAGGAAGACCAAAAAGAAATAATTTGTTTACATGACAAAAGACATACACAGAAGGAATAAGGTCAGATCAAGAGTGGTACAATTTCTATTGTAAAGATCTAGTTAATCTTGCTTATGCACTTAAATGAAAGCTTACACTTAACTCATTGTAACATATATTAATTGTACACATGTACACAATATTGTATGCAGTAATTGAAAGTTGACCACTAGCATTTTTGTACTAAAATTAATATACAATGTACTTGAACATGCTACTTTTGTAATGTCATTATGTAAGACCTTTGATTGTACATTGTATTTAAAAATCTCACTTATGCTCATAAAAAAATTCCACTATAATAATGTCTATAAACAGTATGTAAACCATATAAGTAAATGCCTTGGTACTCAATAAGATTTCCCCTAAAAAGGTTTAAAAACAACAAGTGAACAAAAATAAAAAAACTTGCAGACTTACTTTCATGATATTGTAATGGTGTATTGTGTAGCAGAGATCTTGTATGAATATTTTCATCTACACTTCCAAGCACAATTACATTTGACGAAGCTACATAAAATAATAAACACAAACATTTTACTTTAAAGTGAATTGGTCTATAATGCTAAGTTTGAAATACAATTAATAAGTATGTTGATAGAATGTTGAGAGTATTTAGAATCATTCAAAACCACAAGCTACAAATGAATTTAATAAGTATATTGTTTTCAAATATGAGATACATTGTACATTATACGATATAACATATTTCTATATATAGCAGAAAATAAAATGTTCTTGAACAAAATATTATTAATCAAATTAATGTTCACACTAAATACCTTGGAACTTTATACACATTATTTTTTCAAGCTATATATTATAAGAATATCCAAATGATACATCTCTATTGTATTTAACAATAAGGCCATCCTTAAAAAAATGTTTGTTTGCAGTAACCCGACCCAGAATTTTCAAGGTGGGTAGGTAGGTCGATTTTTTTTTTTTTTTTTTTTTTTTTTTTTATTGAACTGTACTCCCAAATAAACATGGAATTTCAAAATGCTGGACAATATATGCTTTGATAATCTGGTAACAATTAATAAATTGATAACTGAATTCTAATTTAATAAGAACTACATTTTATTTCTTCTATTAACCTTTAAAAGAACGAAAACAAAGCACAAGGCATAATTTTCTGATTAAAAAAAAAAATTATTTTTTTATCCAGACCATGAAAAAAAAATTGAGTAGGGGCAAATTTTGTGAGTCGGTCGCATTACTGCAAACGAACATTTTTTTAAGGATGGCCTAATGAATATTTAAAATGCTTAATTTTCACTAACTCCTTTTTTCAAAAGAAATTATTCAAATTGTAAAAAATGTCCAAAAACTTTCAGTCTTGCAACACTTTTCATTTAAACTGGGTGAAGAAAAGCACAAAAATATGATTTATTTCTGAGTATACTTCTTTATTATCTTTTGTATATCTTTCTGTTTAAAGTGTCCTGACTAATCTCTGCAACAAATTAAGATTGTAGGCTTTTGGACCTTTCGTTCAATCAGTATTATATTTGATATTCTATAAACCAATCAATCTATCAAATGTGTCACTTTCTTTCAGTAGTCAAGCAATTTGATCATCTCAACAATTATTTCATCCATGTAACAAAACATGTAACAAAAGAAATGAAATATTCTGAAATACTAGAAAGTAGAATGTTAATGATCATCAGAAGAAGAGAGTAACACCTTAAACTATACATTCACCTAAATCCGATTGCTGAACATCTACGTCTTTTACGATATCGGTCCTTGTGTCAGAGGTAAGAAAGAAAAGGTTACTGATATATACAGCTGCCTGCTGGATGTACATCTGACTGTCTTCTGAACCTTGTGTACCTGCATCATACAGAGAGACAAGCTAGTTAGCATACATGTACATGTATTTATTATATACATATCCAAAAAAAATAAAGAATATACAGTATAGCAAGGGGGCACATGGTTAGAAGTCAAAGACTTTAACCACTGAGTCATAGTTGCCCCTATTTTTAAATTCAACTTCCTTAATTCAAGCAAAACCAGACTTAAATTCCTCATCCATACAGCATGGTTTTAGGTTTAAAAATAAACTTGTGAAAAAAAGATACTATTTTCAATTGTGAATACCAGTATGATTCAATATCGCCTGTAAAATTCACTGAAAAAATCTTATGTATTAAACATTTAGCAGATATAGAGAAAAGTCATTTATGAAAGAATACTAACCCAATATTATTTTAAAATGATTTTCAGCAATTCTTCTAGCTGGTCCAAGAGTAAGGGGTCCTCTACTAGTATGGCTATGTACATCATTGTTTTCACACTTTTGCCAACTTCCTGAAATCAAAATGATGTATACATTTAATTGTCAAATTTATATTTGCAAGCTGCATTTTTATCAAATATTTTTATACTCAACTAGAAAGAATCATGCATGGATATAACAGATAAGAAAAACTTCTGATAAGCAGTTTCTAAATAGAGGATGAATAACTCATTACTACACTTTAGGGAAGACGAAGTCTCTGTAATTTAAAGGGACTCCACTGTGAATTATTTATATGATTGGACTTCTGACTTTTGTATACCATTTGATGAAGGTCTAGTTATATAAATGGAACATTAATATAGGAAAGTTATTTCCAGTCCCATCAAGTCATAAAACCTCAGTGGAGTCCCTTTAGAGAACAAAATATATAGTGGCATAGTACATTAAAGTGTAAATGTTAATAAATTGTAAATTTTTATACATTATAAACGTTATTTAAACCTGATTTATAGCAAAGATCTATTTGTCCAATCTCTTTCAAAAGTGACATTTCATCTGAAGAAATCTGTGTTCCATCAATCTGAAAACAAGCACCAAGTACTGTTTTAACAAAAGGGAATGCTAGTTATAAACCTTGGTCAGGATTATGACATAATGGACATATGTAAATGAATCTTATCGAAACGTTTCTCAAAATGAAAATTGTTATGTAAAAATTCATCCCAGTCCATGACCTAGGTATGAAGTTTGATATATATAAATACCTTCAATAGTTTATTTAAAGTCAAGTTTCACATAAAACCAAAATTAAAAGATTTGCTGACAGTTTGACTTGTAGGATACCACCCCATATCATCTCTATAGTTGAGCTAAAAATGGTACAGCATTTGCACATATAAATGTCTGCTATAATATAAAAATAGAGGATCCCTTATTCTCTCTCAATCATATTAAAAGATACCGTTATCCTATGGTATTTACTATGCTCATCTTTAGTTAAACTATTTTTATTCCATAAATTATTGAAATCTAGGAAGTTCTTACTGAATATGAGAATATAATATTAGAGCTGTAAAGTCAGTGTATGAATCCTGGACTATTAATGTATTTACTTTAACATCCAGTCATTGATAATAGCTAAATTATTACCTTGAGATTGGCTTGATGCCACTGAATTTTCCTTATGTGAGACGATGAGATGCTGAGTCGTAACACATTCCGAGATACCATGTTAATTTCGCTACCCGACACTGTAACCTGAAAAACAAGAGTTGTTGGTAGGACTGCATGCTCAACTTAACTATATTCATAGCTTGACAATAAAACAAGAGCCTGGATAATGTAGAATTTTCTTAGTTTTCTGAAAAAGTCCAAACTTCTACCAACTCCATATTAAGAGTTAATGATCTTAGACAGTGACCTATAGTGTAGATAAGTTTGTAAGTTTCAACCCTTTAGTAGCTTTGGAGGTACTGACTTGCATGCAAAAACTTAACCAAAGTATGACTCTGTCACCAGGGGGAGTACAATAGCTTTCCCTATTCTTCCAATATTCGAGGTAAAAACCAACAAAGAGTTACTTTTCTAAGGAGAAAGTTTTATATTGATGAAATTAAAGACTCTTTCAAACAAAATAGTTACACCAACAGAGTAACATCTTTCAAGGCTGACATATGTTTATAATATCAAAAGAAATTCATGGCTTATAAGCCTTGTGCCAAACATATGAATAAGGATTTAATGCTGCATGGCAGCTGATAATAAAGTTGCCTTGTACATTGAACTCCATGTTAGTATTGTTTATATTTTCTGGTCCTTGTGGATTATTGTTCAAATACTTACTAATTTTGAAAACTAAATACTGCTTTGAAAGGTGGCTTGACATAGATGTTACACTTGTTTCTCAACAACAGACTGAATAAAACCAAGCCTGCAATTTTCACCTTTTTTCTTTTTGTTTTCATCGTTTGCAAAGGATCTCCCCTTTTTAAGAATTCTATTATCAAAAGAATAGTAATCCCAAAAATATACGAAATTCAACAGACCTGTAATTCTGATCTTCTGTAAGGGGTTATTTGTTGTATGACCTTTAACCCATACATGCCCTCTCCAAGAGCAGGGTTATAACAAACCAGTCTAAACGAGACAGACTGGTACTTGTACTGATCACCTGATGATGATGGACTGTCACATGTTTCAGCAGTGCAGAAACCAGTCTCCTCCGATTTGCTCAGGTAAGATTCTATATGACCATTGACAAAATCTCTCAGGTATTTATCATTAACTGCACCTCCGTCATTTGTTTCTCTGGAAAATAAATGGACATAAAGTTGTTACTTTACACTCTTGTACATTACAAACTTTTAAACTAAACATAATACCCTTTAAAACTATGCCTTTAAGTTTTGTATGGTGTGTACCTGCCCTAGATTTTAATGGTACATTCACCAACAATTTTGTTATGGACCATTTTGCAATCATTTGCTGCAGCCATTCATTAACATTGGAAATAGAGAAAGAGGTTTATTTTATAATAAGAGCAAAATTCAATATTAATTTCATTTTATTTATGTCTCTTTCTTTGACCTTAACATAGATTAATTCATTAAATGGTATAAATTTATGACAGTATATTGAATATATAAAAAAAGCAGAAACAATAACAATAACTTTGAGTAAATTAATTAAATAATTAATTATTTAATACTTACACTGTATCCCACCACCAGTGTTCTTTTCCAGTCACCTCTGTATAGTTAACTAACATCCCTTGCTCACTAAGTAACCGGTACATTCTCCTAGTAAACCATGGATGAACCGTACGATCAGCGCCACCTATCCGGAGTACAACCGGAACACCATGTAGATTGGTAACATGCTGATCGGCATCATTTTCAACAATACAAGACTCCAGTATAAATTTCGTAGCCGGTTCAACATGACTGGTAGCTATATCATGTCTATGTATATAAAAAAATTTAAATTAATTTAGAGGCCGCTTCAACATGAAAGAAAAAATCTACCTGAACATAACTTTAACAAAGTGAGTCAAGAAAATACACAATATACATCAAACATCTGCTTATTTCATTATGTAAATGAAATTACACTTAAACTCTGTTTAATAAACAATTTCACTCGAACTCTCTATTAAAAAGCATTTCTCATTTCAAAATCCTTCAAATATTTTGTGACATTTGGTCATGCCTATGTTGAACTTAAACATCTTTGGCACAGTTCAACATAAAATTCAATGTTTTACAACATTTAATGTGTCTGCTACACACAAAATATAAATTAGTAAGCTCACAATAAACACTCAATGAAGACAAAATGAAAATGTTGAATCAGTTGATGATAGATATATAGTATAAATAACCTCAATACTCTCTAGCAAGAACTCAGAACTTTCCTTTTATCATAACCCCTACAAAAGCATATACATTTGTACAGTTAAACATGTGAACAAAGGGAGAGACCAGAAAATGGCCTTTATTGACAACTGGGCTTTGTTACTTTGTTCTATTTAATCAATGAAAGGTTGTCAAAGAGTGACCTATATTTGCAGGGTGACCTTTATTCAGAGGTGGTCTTTAGTACAGGTTTGACTGTATATATACCTGAAAAACAGGTTACTATCCCCATATTCCTCCTTCTTGATCCAGCCTGCCAGTGCAACAAGTGCTAGGGCTCTATCAGGGTAGTGTGTGGCTATATGCCATGCCCCATGACCACCCATTGAATGACCTTAAAACAATAATCAAAGAACCACAATATTCATAAAGCTGCTTATTTGTTTGCTTGTCTGACATTTAAGTTGTTTTAAATTACTTTTTGATCTCATCTTGACAGTCGGTCCAGCTTACTTTCAGTAAAGACTAAATTTACTGCAAATTCATCAATCAATTCTTATTTCAATCAATGACAGCAATAAGAATTTTGACTGGTTATATGATCTTATATATATACAATTGTTTGCAACATAAACTTTATCTGATGGCTCAGTAATAAAAGCTTACAACCATTAACACTAGGTCATATAAATGTTTTTAATTACTAATATTCTCTGTTAACTTTTATGGTGTTGGAAGATTTTATAGGTTCTCTTTTGTGCATTATTTCAGGCCAGAGCTGAAACCTTTAAGTAGAACCATTGCTATAAGAACCACTGACCTTCTGTAAACTGACTGAATAGCTTCCACACATAAGAGTATTCAAAACTTATGGCATGATTCAAACATACAGCTGTGCGAGGCAAGATATTTGAAAAATTGAAACTTAACGATTGTGATAAGGCATCATCATGATATATTGTTATAGATACCTGCATATACAACACGTTTACTGTCTGCTTTATTGACAATCCAGTCAGCAGCAGACGTCATTTCCTCCAGACTTTCTAATGCCGAGATAGCTGTCAGCAGTCCTGGGCCTTCCCAGTTGTGTGCACCATGTCTAAAATTAATAAAATATACATATAAAACATCAAGAATACAAGGAATTGTGATTCAGCTTTAATACTTTAAAAATATCTTTTGCTGTAAGCTAAAAAAACTGCCATAGTCTCAGTTCATGATATGATAAAGACTGCAATTATTTACAATGGATTTTGATAAACAAGAAATATGTTCAAAGAACACAAACTCTCCCACAATTCACAATTTTGTCAGTCTATAGACAATGGGATGGACACAATGGTTTATCTTAATGCTCCCACACCCAAAGTGGGGGGCATAAAAAACAACTTGTTTGCTTATGAATGTATTTGTTCATATTGATTAAATATAAAATAATCTCAAAACTATGAAATTAGAATGATGGCACATTCCATTGTTATGACAAATTCCTTTATATTTTATACCAAATCACAATCAATATATAAAATTTTACTGGTAAAAATTTGTAATATATGCTTCACTGTTAGGAGCAAAATTAAGTGTTTTCTTTGGCAAATATGTTGCTTTAGATAAAAATGAAAATTCTGTACTCACCTGGTAGGAGCTAATGTCCAAGCTTTAGGAAAACCAAACACAAATTCGCCATTCACCATATGTTTGTAGCTATCAGCCTGATTCTGTGGAGGTATTGTCGTTCCGTGAAGTGATAACATAGTTGGACACACTCCACCTGGACAGTCCTGTGATGATATATTTGTTAATTAAGGATAAATAAAAAAATACATCAAAGTTTATCATGTTCATATGTCTTGGTTTGACATAGTTGTCACTAAAATAAGCATGTACATGTACAATGAATGTAGATATACATGTATTTTTAGTTTTACATCATAATATGCTGATGAATAGAGATATAACATAACATTGAAATAATGCATGCATCACAATTGGCTGTTTTAAGGGTGTTTTTCTTGCTATAATTTAGGGGGGGGGAGAGGGGTGTGTTCCAAATTTTGCAAATGTGTTTTTTGTCCATTCAACTATTGCAACAGTATTCACATTAAACAAAAATTAAACTATTACAGTCTGTATGGAATGAACACAGATATTCATCCCATGTCACTTGAGACCATGCAGAAGGATGGGCAGACGAACGTGCTCAAAGTTTGGTATTTAAGTGACTACTCAATTTGTTCTCTCTTTTGTTTTTTAAGCCACGTAAGAGAAAACGTAGCCACATAAGAGCTTACTGAATGAATAGCATCAGAGGAAATTTACTGTTACCTATTGTTCCCATAGCCCTCTAAGTATCTATATGTTTGTACGGATGGACAATGCCATAGAACAAATTTTACAATATGTTCTGACGTTTCTTATGGGTTGTAAAAACAAACCCTTTGACAGCTGGCTCAATGGATAGCAAAATAATACAATTCAAACCCACATATGGAAACATCAGAGCACATGTAACTTTCAATAATGACTTTGTGAAAGTTCACAAAAACAGTAGTTTTGACTGAAGCAGTATATTATAATTTTACAATAAGAAAGAGTGTTATACCTGTAATGGTTGAATGCCTGCTGCATGCTGCACTGATCCATCATGGTCTATAAACGTGAACAAAAATGACTGTATCCTGGTTCGACACCGGAGCTGTACCAGCAATATGACAGAACCGGCACTTGTGGTAAACTTTAAATTAAATTCTATATCCCAAGATGATTCCGGATAGGAACATCCTGAAATAACCTTAGTGTCACTGCCCTTGACTTTTAACTTTAAAATGATTGGACAAATCTGACCAGGCGCTATGTGAACACTTGTATCTTTGAGACGAACTTCAAGTGTATTTAGGATTTCTGTTTTTTTTGAATTTATATCAGAAAGTGTAACCTTTGTAATTTTAAGATACTTTGATCTATGATAGTTTTTACAATTGGGAATGTAAGATATTGACTAAAACAGTCTTCCATCAACCAAATCAGGCAAAAAAAGGCAAACTAGCAACTTTTTAGCAAAAATTGGCTTAGTGGTTTATGAGGAGATGTCATTTAAAGTAAAAGTTTACGGACGGACGGACGCCGGACGTAAAGCGATCACAAAAGCTCACCCTGTCACTTTGTGACAGGTGAGCTAAAAATACAACAAAGTTTATCATGTTCTAATGTCTAGGTTTTACACAGTTGTCATTAAATAAGCATGTACATGTACAATGAATGTAGAAATACATGTATTTTTAGTTTAACATAATTATATGCTGATGAATAGAGATATAAAATAACATTGAAAGAATGCATGCATCACAACTGGCTGTTTTTAGGGTGTTTTTCTTGCTATAATTTAGATGTTTTTTTTGGAGGGGGTGGGGCGGAGGCAGGGGGGTTCCAAATTTTGCCAATGTGTTTTTTTTCCATTCAACTATTGCAACAGTATTCACATTAAACAAAAATTAAACAAGTACAGTCTGTATGTATGGAATGAACACAGATATTCATCCCATGTCACTTGAGACCATGCAGAAGGACGGGCAGACGGACGTGCTCAAAGTTTGATATTTAAGTGGCTTCTCAATTGTTCTCTCTTTTATTTTTTAGCCACTTTAGAGAAAAAGTAGCCACATAAGAGCTTACTGAACGAATAGCATCAAAGGAAATTTACTGTTACCTATTGTTCCCATAGCCCTCTAAGTATCTATATGTTTGTATGGATGGACAATGCCATAGAACAAATTTTACAATATGTTCTGATGTTTCTTATGGGTTGTAAAAACAAACCCTTTGACAGCTGGCTCAATGGATAGCAAAATAAAACAATTCAAACCCACATATGGAAACATCAGAGGAAGAGCACATGTAACTTTCCATAATGACTTTGTGATAGTTCTGTACAACGAGTCCACAAAAACAGCATTTTTGACTGTAGCAGTATATTATAATTCTACAATAAGAAAGAGAGTTATACCTGTAACGGTTGAATGCCTGCTGCATGCTGCACTGACCCATCATGGTCTATAAATGTGAACAAAAATGACTGTATCCCAGTCCGACACCGGAGCTGTACTGGCAACATAACAGAACCTGCACTTGTCGTAAACTTTAAATTAAATTCTATATCCCAAGATGATTCCGGAAAGGAACATCCTGAAATAACCTTAGTGTCAATGCCCTTGACTTTTAACTTTAAAATGATTGGATAAATCTGACCAGGTGCTATATGAACACTTGTATCTTTGAGACGAACTTCAAGTGTATTTAGGATTTCTGTTTGTTTGGAATTCAAATCAGAAAGTGTAACCTTTGTAATTTTAAGATACTTTGATCTATGATAATTTACAATTGGGAATGTAAGATATTGACTAAACAGTCTTCCATCAACCAAATCAGGCAAAAAACTAGCAGGCAACACTTCAAGGGTGTTCTTTGGAACTTTTAGTTTACATAAAAATTGAGCATTTCCTTTCGTTCTAAGTTTGATGTAAATTGTATGAAGACCAGAGTCAAGTTTGACCCCATACCAGTATTTATCCCTATGATAAACATCTCCGCTTACTGGTATATTGTCTACATAGATAGTATGAACACCAACACATTGTATAAGTATATTAAGGTCATTTTCATTAACTTCAAATTCTCCGACCACCCAACCCTGCCATTCAGTAATGCCCATTGACCCCAAAGAACTGACTAAGTCATTCCAATTGATTGCAGGAGTTATCTGAACAGCTTTGTCAACAGCTGCCTGCTTCATGTGTTTCCACTGAATTTCTCCTCCAGGCAACAATTCTGAAAACATCTTGACATTTTTCTTGAATCTTGTTTTTGAGACATTTCTGATTCCCCCAAATGCTTCCACAGGGTCACCATCCACTTCGATTTTCCCAATAACAAAAGGCCCTATGAATGACCACTCTTTTACATGAGAAGATATCCTTCCAGTAAGTTTGGCTGCTTGTTTGAAGCAAACTGCTGCTTGTGATTTCTGCCCCAGATCTTGAAACAATGTTCCTAGTATATTCCACATTGTCCCTGAGGTCTGCAGGTCTTTTTCTTTCATACCTTCTAGAACACATGTCACCGTATATTCTAAATTCTACAAGAAGAAATTAGGAAACAGAAAAGTTTAATAGTTTAAATTTATTTATTACAATAAGCTTTAACAAATCTTGATTAATATCATTAATAAAGATACAACAAGGTTAGGGCTGTAACAATGACTCAGATACCCAGATTTTCGTGATTCAGACCTTGACAATATAATGGTATTGTTAGTCCTAAGATCACTGGATCACCGTTCACACCTATTATTAATAAATAATTCTTTAATTATTGCATAAAACTGACTGGGACAAACATTTTTTTGTTCCAGCATAAACTAGAACTTAAACGTCAGAAAACTATCATTCCACTGTTTAACTTCATCTTGTTTACATTTAGTTTATACAAATTTATTTTAGTTTGATTGTATTGGAAGCTGTAAGCTTATTGAAACACTCTCGAATCCGTTCCTGGAACCAACCAGTACTAAGCAATGAATATAATTTTCCTTGCTCAAGGAAACAACGGCTGGCTCCTGACAGGGTTTGAACCCACACGGTCAGCAATCCTTAGATTACTAGTCTGACGCATTGCCCACTCGGCCATGCCACATGTTTACATTTCACATGCATATATATATATGCCCTGCTCTCAAACATTTTTTTTAGCTACATTTTAACTTCAATTCTAAACTGTTGTTATTAAGAAAGTAATGCACATGTAGAACTCATTCTCTAAAAATGATCACATGTTGTTTTCAGTATCAGTATCAATTTGTTTTAGAAATTAGACTGTCAGATTTTAAATTGCAATTCCCTTTTCCTCAAAGTAAATTTGTAAAAACAGTAAAACTAAAACAATATTTATCCAGAGCCATCAGTGTTATCAATAATTAATGTATAAGCAACCTGGAATTATGAAAACCATTTTATCACTATGAAATGTCATGTAACTGTTGTTCCATAACAACATTAAGATTTTGTGTTATTAATTATTACCTTTGAGTTAAGTCTGAGGTGATCAAGATTTCTTTGAGTGTATTTCTTCATTGAACACTGTATGCCTTTATCTAGGAGCGCTTTCCGCTGCTTATCTATAAAGTTTATCTGGTAAATGGAAATAAGAAAATAGAGGATATTAAATGAGTGTAAGTTTAATACTGAATTTATTGAACGAGTTGAATAAAATTATATTATGCTTGCCTCTGTCAATAAGTTCAATAAATTTAGTAATGACTAATAAACTTACACAAATTTAATATTCTTTTTATCACATACCAAAAACAAAGATTGTTTGAAGTGAATAAGAACCAGTTTTCATTTGTTGCCCCTACAGTATAATGCTAACATTTAGCGCATCTTTAAAGGCCGGGGAATGTGAACTCAGATATCCGTACGGATGGCCATTAAGCATATTAGGTACAAGAGGCGGGGTTTTATTATCATGACCTGAGGTCAGCATGCTTGTAAATATAAACATGTGGTCTGCAATAGTATAGGAGAGTTCAGCATTCAGGAGAGATAAAGAAGTTGTGTATTTATTGGGGGGTAATGATTTTGCAATTTGATGAAAAGGTAATAGCAGTGCTGTCAGGATGTATATTGCAATTACATATTTTTACAATGAAGAGTATAATTTATGAAATCGGTGATAGTCAGTATATACAAACAGTAAATACTAATTGTTTAGAAATGCCTTGTATATAGAAAAAATGTAACTTACATTTATCTGTTTGTCCACTTGACTCTTTTATTTTTTTGGGAAACAAAACTTATTTTTTTATGAATTCTGGTGAACTAAATTATGGTTATGAAAAGTAAAGCAAAAACTGCTGCTCTACAAGGGGACAGGCGATTTAGAAAATATGTGTGGCACAGGCGTGATATTATACCGAAATGTGTTTTAAACATTGTGAGGGAGTGGTTCCCGAATCCAGTTGGTGAACCATACATGGGCCACTTGTGGGAATAGACAGTGATGCACATTTGGGTGATATGTTTCTTTTACAGAACAATCAATATATCAACAATTAACTTATTATGATGTCATTTCAAGTTAACAAATTCATGATTGTAGGGATGGAATATAACACAATCAATAAATAAAAATTCAAGTTCATTGCTTGCATAGTATTTCTCTAGTAGTATTTATTGCCTTAGTATTTATTTCCCCGCCATCTATCAAACTCTACTGTGAGAATGTTTATACCTAGAGAGATGTAGTTGGCTGAGAGAAAGGTCATAACCTCTGTACAACTGTCAATCAAATACACAGGGAAATTTGGATTTTGTAACTGTTTTCAAAAAAAGATTTTTTTAAAGTAGTACTTCTAAGTATCACAGAGATCTGTAACTTTCAAGGAATGTTGCTTACATGATAAAGAAGTGATGTGCCAATTTATAGCAAATAATATGAGGTATGTCTCTCTAAATTTTGAAATTTCATTTTTCTATCTCTCTCTGATTATGCTAGCAGACAGCATACAGAGTTCAACAGCAGTGGCCATTTTTCTGCTTGTCTGCCTTTTATACTTGTTCCCAGGCCTTTAAGCTATGTTTATGTAAGAAAATTACGTCACATCAAAATATATTCTCGGATGTGCAATACTGTATTTACAGAGCCATAAAAGCAGCACAGTACAATGCATGTGATAAATATGTTTTAAGCATGTACATGTACAAATGTGTTGATTCCATGTCAGAACAAAGTAAAAAAAAATATCCAGATCAACTTTTTCTGACAATTATGCATACTCATAATTTAACGTAATCTTGTTCCGCGAAATTTTATATTGCAGTGTTAAACATGTTTTGGACCAGAAACTTCTCAAAAAGAGAGAAAAGTAAACTACATTGTAATTAATACACACAAAATGTATACATCGTCGCGAAAACATATGAAATTCTGCAAAGTACACAATTTCTTACATTTTGAAGACTTGATATACATGTACTTACATCAATATCAGACGATTTCAAGGCAACACCAGTGAGATGAATGCATACTATTACAAGAGATGTCAGTATCAGATTCCTGATCATTTTGTTTTTTAGAGATTGTTAAAATTTGCAAATTTTCCGGGAAAGTTAGAAAGTTCTCCTTATTGGAGAGTACTCTGCGCAGGTTCCAAAGTACTAAATACAAGCTGATGCCCTGTTTCGGTGACGGCCCACAGGCAGTCGGTGCGTGGCTTGGATAGTACATGACCACGCCCACTTATTTTTTTTAATAATTTTTATTTCACTAATATAATATTTCTTTCACTCAAAATGTTTTTAAAATGTATCATGTTCAATAAAACAAAAAAGGAAAACTGTTTTTAAAAATTTCTTACATATATACTTTAAATATAGTATACTATATTTATAGTACATATGGGATGAAATTTTTCAAAAAAATCTTTCCTTTGTTGATGTATTGAAAATTAGATATTTTAAAAACATTTTGAGGGAAAAAATATTTTATTAGTGAAAAAAAAAATATTTATAAAAATAAGTGGGCGTGGTCATGTACATGTATACTATCCAAGCCACGCACCGACTGCCTTTGTGACGGCCCAGTTTCAGTGACCTTTTTATAGAAAAGCAATATTTCAAAGTGTTAATGCAAGTGGAACTGTTTATGTTAACTTATTACATTGATAAATGGTCAGAAAATACAAAATTGTGTATCTGGCATACTATTTTTTCTGGAAATCCTCTTTTAAAGCATTTTTCTTATTACTTTTTTATTTACAGAATATTGCATAATTTTTTTAACAAAAGCTAAAATTGAAATTGTTTTTTTTTAGCATTTTATGACTGTCAGCCTATTTTCTCCATGTCTGCAATTTAACGTACTGAGCTGATAAACATGAAAATATAAGCAAACAATGAAGTTAAAATACACAATTTCCTTATATATTTTTCGTCAAAGATTGAAGAAATTTAAAAAATGAAGAGTATTTTCTTACCACTGAATTTTGTTGAAAGAAGTATTATTGTATTGTAAAACTCAGATTTATTGTTGAAAAATATCAATACTTGAAAACCAACTTCTCATTGAAGATAAAAAAAAACACTTTTTACATGTTGTGTCAATTTTACCTACCCCACCCCCTACTGTTTCATACATTTCCCTTTTCTGAAACCGTCCTAATTAATGTGCCCCATGTCTTGTCTTTATTAAAGCATATTTTTAGTATTGATATTTTCTATTGCTCAGTTTGTGTGTGCATACCATATGCTTTGACCATTTCTTGCTTATGCTTCGATCTTGGTTAGAAATTAGATAGCGGTCACTGAAATAGGGCCCATTCTGTATCTATGAGCTAAATAAGGGTATGTTTGGTTGATATGGTAAAAAATATTCATTCATAAATATATTGCTATTGTTTGTGTTTGAATTAATGAAGAAATGTAACTTTTGAAGAATCTGAAGTTAAAGTAAGTGTCCTTAAATATTTTTTATAAATCATTGTGCTCAGAACACTCTTAGGGTCACTGAAACTGGTCCTTCAGCGATATAATAATTATTTTCAATCATAACTATTTATTTATGCATTATATCTTACAATATTATATATTTTGTTAAGTTGTTATTTTTTTCCATAATGACACTGGGTGCACATCCACCTCAATTATTTATGAAAGCATGGTTCGCATACATGCATGTCCAGGATGAGTCCTTCGGTCATTGAAAGACATCGCATTTTCTTTTTTTTTACAGTTTTACGTTTATTGGAACACGCGATTAAAGCGGATTTGACCAATGTAAAAAATAGCTTCAAATCCGCGGTTTACGTCTAAATATTTGAAATAATCCGGGATGAGAGAAAAAGTCACTGCCTTAATCATGCATATTCTAAGATCGACGTTTGTCGTGATAAAGCATCTAAAAATACTCCAGTCATGGATTTTGTTTCAAAGTGCAAGCTGAAACACGAATGGTCTTTGAGTTCCTATGCACCAGTAATAATTACGAACTATATAGTATTGCACACTTCCTTCTTTTGATTGAAATATAATTTATTTATAAATTTGGAAAGATAATATATCACAATTGTCAAATCAAAATCAACATATAAAACTTACATTTAAGTATGTTTTTGACTTTAACGCTTATGACGTTGTGACAACGTTCTTTTTGCACGCGCCTTATGCGCATTATTATGTTTGCTTAGATATGTAATGTAAAGACCATAATGTGTTTAATTGTTATAATTTTTGTTCCTTGTAAAGAGGACATATCACGCATTTATATAATGTTTGTTATATGAACTTTTAATAAATTAAAACAATATTGTGATAGAAAACCCAGGAAGAAAATAGTTATAGACCAAAGAGGACAGTGGACTGTGACCCCAAAGTCCAACATTGACCACGGAGTTGCAAATATTGGTCTTGCGCATGACGCAGAATCTCAATGAGATGAAGACAAATGCCAAATAAGTTGACAATACATCATGTGATGAAAGAGTTACTTAGCTTAAAGGTAAAACAGGATTTTAACTTTGAACTTAAAAATGACAATGACCTTGAAAATACGGAAATGATTCTTGCATTTGACACATCGGCTGACAGTGTTGAAAATATGTGCCAAATATTTTAAGAGTTCATCACGTTATGACAAGGTTTAAGTCGAATAGGATTTACCTTTGACTGCTATGTACGACCTTGACTTTGAAGGTGCAGACTACGTCTTACACAAGATACATTGGTGAAAGTTTACAAATTTCTTTTGAAATCCCATCATACATGGAAATTATTGTCGGGACACAAACTCCTACGGCATAAAAACTAAATAGTCGAATCCCTTGCTGTGACCATGAAATAGACCTAGATCTTCTGCGCGACACACTAGCTGCCCCTTTATGGTGACAAGTGTAATAGTTCTAACTAAAATCCCATGCTTGCAGAAGTTATGGACAGGACACAAACTTAAACAAAATTGAAACTATGGAAAATACACAAGTTCAATCTCTTGCTGTAACCATGACCTTTGTGTTAGAGGCCTTGTTCTTAGAAGCGACAAAATGTCTACATAAAGTGGTCTTATGTGCCGATTAATTTTGAAGTCTCATGATGATAGAGGAGTTATATATTGCCTGAATACGAACTCTAACAGAGGTATATGAAAAATGCAGCAAGTTAAATAGCCTGTTAGCTGTGTCCTTGAACTTACAGTCAGGGTCTTGCGCGTGACACATTGTCTTCTATTGCAATTGGTAGTCATGCGTTTACCAATTTAGTTTCAAATTTCAAACACTCATACGCATGCACGCACTCACGGGCATAGTTACCAAAGAAATAGAACCATAGTTTAAAACCAATAGTTTTCATGGTTTAAGAGAAATAAAACTTAAGTGGTATGCGGATTTTTGTAAGGATTGAAGATGATGTTTGAGCTACATGAGATACAAGTAATGTAAGACAATTTCATAGTTAACTGGATATAATAATATTATATATTAAACATTACTCTGCGTATTATGCTAGTTATAAATGATTTTTTAAAGGTTATATGTCCCAATATGAAAGGTTGTAAGCTGATAAATCAGGAGCTGCTAAGCTGTGATCTGATATTGATACCTAATGAATACTAGTATATAATATATATACTGCACAACTTCTTGATTCAATTTAAGAAAAAAAGAAGAAAGAAAATAATCCGTACAATTGCAGCATCTGTGTAATTTTATTTTATATAAACGTCACGATTATCCAATAAAAATTGCGGCTTTAAAACACCCGAAATCAAGACGTGAGTGGAGATAAAGAAGTGGAGATATTGAAGTTAAATTCACGAATGACGGTTTGACTGGGACGATTTTATGAACCGTATACAATGTACTTGTATTTGAATCAGATCATAATCATATACGTTGTGCATAAATAGAGCAGTCGAATTTTTACATGACTAACTAACTTATAAATATAGAGTAGATTATCAATATCATCAAAAGGGAAATGGATACTTTGTCAATATATTTAAGCGATATTTTTGAAGTTGCACAGGAGCAAAGATTTGTTATCGCATGTATTTTAACGTCAGGTAAGATTATAGATTTAACTTTTAAAATCGTGTTTAAACTAGGTCGCCGTTTAGTAAACCCTGCATTTAATTATAGGACTTATATATACTGTTTGTTATGCGTTAAGTACTGCACGTTAAATATGCATGGTGGCCTATCTGTGACATGTATAGTTGTTCTTGTGACGAAAAACTAAATGGCAATAACTAGTAGCCGTACTTTTTAAATCTAAATTCGTTGTGTAAAAAAAACTTATACATTGTAATTATAAACTTGCATGCATTCGTGAACACAATCTAATTTTAATGTAAATTTGTTATACATGTATATAAATCTTAATTTTTTCTTATTTATAATTAATGTGTTTTTTAACGAGCATGTAACAGTTTTGTTTATGTTCAATCCCGAATGATATAGAAACGTCCGATCCCGATTAATAAATAATTACGGTGTCCTGTAATGCCCAGTTAAAAATCCTCTAAATTTAAACAAATCTATAAGTTCAGTCATCGGACGAGGCGAAAGTTATGCTCTCATGTTTATATTTATATAAATATTTGTTTTAGCTTGACAGTAAGATAACATTTTTCAAACTTATATCGATTTATAACGATTTTGGTTCCCAGCCTAAGTTAGAAAGGCCATTGTTGTCCAGTTGGACTCGAAATCAGGATATGTCCCTGGCCTATATAAATACATGCTTGGTTCCTGGCCTTGGGTACGCATGTGTTACATAATAGAATTGAGCCTGGTATATTACCACTGCTGTCAGTTAGACTCGATCCTAAATATTTCTTTAAGCAGAGATCTTTCTCCACCAGTAAAGTTGGAAAGTTGTCATATGACTTTCACTGTGTCGGCCCGACGTAACCCCCCCCCACCAACCAAAAGAAATAATAGAATACAAATGTTGATGTTCATGAATATAACCACAGAATAAAGTGGTTCAGTGGTTCATGAATTTTAACACCAGTTTTCAATAAAACATTGTAGCATGTGGAATATTTGCATTGAGAAGATACGCGGCCGGTGGCGTATGCAGATGTCGTACTGACATGACCGGGAAAACCGTGCTGATCACTGGAGCTAATACAGGCATTGGAAAAGAAACAGCGCGTGATCTGGCTCGCAGGGGTAAATATATTAACTCATTACATGCGGACAATTTTCGTCTAATATTCATGCTTTTAATCATTGCAAGCTATGATGTAACTAATCAACATGGGTATTTATCCAATGCTCATTGTTTTGTGTGTTTTGTATTGTGGTGTTCAATCTATTTACATGTATATCATAACCGAGTGCCTTCGACAATTATTTTAATTTGTGCTCTCTTACTTTTGAAGTAATTTGTTAGTTTTGGCAATTTTCGTGTGTTTTTCTTTTCGTAGTTACATTATAAAACCATTCATACTTATACATGTTTGTCTACTCTCACCGCTTCCGATCTCGCACAACTCATAAAAATATTCTTACATGAAGTGCAGGTCAAGTATATTGAGACATTAAAAAAATTCACATGTTAAAAACAAATCCTCTCCGTGACTGGTGCACTGCAGCACGTGTTCTAAGTGTTTCTGATTGATGATATCTTTATTCCCATTTACTATTTCAGGGGCACGTGTTTTGTTGGCATGTCGTGATATTGTAAAGGCAGAAAAAGCAGCGGAGGACATCCGAAGATCAACCGGAAGTGATGATGTTGTTATATATAATCTTGATCTGGCATCATTGACGTCAGTTCGTCAATGTGCGGAACAAGTCATAAATAATGAGCCCCGGCTAGACGTTCTGATTAATAATGCTGGTACTATATACATGTATTATCATGATAATGATCATCACTTACCATCACCACCACCATCATCATAATCATTATCATCGTCGCAACCATCAAAGTCATCATAATCATCATATTCTCTTCATCAAGTTTTTGTTCAACGTACATAGACACTATCAATATTATATGCCGACTTTTCACAAGGGGGAAGTCCCTGGGTGCTATTTCTGGCATAATTTCGGATAAAAGCATACGCCTGATTAAGACTTTCTTTTTTATTTCTTTTTTATCATCATCGTCACAAGCTGCAGTAGCCGCAGCTATATGCGATTATCATACATTATGGAATTCATTAGTACGAGTACACATCTGTCAAAACTATGTTTGAAGAGGCGCTAGCCAAGTCTCTAATAAGTAATAAAGGTAATTTGCAGTTGTGTAGATTGTTCTCAACAATGTGGAGATTATGACTTCTTTATTTCGCCATTTTTTGACATTTTTACAGAACTTTGTTTCCCAAGTACACAAATGATTAGATAAGAATATTTGGAATCTAAAAATGAAACGGGGCTAAATGGAGTACGATATGTATGAGATGATGACATTTTGAACTTCGAAAATAAAAATGAGGCTAAATAGGATTTGATACAACTATGTTGGACCCTGAAAATGAAAACAAGGCTTTATGGGGGTACAATATGCATATGATATGGGACTCTGGAAATGGAAACGAGGCGAAATTGATAAATGATTTATATAGGAACATCACGTGGTTCAAACGCTAAAATATTGGTCTTATCTTATAAGGTGTGAAATGATTTTAAATATTCCATTAGTTGATTTACTCTGATATTGATAAATATTTTTAAATTTAAATGGTCATTTCAGGTGTTATGATAATGCCATATTGCAAGACTGAAGACGGATTTGAGATGCAATTTGGAACCAACCATCTTGGTCATTTCTTGCTTACGAATCTTCTATTAGATTTACTGAAGAAATCGGCCCCAAGTAGAATTATAAATGTATCTTCGTCGGCGCACCGAAGTAAATATAACATTATTATTTAGTTCTATGAGATTTAATCTATTTCTTAATTATAAATTATCTATTTTTGTTTTTCATTCATGAAAATTCCCAAAAATGAAAATGTATTTGCAAGTTTGAAATGAATATGATTTTATTGTCTTATCAATACACATATTTACTTTAAAGATGCTTAATTATAATAATAGAAGTCGTAGTAAATAAATAAAGAAACTAAGTAAAAACATATTATATCTCTTTCAATTTTAAGTGGGACATATCAACTTTGACGATTTGAACGGAGAAAAGAGCTATTCTCGTGTCGGAGCCTATGCCCAGAGTAAAGCAGCAAATATATTATTCACAAGAGAGTTAAGTAAACGTCTTAAAGGTAAACGTCTCATCTTTTGAAATTTCTTTTCAAGTCATTTGAGCCGCGTCATGACAAAACCAACACAATGGGTTTGCGACCAGCATGGATCCAGACCAGCCTGCGCATCCGCGCAGTCTGATCAGGATCCATGTTGTTCGCTATCAGTTTCTCTACTTGTAATAGAGTTGGTAAGCGAACAGCATGGATCCTGATCTCCGCGCAGGCTGATCTGGATCCATGCTGGTCGCAAACCCATTATGTTGGTTTTGTCGTGACGCGGCTCATTTGTTAATGACTTAAATGCTTTCATTTACAGTCAAACTTGTGCTAAAGACCACCTCTGAATAAATATAACCCTGCAAATATTGACCACGTTTTAATAACCCTCCATTGGTGCAATGGAATAAAATAACCTTTGATTAAAGACCTCTTGTCAATAAAGGCCATGATTTGGATCTCATTGAGTGGCTATTGTTCACAAGTTTGACTGTATTATATTTTGTTATTATGGCCAGACACTCACATTGATATTTCCATAGACTTACATTATAGGAAATGGTCCCTTATCCTACCTTAAAATTCAGTTTTCATGCTAAAGAGGAAATAAGTTTCTCAATAAATAAAGGGAGGTAATTCACCAAAGTTGTGCATAATCACACCCTTTTTATACATTTATCTACCAGAATAAGTGCTTTTTCTGTTTATAGACACATCACAGACACTAAAGCTGTGTTATAATTGTGCCTAATATGATTGTGAAAAAGTAGATCAACTTTTACATATCAATAAAACTTTTCTACAAAATAATTCTAACCTTGGCCATTATGATGCACATTCAATTATGCATTAAACAGACATAAGGTCTAAAAACTATGGCATTATACAATTGTGAGTGTGTAAATATGTATTACCAAGTAGAAAACAATAAATTCTTTTTTTTTTTTTTTTTTTTTTTATTGTCCTCGTCAAATGATGCTGAAGGGTCGAGGGCATCCCAAACAGCATCTTACAATGTCATTTCATGTATAATTTTAAACTGTATACAATGACAAGAAACAATTATATAAGATACATGTATATAGGAAAGTTACTTAAAAGCTATAATATTAAACAAACAAAAAAAACAAAAAAAAATCCACAATAACTTGCCCACCTTTGTTACATGAACCATTGGTAGAATTTTCTTTGCTAAAAATTTAAATATAAACTTAATCTGAGGCGTCCTGAAAAATATTTTGGACCAGTTTCCATTCTTTTTCAAAATCTGATAATGTATTTCTTTTGAAAGCTATTTTTCTGTTTAAATTGTATTGAAATTGAAGAAAAAATTTGAGTCTAGGGAATGTCAAAGTTCCGTTTAAAAATCTATTTTGAAAAATGAACTGTTTTATTAATAGTAATGTATTATACAGTGGTATATTGTTTGTACCTAGGATAGTTTTTCTTTCATTCACTTGGAATTGTATATTATTTCTTTCACATACTAATTTTACCTCATTGAGAAGCCTAGATGTATGAACACATGACCAAAAGAGATGCTCAATGCTTTCATTTTCTACATTACAATAAGAACAAAGTGGGGAGTCTTTCAATTTTAGTTTGAAAAGGTACTCATTTACTGGTAATATTCTATGTAGTATTCTAAATTGTAGCCATTGTGCACTAGTATTTTTGGTGTTGTTAAACGGCAAACTATAATAAGATTTCCATTTGTTTGTTCAACTGAAAATTTATGTTGCCATTTAATCTGACTTGTTGGTTTTTTCAGTGTTATTGTTTAAAATATTTTGTATATGGCATTGGTACCGTTGTTTATTCTTAAATTATGACTGATAAAGTAAGTAGGCAAGAAGGGTTGTTGTTGCTTATCTATTATATTTACATTGATTTTCATTTTTTTTAAGAAATTTCTTAATACTATTTTTTGATTCCCATATAGTGGCAGTATATTTATACTCAAACCAAATAGTTTTTGTAAATGATCTTTAGTCAAGATTATATTATCTTTATCAAAAATGTCATTAATACATGTAACACCTTTTTGGTACCAAGATTTGTAAAAAACACTTTTATCACCAATTACAATATTGTGATTGTAGAATAACGTGTGATTGTAGAATAACGGAAAACAATAAATTCTTATCACTATTTTGCATCTAAACCACATAATAAGAGGCTATTCAGAGGCAACCTAACTGAATTATGCTACATTTTTCAATGGATTTCAATTTCTAAGTATGTGTTGATATTCATGCCCTGAAACCAAGTAAATTTTAAGACAGAAGCCTTAAAATGCTATTTATTTGAAGCTTTAATGCTATCTATGCCTGGAAATGAAACACAAAACATTCTTATATGGGAAACAGACAAAGAAGCAATTTATTTGTGACATTCTATTTAAAAATATTTGAGCAAAAATGGAAAAAAATAGTGCCGAGCGAAGAAATTTCCGCCCTAAATAAAGTCGAAAAGTTAATCGAAACAGCACCCTAGACTTTTTAAGTATTATATATTAGTATTGAACCTGACAAAATGCATTTGTAGTGATATACCTGCAACACCCATCAAAAATGGCCAATGTGCTTACATCAGGTCCTGTCAAGTTATACATGAATTGTCTTCAAACCTGGCATGTGTATAGCCAATGTAAACAGCATTTCTTTGAAATCTGAAAAAAATTTTTAATGCCCAAGGTCTACACTATTCATCATCAACATATCACCAATTGATTATCACTCAAATTCACTGTTCAAAGAAAATATAAAACCATTATTACTCTTATGTAACACTAATACTCTTGTTCATATGTAAAACAATGCTGTAGATTGACCCCTTTGACACATTATCTGCTGTAAACACCAACAGTTGCCATTGAAATAATGAAATTTCATACCCTAGACAGGCTGTATACATCCATTCTTCCAAAATATCAGCTTTTCATGGTGTAATCAATGAAGACAAAGTACTACTGTGAATTATGACAGTTCCAATTTCCTTCTCTTTAGGCAGACACTCACATTGATATTTCCATAGACTTACATTATAGGAAAATGGTCCCTTATCCTACCTTAAAATTCAGTTTTCATGCTAAAGAGGTATTTTTTCTAACAGAATGAAATGCCTGACACATAAAAATGTTCCTGTTTATAGGGGTAGCCAACCAAATTTTTGCAAAATGACTTCCAAGACGATTACCCCCCATTTCATTGAAAATTTTCTGCTGATCACAGGACTGACACACACTTTTTATAAATGCAAAATATCCAAGTCAAAATTATCACAGAGAGACTCATGAAATATTTCATTTTCTTCAGAAAACATTGTAGTCTTACTTTTTAAATTAGTTTTTATACTTAAAAATACCCCACTTTCATCCAATCGCCTCATGTATAAACTGAATCATACGGTTTTCCCTGCACTTTTTTTCAGCCAATCGCTGGCCGTGTTACAATGCGTTACCCTGACCTTATGACAGATTGTATTTTTCTATCGCGAATATCAGTAATTCTTATGAAATTGATAATTCGTAAGAAATTAGTTTTAAAACCTTACTAACTTTCACATTTTTATATAAAATTGACCGACTGGTAAAGGTTGCTGACGTAGGACCTGGTGCCTGTAACACAGCAAGCAGGTATTTCTAAAGCCGTCCGGTCAGCTCAATAGCAGGACCATTGGACAGTGAATCGGGCTGTCCAGGTTCGATTCCCGGACGGGGCAGGTCACTTTCGCTGTTATTGTCGACGGTCATTCGCACAGTACCATTGCTGTTATCAGTTTCTGGCAACTTGTACTGGTAAACTGTTTGACAGCCTGCCCAGGAACGATGCCGTGGCTGAACTGTGCTCCGGTTAATTCAGTGTGGCTTACTGACGTGATCCGGAGTGAAAACTACCAACACCACCACCACAGGCATTTCTATCTCATATCTATTACAAATATATAGCATAATTTTTATGTGCTCAGAAATTACGTTCTTTCTTTTTCATTAAAGGTACAGGTGTTACAGCCAATTCTCTCCACCCAGGACTTATAAATACCGAGTTATTACGGCATGCACCATTACTATCACGAATAATCGGATTTCCTGTGCCATATTTGGTTTTCAAAACAGTAGCACAAGGCGCACAGACGACAATTCACTGCGCGGTTTCTAAGGAACTGGATGGTGTGTCCGGAAAATATTTCAGGTAACAATGTCATGCTAGTTTTTCATTTAACAAAATTTCTGCAAAAGAAGAACATATCAGCTAGCTTCTCTAGTTTATCAACAACTACTCATGATCAATAATACTTGAAATGATAATTTTGATATTATTGTGTCCGTCATTTTGCTGAAGAGGTCAGATGTTTGACATTACAAACTATTTACGTATTTTTTATTATGCCCCCGCCATGTAATGGCCGGGGCATATAGTGTTACCCTGTTCCGTCCTTCCGTCATTCCGTCCTTCCGTCCTTCCGTCATTCCGTCCTTCCGTCATTCTGTCATTCCGTCATCATCAGTTTCCGTTCATTATCTTAGTAACCGTTGCACATATTCAACTCAAATTTGACATATGGATATGTCATGAGAAAATACAGGTCAAGTTCGAATTTGGTCATGGTTCGATGATTTTTGGCAGAGTTATGCCCCTTTTACTTTGAAAATAATATGAAATTTTCAGTTTCCGTTCATTATCTCCCCAACGGTACAACACATTCAACTCAAATTTGACATATGGATATGTCATGAGAAAATACAGGTCAAGTTCGAATTTGGTCATGGTTCAACGATTTTTGGCAGAGTTATGCCCCTTTTACTTTGAAAATAATATGAAATTTTCAGTTTCCGTTCATTATCTCCCCAACCGTACAACACATTCAACTCAAATTTGACATATGGATATGTCATGAGAAAATACAGGTCAAGTTCGAATTTGGTCATGATTCGATGATTTTTGCAGAGTTATGTCCCTTTTACTTTGAAAATAATATGAAATTTTCAGTTTCCGTTCATTATCTCCCCAACGGTACAACACATTCAACTCAAATTTGACATATGGATATGTCATGAGAAAATACAGGTCAAGTTTGAATTTGGTCATGGTTCGATGATTTTGGCAGAGTTATGCTCCTTTTACTTTGAAAATAATATGAAATTTTCAGTTTCTGTTTATTATCTCCCCAACAGTTCAACACATTCAACTCAAATTTGACATATGGATATTTTTTTGGAATGCCAAGGTCAAGTTCGAATTTGGTCATGGTTCAATAATTTTTGTCAGAGTAATGCCCTTTTCACTCCGAAAAAAATATGAAATTTACAGTTTCTGTTCATTATCTACCCAACAGTGTTACATATTCAACTAAAATTTGACATATGGATATGTCAAATGAATGGGCAGGTCAAGTTGGAATTTGGTCATGGTTCGATGATTTTTTGGCAGAGTTATGTCCCTTTCACTTCGAAAATAATATAGATACATCTTAGGAATAGGCAGTTTAAGTTTGAATTTGGTTGTGGTTCAATGATTTTGGACAAACTTATCTTTCTTGAATATTGGAAATAATTTTGAACTTTCAGATTCAGCACTCATACTTTTGTGGAAATGTATGTAGCCATTATTTTGGCTACAAATATGAAATATGCTATTTTCAAAAGGTTAAGACTGAATAATTTCAGTGCTTTGAACATTGTATGAAAATGGTTTGTGTTAACATTGAAAAGTTTTAAGGGCTTTGAACTTAAAATGAAAACAATAATTTGTGCAAACAAATTTGGAACTAAATCTGAAATTTTGGCTGCATGCTGGGGCATCCGTGGCATGATGACACATTTCTAGTTTATATTAAATAATTATGTCAGTTTTATTCCATGTGATTTGCAAGGCCATTTAGCATTAAATGAATTTATATGAAAATTCATATATATATTGTTAATATCCATCGTCGTTTAAGAAGAAAAAACACGTATGTTCTCCGAAAGAAAAGGCCTTTCGACTTCTTGCGCGGATGACAATTTTCAAGTCTTTTAACAACAAAAAAAGGCTAAAGGGCCATTTAAACGATTCGATAAGTTGATAAGATAAAATATATAGGCTACATCAGAAATCTGACAATGATGGTACTTTGATGTAATTATATTTCTATGTTAATCATTATAACGAATATAACTCTTTCCCTTCGGCAATATTGCTTACCTCCCGATGGAAAACCCATACATCGCATGGAAACATATTGAGATAGGGTTAAAACTGGTCTAAAAAGGCCTTTTGATAAATTGTGTATGGACAACATGTATGTATTCATACCTTATTAAAATAGATTATGTCTACATTTTACATTGATACATTAATGCTCTCATACTCTGAGAGTGTAACCTTTTGTTACGAAGAATAATTCATTAGAATATCTGATAGGTGCTTATTTTATTTAGATATACACATTGCACTATTTCAGTGACTGTGTTATTACACTGTTTCAGTGACTGTGTTATTACACTATTTCAGTGACTGTGTTATTACACTATTTCAGTTGACTTTGTTATTACACTATTTCAGTGACTGTGATATTACACTATTTCAGCGACTGTGTTATTACACTATTTTAGCGACTGTGTTATTACACTATTTCAGTGTCTGTGTTATTACACTATTTTAGCGACTGTGTTATTACACTATTTCAGTGATTGTGTTATTACACTATTTTAGCGACTGTGTTATTACACTGTTTCAGCGACTGTGTTATTACACTATTTTAGCGACTGTGTTATTACACTATTTCAGTGACTGTGTTATTAAGGAAGAAGCATCACAGGTTCAACAAGATGACACTGCACTCAGATTATGGAAGATATCAGCACAAATGACTAAAATCACAGACACATGATAGCGTGTTATTAATTAATTAATGCATGCATGTCCCCTTATTTCGGATGTTTCATAAAGATCCATATAGGACTAGAATGTTTCGAAAGAATACCACAGACAAGAACATATTAAATGTGTTTTTATGAACTCTGGCTTAAGATGTAATGAAATAAGTTTATTCAACTAAGGATTACTAACAATTGTATTAGTTTATTTAACTAAGGATGACTAACAAGTGCTTTCGGATACATGAGTAAGACTTGAGTTACATTTGGACAAGTCAAAATGACAAAGGAATAAAGCACATAAAGGATAACTTTTGAACTAAAAACAAACCAAAATACATAACATACTCACAGCACTGTCGTATGGATAATCTAAAGATATGATGATCAAACTTGTTAATTAAATTAACTTCAAAGTACCTCAACAAAGCACAAGAATAATCTCCTTACGTTACGATTTGGTGATCAACCTTTCTAAATAGCAGATTAGCTAAAAGCCCAACATAAACTGCTGAAAAAAGAAAAGTTATCGGTGTAGCGATGTGACATAGCCAGAGTTGTCACCAGAACTCTGTTGTACCGGTATATCAACAGCATTTTGTTTGTCACTTAGGCTACTTTATATCTTAGAGAAAACATGAATACATAGGTTGATAATAAGCTAGATATTTTGATATTTTACTTTAAATGCCCGTTATTTGAAGAAGTGGGGCTGATTATTAGGCCTTACAGTTTTTACATGCAGATTGCAGATTATTGTTTGCAAATTTATGACATTTTTATGATTTAAAGTATGGCAACTACCTAACTTGTAAAGTAACCCTTAAATAGATTGGTTACAGAAAAGAGCAAAAATTTATTTTACCGGTAGACTTGTCATTAATAAACAATATGAGTGTATAGGCATGAAAAGATTTTTGAATATATTGATTTATTGTTGCGTTTGTTATAAAGAAAAATTCACATTCACAAATGAATTATGATTTGATTTCGGTTGGTTTCGGTCGGTAAAACGTAGCGTTTACCTTTTGGTGGAATAAGAGCATGTACATGTATGTGATTGTGATTAAATAAAGAGGATTAAATCAATATTTATTTTATTTCATTATATTATCTCCCACCCTAAGTAGTACAATTATTTATTTTTATGATTTTTTGCAAGAACTAAACATGACCCCTCCAAAAAAAAACAAAAAAAAAAACAACAAACAAACAACAACAACAACAACAACAACAACAAAAAAAACATCAACAATAAAATTAGCGTGTTTTCGCTCCGCGTCCCCGCCATTTTAACACTTTTCGCTTGGCGGGGTCGCGGGGTGAAAACACGAATGACACAAATCAGCCACTATACTAAATAGATCAATAAAATCTATTATATACAACATGGTGAAAGTGACCTCCAAATCAAACTGAACGAAATAAATAATTAATATAAACCTACCTATTTAAAAATGTTTAAACAATGTCTTAACTACCCCATGACCCCGTTACAATGTAATATGACATTTTATAATGTTATCAAATTCATAACGGTATGTGTACTATATACGTACAGTTTAGTATAAGTATAGAAAGTAAATATGAATTTATACATGCACTATATACATTAAATAGTGCACTGGTGATAAAGCTTTGATGGATATTATAGCAAATATTTTGACTGACTTGATACGTTTGGCACCCTAGTGTAAAACAATGCCTTCAGATACAGTGATACATGATTATATTGCCGGTGCTGTTGGTGGTAAGTGTGATTTATACTGATATCGTCGATGCGATTGGTGGTAAGTGTGATTTATACTAATATCGCCGGTGCGGTTGGTGGTAAGTGTGATTTATACTGATATCGTCGATGCAATTGGTGGTAAGTGTGATTTATATTGATATTACCGGTGCTATTGGTGGTAAGTGTGATTTGTACTGATTTTACCGGTGCTGTTGGTGGTAAATGTGATTTATACTTATATCGCCGGTGCTGTTGGTGATAAGTGTGATTTATACTTATATCGCCGGTGCTGTTGGTGATAAGTGTGATTTATACTAATATTGCCAGTGCTGTTGGTGGTAAGTGTGATTTATACTAATATCGCCGGTGCTGTTGGTGGTAAGTGTGATTTATACTGATATTGCCGGTGCTATTAATGATAAGTGTGATTTGCAAATATATTGCCTTTGCGATGGGGGTTTAGTGTGATTTATCTTAATGGCGGTACCGTTGGTGGTAAGTTTACATTAAATTAATGATATATAATGTACATGTATGTAATCTTTAAAAAATGTACACATTTTGTTCAGATGTGTGTTCAAATCATAAAATGCCATTTTCTTGTGAAATAGGTCAAAATAGAGATATTGAAACATAAGTTACATATAAATGGAATATTAGCACGATATACATGTATCATCGCAATATAAAATTTAATTAAACTTCAAAATTTCAATAAGAATGTCGAACATTGTACATGTTATTACGATATTGATTTATTGAAGAGTTGTTTCCCCTTTATTAAAATGCTAATGAAGTAAAACAAAACATTTTTAAAACAGATACAGATCATATGCATTTGTTTACATATCATTCCTTTTATATTATCGATGATTTTCCATATTAGTGATAATCCCCGTTTATTGAAAAAAGTGTTTGTTTTTTTCAATATACGGGGATGATCACTAATATGGGGGGGGGGAATTGAGTGCCCGAGATACAGATGCTGCTTGTGACATTTTATTAATTAATCAATTAATTAATTTTAATAGGAAATAAAAACATGGATGAAAATATCAAGTTTAATACTTCATCATGTGATTTTAAATATGAAACAATATAATTTATTCTATATGCATATATAGTATGCATGTACCAGTGCCCTTTTCCCGCGCTTTTATCTCCATGTATTTTACAGGTGCAGCAGGACTTATTGTTGGACATCCCTTTGATACCACGAAGGTTTATAAATAGTACTTATTTTATATTCCTTTTTAAAATTTGAATATATTAAATTTATTTCAAAGCAAGATTTATTGATAAAACATAAGGAAAATTAGCATTTAAAAAAATTGTCATTTGAGGTAAACTTAATAAAGGTATTCTTCGTGTTTTCCCAGCAAATCCGGGAGAACGTACACACTTTACAGAACATTTTCTTTGAAAATTAGCGCAATAGGTTGTAAATGCAACTGCACCGTTAACATATGGGTAAAAATTTCTTTTCCTTATCGTGGAAATAGGTTTGTAAACTCAAAACCGAGTCTGCAATGGTGAGCTAAGCCTTCTCTCCTTTGTCAATGCCAATTTATTGCTAAATCAGAAATACATGTAGATGCGAATATTCAAGACATAACTTACAGAAGTAACAACATAAGTAATAATAAGATGCCGATTTTAGTAGTATTTGGCAAATACTTTTTGCTTTGGCAGTCTCCTTTATTTATAACATCGCATCACTTTCAGTCAATTACAGTCAAACCCGTGTTTAAGATTGTCTTCGAATAAATATCACCTTGTAAATAAAGACCTCTTTTTGACAGCCCTTCATTGATACAAACAAACTCCAAATAAACACCACTTGTCTATAAATACAATTGGATTGCTTTGGATCACAGGTTTGACTGTATCAAGATTAACGTTTGGTAAGTCTATAGATCTTAGACAAATCAAAGAGAACGGAAAACAAAAGTGATTAATTACATGTGTTTCAATTTGGCAGGTTCAGTTACAGTCTCAACACCATGGTCATGAGTACAAGGGGACGTTCGACGCTATTAAGAATATCAACAAGTTTGGTATTGTAAGAGGTCAATTTTTTTTCTACACCGATAAAATTACATAACGGACAAGTCCTGTTTTGAATTTGGCATGATCCAATATCATTTTAAGGGGTTTCAATAGAAAAAAAGAGCGCTAGAATTGAACAGACGACAGTAAAGAGTCTGGTCACACGACACAGAATTGTAACTTGGCCTAATTGTATTCTGATGGTACAGATTTTTTTTAAATTGTGATGGCTTGTGCTTTTGCTTTTAGCAAACTTTTGTTATAATATTCTTTGACTTCCTAGATGCTCTTCATATAATATCTCTTTTCCTAACTATCGCTCAAATACCAGCGATCAATTAAATACTTTATTACTTTTTTGCAACACCCGAGGTTAGTAAAAATCATCTGTCATATGACCTAAATTGTGTTGGTGCGACATAAAACAAAACAAAACAAAACAGACACACTACGAAATACTGTTTAGATATTCGTCATGTTTTATTGATAATAAAAGCGATGACAAATAAATTTTCGTTTTCAGATTAAAGGCTTCTATAGGGGCTTATCATGGCCACTGGTTTCATTTGGAATTGTGAATTCTACCTTCTTCGGAGTGTATGGCCATACTTTGACATATTTAGAAAAGGACAAATCGAAGCGGAAGTCCAATTATTTACACATATATATGGCCGGATGTGTAGGTGGCGCTGCACAGCTTGTATTTGTTGTTCCGGTTGATTACATTAAAACAGCACTGCAGTCTCAGATTCCACATGATACACCCGGAGTTAACAAAGGTGAGATCTAACATTCCTTTGACATCTGGTTTATGCCTGTCTTCCCTCTCCTTTCACCATTCTCACTTTATTACTAAGCTTCTCATAGAAACTTCATTGACACTCCCCATTTTTTGGCTCTTTTCGCCATACTTGGGTAAACTATAATTGGTAATCGTCTCATATTCCGAGTGCAGTTACTTATAATGTATCTGACATGAGCCTCTAAACTTGGATGGGTATTAAGATCGATGGGGTCAAGTTCTTTGTCACTGAGCTTTCAGATGGAATTCCATACTTGTCTCATAGTAAGGCCATGTTTAGCTTTATCAAAACGACATCGGATTGCACTTATTCTTCTTGCTTAGTTGATTAAATATAATGAAGATATACCATGTATAAATTGAATCAATTAAATTATTACATCTCAAAAACACAGAGTCATTAGTGACTGATTGGTAGGTTTTTAAACATAGGACCTCTTCTCTTTCAGATGTAGCCAAACAGTATTTCAAAGGACCTTGGGATTGTGCAAAGTCTATTTATAGAAATAAGGGCCTTTTTGGTTTTTACAAAGGAGGCTTGGCAATGGCTTACCGGGAAATACCATCGTATGGTATATACTGTCTCACGTATGAAGTTCTAAGCGAGAAGATGCACGAATATGGCCTCACTGACTCAGGAGGTATTGTTGCTAGTCTGGTATCTGGCGGTATTGCCGGTTCACTGACATGGGCCTCTATTATACCATTTGACGTCATAAAAAGTCGGTACCAGGCGGACTTCTCTGGAGAATATCGAGGTTTTATGCACTGCGCACGGATGCTCTATAAAGAAGGCGGGGTTCGAATTTTCTACACGGGATTTCTAGTCACATGTCTACGAGCGTTTCCGGTGAATGCCGTCACTTTTACTATTTATACACAAACTCTAAAGAAGTTGGAAAACTCTAGTTTGGACAATTGAATCCCGGTTTGACATAACATGTGATACATTCAAGCTGCATAGTGAATTTTAATAAATTGATAAATATTTACTCCATTTTGTCAAGGCAAAAGGAAACTGGTATTAAGGAAGAGAGAGTCAAACCTTTTACCTACGGGAACCTATAGCCATTAGACTTTTCCACCAGTAAAGAATAGGGCATATCAGTGCAATATGACCAGGCTCTATATTTATGGGTGACTTACTATAACCTTCAATCTTGATATCCCCAAAATTGACAATGGGCAATTCCAAAAAAGGAGATGAACAAACCTATTTAAGAAATTCATCTAGTTAATGGTTAATACTTATCCAAATAAGTAGGCTGTAAAGACCATGAAGAGTCAACTAATTTATTGCAACTATATAATAAAAGAATAAATAAAAGAACACATTGAATAGATTTCATATAAATTATTTTATAACGTTTATATCATATGGCAAATCCATATTTGTCGGTACAACTGTAAGAACCTAATTTACATGAATATTAAAAATATTTTTAAAACAATTCAAGTCTTAAAACGCTCGTCCTGTTATGTAATCTTTCAAAAAAGATATGGCTACTGTTCATAAACAATGTGCTTTCCTATAATATAAAATTCGTTTATGAATGAACAAGGCATCTACTTGAGAACCGCTTGATCCCCACACTTCACAGCCATAACATTTATACACATATATGCGCTAAAACAATTACTTTTTTATTGAATTGAGCATCGCCTTTCTTTAACATGATATATCTTGGTGCTTGACATTGTTTCGTATAAATATGAATAAAATTTGTTTAAAAAATGTGCTTAAATGGTTTTTATTTCCAGGCTAATAACTCAACACAGTTCTATAAATTATGGCAATCATGGCATGTTTTAATTGCTTTATTATTTTGTAAGTTCTGTGCAACTTAGAAAAAAAAATACACAATGTAAAATTGTGTGTATATAATTTTATACATAAAGACTACTGTATAGCAGATATTTTTTTATCCCGTGAACGTTTTAATTTTGTAACAAAACATTTTCATTGTTGTGACATCAACATCTACAAATACATTTAGCACTTTTCCAACTGCCGTTTTTGTCGAAGGCACTCACCGATGGCGTTCTACTTTAAGGCCTATCAGTAATTTGCGGTGTCGAACTATCTCTCGGCTCCATAGCAGACGACACTCTACTTGTGGAGCCGGTTTTAAGGTACTTTGTTAAACGTCGCTTATGTCTATCAAATCCATCCATAAATTCCCTGAAAAATGAAGGTTACTCGTTAGTAATTTCAAACGACATAAAATGAGGTAAAACCTAAGGTCTTTCAGTGGGACTGACATTTCATTTTCGCAAATGTCGATGCCCAAGGCCTTCCCTACGGCGTGCAAGTACCGAGGGGAAGAGAGAACAATTTGAAAGAAACAATGTAGCTGTTAGTGAAATAACAATCATCATCATCATCAAGATCATCACCATCATCATTATCATCATCATTATCTTCTTCATCATCATTATCACCACCATCATCATTATCATCATCATCATCATCATCATCAACAACAACATATCAGTAACTAATAATAACAAATACAATTATTTACATTTACAACATTAAAAACATGAACTAAACTATTTACCCCAAATCAATTTCGCCATCTTTGTCGGCATCCAGAATATCTAACAATTGCTTCAACTCCTTTTCATCCAGTGGACAACCGACCTTCTTGAGTCCAAGTCTGAATTCATCTCGTGTGAGAGTACAGCTTTTGTCTTTATCGAACGCTTTAAATATATCAAACACTTTCATCTTCATATCTTCAATAAAGTTAATGAACACAAGTATTGGATCTTTCTTCCAAGCCTCTGTCTGAGTTTTAGCTTCAGCCTTGCACATATCGCGAGCGTTCATGAAACCTCCAAGATGAACTTTGAACTGTGGTCGAATGTTTTGTACCTCTTCAAGAACAGTATAAAACTCCCTCGGTACACACGCATCCTGAATGGAAAAAACAACAACAAATTTTTAGTTACATGATAATGTCGTGAATCGATTACCTATCTTTCACATATCAGATATTTGGTTTATACTTAAACCGCACAGTCTCGAATCCGTTCGTGGAACCAACCAATACTATGCAAAGATTGTAAATTTTTGTGCTGAACGAAACGACGGCTCGCCACTGAAGGGTTTGAACCCACACGGATAGCGATCCTTTGATCACTATTCCGACCTGTTAACCAATCGGCTTTGCCACAGATAGAACAAATATCATAATATAGATCTAAGAAAATCATAAACATGTTGTTTAAAACAAAAAAGTATCCTATCCATTTTCATTTAAACCTAACTTCGGACACTTCGCATCAACACGTGAAAAAATTTATGGAAGGACCGTTGACATGTCATTTGTTGTCGAAAATTGACGCCAGATTATGAAATGACTTGAAACGAATAAAATGCTGTTCAATATGTTTTAGTTTATACTACATATGTAATTTATTTTTGTTTGATTGTGTTGGTATCTGTAAGCTTATTTAAACCCCTTGAGTCTGTACTTAGAACCAACCAGTAATAAGAAATGAGTGTAAAGTTTCTTGCTCTCAACGGTTTGCCCCTGACAGGGGTTAAATTCACACGGCTAGCAGTCCATAAATTACCAGTCCGACGCGTCAACCACTCGACCACACCAACATGTTTTATTAATTCTTTCTATAAATGCACGTGAAAATGGAGCGAGAGAATGTTTTCTGAACACGTTATTACGTCACATAGGATAATTCTAATATTACCGCTATTTCAAACTCCTCGAGGACGCTGCAGTCGCTTTTCAGCAACAGTGTTAATGCCACTACTGGCCCTTCACTTGTGATAGGGTTATTTGTTAACTGAAAATATGACAACAACAAATATATGAACCAATCCAGTATGTAAAAAAGAACTGCTTGATTTTTTTAATCTTTCATATTTCTGACAAATAAATGATTTTTAAGTTTGACAAATTTGTTTCAGTTTTTAAAATGTTCAAAAGATTCAGTGAATGAGAAATATATACATGTATGTTAAATGAACTCCACTGACGCACAAAAGCCTACAAATAGAAAATTTAATTTCTTACTAAGGTGGAGCATTTCAAAAATATGCAAAAGATAATTGAGAATTATACTCAGAAAAAAAATTGAGAATTGTAAATTAGTGCTATTCATAGTCCAGTTTGAGTGAAAAGCGTTACAACCTTTTTCAATAATTAAAAATCATTGCACCTGCAACAAATGGAACAATACTCTCGAAAATATTTCCAGTCCTGTCATTTCAAAAAACCTCAGATGATTCTCTTTTAAATCATGTTATCGGGACAAACTTAACATTTTGTCGAAACAATATCTCCTTCTTAAACACCTGAAAATTTCAAAATCATACTGCTTGTATTTTATCTGTGTTTCCAGGCTATCACTTCATTTTTACCCGTTTAAAACAGTTTTGAGTTTTATTGTGTTATGTTTGTTAAGTTTTTTGATATGCTGTTACTGTTATATGTTTTTTCAAGATAAATGTTCCATTTGACGAAAATCTAGGCTTATAACTTGTGTGCAAAATTTCAGATCATTCGCTCTTTCCTTTTTTGTCAGAATAATCTTTTTAATTGTGAAAAATGACTCCAAATTAAAAAGCCTCGCAAAGCTTTTTACTCAAATCGGACTAAAAATAGCATAAAGATACTATTATCAATTTATAAATTATCTTTCGCTTATATTTCTGATTTAAGTACCCCAGCTGATCTATGTAAGAAATTAAAACAAAATGTACTCAGTGAAGTTCCTTTTAAAAAATCATCGTTACACTAAAAAGAAAACAGTTCAACTGTAAATCAAGGAAACTTACAAGTTTTAATTTTCTTACCCGAATTACTTTGAGGGTCTCATTTTTAGCAATGTACTTGAACAAGGTTGTGACACCTATAGAGCCAACTCTGTTAGATGTCAGGTTGATTTCAGTAAGTTTTCTGTTGTTTGCCAATGCTTTACCCAGAAGTTCAGCGCCATCGTTATCCACCCCGTTTGATGTAAGGTCGAGAACTAATAAACTATTGTTTTCCTGTATATAAATATTCAAATAAAGACGTTATAAGAAGTTACATAGATCAATAGAAGTTATAGTTGAAAGAATTATCATATGGATATACAAATGTGAGTTGCTCTTAATTTGTTTTTAAAATTTTACACGAACTTATTAAATTTTTGTTTTTATACTCGAATCTGGAACTGAGGAGTAAACACGAGACTAATAAAAAAAAGTTAAACAAAGAAAATTATTGAGTCTGTTCAAGAAAGATAGAGAAAAGCGCAAAGCACCCCTCCCACTTTTAAGCAGAATTCAATCATCAACATGATCAAGTATTGGAATCAATGATCACAAAGGACCAAAAAATAAAAAAAAATTCATATATGATTTGTTAGCAGAATGATTAATGACAGAGCCGCATAAGGGTCTTCGGATTGTTTCATGTGAGAAAAGTGCCCTGCTAGTTTACGGAACGACGATGATTCTACTCTGGTGCCAGTTTGTGTCTGAAACAATGCTGAGAGAGACCTGAGGTTTTTTCCCCACCAGTAAAGCTGTAAAGTCGCTGTATGACATACTGTGTTGGTGTGACATAAAACCCAAACAAACAAAAAAATTATGAACGGGAAAACAATCAATGATAAAATTACCTACCCCAATTCCTTTTGCAATACAAGATATCCCTGACTTTCGAATTTGGTTCCAGGCTAAGTTTAGGTGTGTAAGCGTTTCATTGTCTCCTGTAAAACAATATTTGACAGGTTTCCATAAGTAATTTTTTTATATTAAGCATTAGTTGCAGAATAGACAAAAACACCAGGGTAATATAAAGGACTGCGTGTATTGTTGTTTGTCTCGAATTCGTTAAACTCGTAGAACCTGGAATGAATTTCCTTATTTCAAGTTTCAGACAGACTTGGAAAAAAGACAATTATTGATTAACATAATAATAATAATAATAATAATAATAATAATAATAATAATAATAATAATAATAATAATAACTAGAAATGTGTCATCATGCCACGGATGCCCCCGCATGCAGCCAAAATTTCAGATGTTATAATATTTAGTTCCAAATTTGTTTGCACAAATTATTGTTTTCATTTAAAGTTCAAAGCCCTTAAAACTTTTCAATGTTAACACAAACCATTTCCATACAATGTTGAAGGCACTGAAATTATTCAGTCTTAACCTTTTGAAAATAGCATATTTCATATTTGTAGCCAAATAATGGCTACATACATTTCAACAAAAGTATGAGTGCTGAAACTGAAAGTTCAAAATTTTTCCAATTTTCAAGAAAGATAAGTTTGTCCAAAATCATTGACCACGACCAAATTCAAACTTAAACTGCTTATTCCTAAGATGTATCTATATTATTTTCAAAGTGAAAGGGACATAACTCTGCCAAAAAAATCATCGAACCATGACCAAATTCCAACTTGACCTGCCCATTCCTTTGACATATCCATATTCAAAATTTGAGTTGAATATGTAACACTGCTGGGTAGATAATGAACAAAACTGTAAATTTCATATTAATTTCAAAGTGAAAGGGGCATTACTCTGCAAAAATCATTGAACAATGAACACATTCGAACTGGGCCTGGGCATTCCAAAAAATATCCATATGTCAAATTTGAGTTGAATGTGTTGTACTATTGGGGAGATAATAAACAGAAACTGAAAATTTCATATTATTTTCAAAGTAAAAGGAGCATAACTCTGCCAAAAATCATCGAACCATGACAAAATTGGAACTTGACCTGTGTTTTCTAATGACATATCCATATGTCAAATTTGAGTTGAATGTGTTGTACCGTTGTGGAGATAATGAACGGAAACTCAAAATTTCATATTATTTTCAAAGTAAAAGGGGCATAACTCTGCCAAAAATCATCGAACCATGACCAAATTCGAACTTGACCTGTATTTTCTCATGACATATCCATATGTAAAATTTGAGTTGAATGTGTTGTACCGTTGGGGAGATAATGAACGGAAACTGAAAATTTCATATTATTTTCAAAGTAAAAGGGGCATAACTCTGCCAAAAATCATCGAACCATGACCAAATTCGAACTTGACCTGTATTTTCTAATGACATATCCATATGTCAAATTTGAGTTGAATATGTGCAACCGTTACTAAGATAATGAACGGAAACTGATGATGACGGAATGACAGAATGACGGAATGACGGAAGGACGGAATGACGGAAGGACGGAATGACGGAAGGACGGAAGGACGGAAGGACGGAACAGGGTAACACTATATGCCCCGGCCATTACATGGCGGGGGCATAATAAAAATAACTAAGTTACCAATTGCGTGTCCAAGAATCTGTCCACCAATATCTCCAAGGTCATTGTGCGAGAGGTCAAGGTTACGTAGGCCTGTAAATTGCTGAAAATGGTATGACAGACAGATGTACTAATGTTTTCATGTTTAGGTCACACTTAATGATTAACTAGCATAATATGTATGTTAACTATTCTGTTTATGCCTGGCATAATTTGGTTTTAAAGCTGCATGTCTCCAGATGAGCCAAAATATTTCGAAATAATCAAACTTAAGATATTAAGAAAAATAAAACTATCTAAGTTAAGTAATAATCTACATGTTTTGTGTTATTTATCTTGTAATATTTATTATCGTATTTTTACCCCGTGACTAACGCAGTAAGGGCTATTTTTGCATCTGTTGGCCTTTTTGATACTTTACGTGGAATGTTATTGTCGTTGGCAATGTGATAATTACTTTCTTTATCCACAACATTTTACTTTTATTTTCAAAAAAAAAAGCATGAATCTGGAGGCATGTTACTTTATAAGGAAATCATTAATTAAACATTATAACTACTAAGGATTTAAGAAAACAATTACAATTGACAAAATAAACGGGAAAATATCGCTTCAAAAACACCATTTTAATTATCAGAGTTCGAAAACGCAGTTAATATTCATAAAAGTGATTATTTAATATATTTATTAAATTATGAATCTGGTCTGAATAGCCATTGAGTTTGCCAGTCAAGTTTTAGGGTAAAGAGTATATGGTAAATAAGCGGAACATGAGATGGGCATAAACAATTACACACATGCTGTTATATTTTCACATAATTATTCATCAGTCAATTAAAATAAAATTAAAATTCAAGAATAAGGTTTCTCTATCTAAAATACGTACATTTGTATAAATGTATTTATTTGCTAGGAAATGTTACATCCTAAAACAATTATAAACATTCTCTGTATACTATGGTGTACCGTTAAAGCCATCGCGACACACGCATAGCTCGAAACATCGAAGACACGAAATTACGATTATGAATATTCGAGATGGTGAAAAGTCGAAAAAACGATGATAAAAAGTTGAAAGTATAACAGTGCATAGTCTAAATAACGAAACCACGATAGCAAAACTCTATACAATTTCGTGTTTTCATCATCGCGGTTTCGTTATTTCGACTTTTCACCATCGTAATTTCCGCGTTTTTCGTTGTTTCGAGTTATGTTTTTGTCGCGATGACCCTAACGGGGCACCGTACTATACCAAGCGAAACAAAATGCTGTAACGACACAAAAGACAAAAGATTGCTTTTGAAAATTTGCAGTAGCTGATACTTGTTAGTAATGTCAGTATGTATTGAATATGGGATTACAATTTATTTCGAGTGCAGAAACTGTTGTTTCTCGGGTGTGTCCCGATAAAATGATTGTAAATCAAAATTCAAAACTTGTAAACTCTAGGAACAATTAAAATATGACAATAGCAATCTTATCGTCAAAATCTTAATGAATTCAAACCAATGATTTTTGGTTGACCAAACTCGCTAAATATATTTAGTCATTCTGGCGGACAATGAGAAATGAATAGTAACACTGTTTCATATTTAAAAAAAAAACAACAACAAAACGTTGTCTTTGATTAACGCAAATAATTCTAAGGGTATACATTTTCAGGAAGTACTGACGCTAAGTACTTGAAATTGAACTCTAGTTAAAATTGGATGACAAAAATGATTTCTTCATGCAGCTATTTAGTGATTTCTTTATTATGATAAAACAGCATATACAGCAATGCATATGTTGTGAAAAAGCAGCAAGGCAAACACTTGCACAGTGCTTACAATACAGTGGTTATATATTAACTATGTTTTATAGAAATTATGGCTACAATTTTACTATCTACTTTTTAATACATTTTTGTAAGTTAGTTTATATATATATTTATATTATGCGTGTTATAGCAAACTACAATATCGTTACTTACTCCATTTTTTAATCTCGACTGTTGAATGATTGAATCATAAATATTGAATAAAAAGTATCTATTACAAATTCCTCTTTAAGATCTATATGTATGGAACAATTCAAATCTTTCAAATATTGCAACTGATCTATTTACTCAACAGAAAATATATTTTCATCCTTAATTACATTTGGGATGACTTCCCCGGGAACATTAATACATAAGTGCTATTCATTCAAAAGTTTGTAATAGAATGGTAAATAAGACATTCAAAAATGCTGTCTTTATGGAATAGAATACAAAAGAATATAATATAAAAGTCAATTATATTGATGTATGCGATCAATAGGAATGGTATGTCGCAACGCGCATGCACGCACGCGAACATGCGCGCGCATACAAAAGTTATTTATCTGACTGGCATAATCGTGAAATAAATATATTACTTACTCCGACGTTCAGCATAGCTGCAAAACTTTCGGCATCATGTTCTTTAAAACTGTTACCTACAACAAGCATACAATGCCATGTCACAAAAGAGAGAGAAATTAAGCTTTTTAAATGTCACAATGCTGTTGTAACACTACAGTCTTACCCTGGTAGCAAATTTATGCCATGTGTCGTAAAAGATACCATATCTCGTAAAAGCAAAAAAGTACCTAAAAGCTAAGGCAGGGCACATTTATAGTGCCACATTTTCGTTTTGTTTGACGTTTTGCCTTTCTGCTAGGAATACACGCTCGTTCATGAATAAGACATAGCATAATACAGTCTACTAACATAACAATATAAATATAATTATGATCAAAATTTGAAAAAGTTGTCGTTATTTTGATATCTCAAAGCATGATTAACAAAATTGTCCTCTGAAGAGCATGCCGGAAACATTTTAAGAACAAAATGCAAAACTAGCAATGGTTTGTGCATATAATTTCTTAACAGACATATACAATACAGACACAGTGAGTTGTGTGAGATAAAACTTGTCTACCTGAAAGCTTGAGGTCTGTCAATGTATCATTCACTTTAAACACACTTGCTATCATCTCTGCTGCGTATGAATCTAGATTGTTATCTGACAAATCCTGTAGAATACAAGCAAATTGAAACATGGTCTAGAACTAGTGATTTATGCAAAATCAAGTATGTAAGTACTTTACTTCATTTATTTGTGACGCTGTTGTTGCTGTTGTTGCTGTTGTTGATGTTTCACTTTATGTTTGACTTTTATGTCATTTCTACTCTCTCAGGTTCATAATGACGAATTCCCAAGTTTTAAATAAAAGTGTTAAAAAGAAGGTCTCATGTACCAAACTGTGCAGGATTTCAGCATCTAGTAAGAGCAAGCATCTAAGTGGAACCATCAATATGATGGTAGTTAATAGGATAACTTTCTCACAAGATGGAAATTTAACACCGCTAAGAGGACTTGAACTCACTTCTGCCTGTACTGGAAGACGCAAATGATAAATGTCAGCTTACTTATGCCCACGGTTGTGGAGCCCCTCTCCCCAACTCCAACCCCTCCTCCTGACAATGTAACATTCATTTACTTCGAAAGAAAATGTTTAAGCAAATGGATAAATAAAACTGCATATCCTTTTAAATAGAAATCAAAATATCTATGGTTTCTGATTGTGTCTTTTATATGAAGCATAACTATCTATTGTTCCTGTCTTTTTTTAATGAAGCAATCAATGCCAAAGTATCAGTACCATAAACAATTCGTCGATTCACTGCTTTTAGAACTTGTTTGAAATTTATTTTAAAGGACTGTTTGAAATAATACTTACTAGACATGTTATTATGTCGTTTTCTTTCAACATTTCACAAAGATTTCTGATTCCATCATGTCCAATATAGTTTCCCGCTAAATCTAGCCTATTAGTATACCGGTCGATCTAAAAAAGATAGATATAAAAAAACTATTCAAAACTACGAAGTGAAAACGGATATTCAATTGATATGTGAACTAGTTCTGAATTCAAACGAACACTCAAAATTATATTAGTAATTCGCTTCTATAGAAATTTACATTGAAACAGTAATTCTTATTTTGAAAACATTTCAACTGAAGTGTCTCTGACATTAAAAGATAGCAGTAGCTAACATCATGACGACTATGATGATTGTATAAACCTTAATATATTTATTTTAATCCACGCATAAATAAATTATTAGTAACTCTTATTTATATTATTTTATTTAATCTTGAGCGATTGGCTTCGTTTTTACGCCAAAATAAAGAAAATTTAAATGTGCTTTTTTATAATTTCAAACAGCGTAAAGTAATCACAGTTATTTATTTTCATATCAGCGTGCTCTAAAATTTACTTTTTGGAGCAGTATTTTTTTTTATATCAACGTGGCTCGGTCTTGGTGGAATTTTACCCGTGTGTTAAATTGGTGACGCAAAGATGCCAGGGTTACACAATACTGATAACAGAGCTTCGGGGTACAGAGCATGCATTAAATACAGCAAATTTTCACTTCTCAACTGACTATAACAACATTTAATATGTAGTTACTTGGTACAGTCCGCTTCTTTTGTGAGAAGTAGTTTGACTGAACTACTTTCAACCACATACACAGCCTGTTACACTTATCCCTTTAACAATAAACATAAATTTATGTAATGTTTTTGCCTTGCTTTTGAATTTTGAACAGTCCATTTGAAGTTTAAGGGAACTCAGTATCAAAATACAAGAACTGTGCTACCATGAGTAAAGAGCCTGGTCAAGCTGCATAGGTGCGTTTGCTATCCGGACTCTATACTAAAGACAACGGCTAATCACTTCCAGTAAGGGAAAGAGTTAAATTTTCACAGATTTACGCTAACAAGATATTTACTTACCACAAGTGCAGTTGCCACGGCCCGTATACCTAACGGTCCGAGACCTTGGAAATTTAGATTCATGACTTCTTTATCAATGGCTTTCATAAAACAATGTGCCGGAACTATGTTCAGTTGTCGGCATGCAGCAAGATAAACTTGTTTGACCTGATCTTCTCTGATGTAATGACGAAGTGATTTCGTGTCTTATTATGAAATAGAAAAAATACACAATTCACAATTAACAGAACTTAAACGAGATGTTAACAAATACTTCCAGACAGGAAAAAAAGGGTTCATTTATTAATTTTCTTGTTCCGGGTTGAACATTTTTAAGTCCGAGTTGTATCTAATTAATTTAAAAGAAATAGTTGTCTTTAAGCAATACCGATTGGCTCCATTAAGAAATGAAATTTATGTGAAATTATTATGACGCAATTATGTAAGTGAACATTTTACACATTTTTTTTATTTAAACTATCATTTAGAAGACAATATACTGCATAGTGTGAAGAACACTGAAACGGCCACGAGAATGTCCAGTATTCGATTCCGACCTTTTTATATTGTGCTCAATATTTGACTTCTTATTCAGTTTACATAAATTTCATTGACTATAAGAATTCGATAAATACATTTGTACTCGTGAAAGTAAAATATCCGGGAAAGCTGTGCCAACTTGTTGCTTATTTTTCCATTTATTCATTTTTTCTGTCGGCAAAGCCATTTAAATATTGATCATATATAGAGTTTACAAATTTAAAAACAAAATAAAAACATGTTGGTTAGTAAATGAGTAGCGATTAGGAGATATAATATTGATTTTATAAATATTAATTTACATATTTATTATTTCTTTATAATAAGATTGAACGGTCTCCCCTTTACTCTAAAGAGTCGAAAGGTCGCATGTACATAAAGAAGAAAATCGAAATCAGGATGGCTTTTATAACTTATATTATATTGATGCAACCAAGCTGAAAGAGTTTGGTACATTTTAAAAGTATTAAACAGAAATGATCTGGTAGGAAAACATAAAAAAATGAAGAGCTCAAAGATAAAATCTATCATAATTAGTACAAACGCCACATCATAGCATAAACCATGCATAGAAAGCATTAAAAAAAACAGCAACAACAACAATAAACAAACAATATAAAACAAACTAACGAACAAAAAACACACAAATAAAATAATAAATATCTAAAGACGAAATTTTGATCCGCATCTTGATCCCTATTCATTTTAGTTTGTAAATACGTGTCTAGTCTTTCAAATGACAATATATAAGGCATATTTCTTAGAGGGGCTTACATAAAACACATAGAAGAGCAAGCCTTAAAGCTTTGTGTTTAATTATCAAGAGCGGACACTGTGGTATAGAGATAACTTTGGCTGACTTTAAATCAAGTGATTATGATCTGATCCATAATGCTCCCGCTAGATTCAAACCAACCTCCAATGTATTATTTCGTGCTATAAAGTCATCCAACTAAACAATATCTATTCTTCGTGGATGAGTGATGAAATATTACTGATTTTTAGCAGAAGTTGGTTCGATGTCGGGTTATTTGAAGCGAGGAAACAATTCAGTTAGCTTACACTTGTGGAAGAAAGAGTGCTTACACTTGGGGAAAATATAATGCATAAATTTGTGGAAGAAGGTATGCATCAATAATTCTTGAGAGTCGTGATATAATCAGTGTGACCTTAAAGGCACATTATGCCTAGGAAATAAATAAATGTTCGCTTTTTAAAAAAGGGCAACCATGAATTTTATAATGTTAAAATAATGATTTTAGTGACTTGTTACCTGAATAAAGTAGCGATTAGTGTGAAAAATTCATAAAAGCAGCAAAATGTAAGCAAAAAAGTATTCTGACTTTAATCCAAAATACTAAATCACTATTACTGTACTTCTTCCAAAAAAAACCCAACAGATGAAAAAGATGGTTCAGGTAATTGGCCAATGAGTATATTATGAAACTACACCAAAATTAAAAAGCTTTTGACAATTAAAGCATTTTTGAGGCATAATGGGCCTTTAAACATTAACAGATACAGTTATGTATACAACATCTTAATAAAGTCATAATTCAATGAATCACCCTGGTATCCCAACAGAGGTTTAAATTGTCATAAAGATACCATGCTAATGCACACATACTGTTAATTTGCTGTAAGTATATTGGTTCAGTTTTCAAAAGAATATAATAAACATGTTAAGATCTATAAATTAACTTCAACTTTATACAAATGAGTGTATAGACGTTTTTTATTTCAATTCTAGTGTAGTCTATCCAAAATATTGACAAGTTTCTTTTCGAATGATTATACCCACTGTTCGTGAAAGGGGGTAAATTTAAAACTTTGCACTCCCTCGATAATTGAGTTATAATTACACAATACGAGTGTTTACTTTGTTGAATGGTATAATTTCAATCAATTTGAATTTTTCTCTAACTGTTATGAATGAAAAAGAGGAATTAAAATTATTATTGTTTACTATTGAATACATTGGTAAAATGAAAAATCTTTTGTGTCTATGTTTCAAATAGTTTCAAATAGTTTCAAAAGCTTTATTATAAATAATGTGTTTTTTTCCTACATACCTTTCACGTGGAGATTGTAAATTAAGTACCGAAGTTATAACACACTGTTTAAACAGTGATAAATTATGTAATATTCAGTTCATATTTTCATTCGTATGAAATCGTATTAATTAAGAAATAAACTTGTATAAGTTCAATATAATTATGTTTATATGTTTCGTTATTATAAGAACTGGCCTTAGGTTGACATTATTCTTTTCATTTTTTCTTTCTTTTTCTTAAATTAAAATGTACAAATTCTCAACTCAACCAAGACTTCTTTCGAATAATTCGAACACGCATCCGTGTCTTTTTGTATTATTACTTAATTCAAGGGATGCATTGGGGTCTAGTTAGTGTTTTAATCTTATGACAGCCAACTAAAAGTATACCTGTGATTAAATTTCTATCAGCTCCTTTGTACTGTATTTTTGGTAACAAAATAAAACTTTAACACTTCTTTAACTACTGCTGTATACATGTAAGTCGTTCAAATTCATTCACTACCTTAACTATCTACATCACGTGTATTGACTACTTCAATTTAATGACCATACAAGAATAATAATATATCAAAACTGTTCATAGAATGTAATAAGATACCTTCAGTTTCTAAATCAGTGTCCCATTCCTCGTCAGAATCAAGGACAGCAGGTGTTGATGTTTGTTTTGATCCTCTCCCCGTGCCGGGATGTTGGGCACTGTCCCCGCTCCCCGAACTGTTGTCGTCGTCATCGTCCGGAGTCCTTTGCTGCATAGAAATTTCGTGAAAAACAGTTCGTGCAGAAAGCCTTTCCATCTTGTAATCCGGTTAATTTGACATCATTTGATTTTTGTTGTATTTTTTTGTTGTTGGTTGTGTTGTTGTTGTTGTTGTTTTTTTTTTCAAATATTTTACCGTTGTATCACATTATTAATATATGCATGTGCAAGTGACTATACGACACGTGAATTCACATTGTTGTGATGCGTATAATTCAGATTTTATTTGTATCCGTGCGTTTAAATATCAAATCATAACCCTTTTCAGATTTAAAGTGAAATTTACTGGAATCTACGCATGCATTTTACCCATTTAAATGTAAATAATGGCAAACTTATCCCTTTTCAAACACCAACGGATTTTCTATATTTATATCCCAAACTTATTTTGAAAAATTTAAAACCTGAAATTTTAATATCATTAACTTCACCGTATAGTTACTTACAATAACATGTCAGCAGAAGATACACCAATAAACGCTGTCACTACCTTATAACACTTAACGACTAAACCCCATTTCCATACATCCATGTTTATAAAGGGATTTAGTAAGTTTATGAATTCAATAGAAATATAACGTTAGAGTTCGTTTCAATAAAGCTGTTAAAATAACTTATTCACATAATTAACTGACTGAATCAACTATGTATCCAGTTATAAAATTGAAAAAATGCGCCTAGTCATTTACTTGTAAGTAAAAATAGTTTATATTTTCAATGTAAAACTCCACCCAACTTTGTTTTACACCGGACTACTTCGTTTTAAAGCAGTTTTCTCTAGATTCATGCTATTTTTCATGAAAATTTTGGAAAATTTATTTAAAAGTGAAATAGTTTGAAATGATCAAAGAAATTTAATTTTACTAATTGCAAAGGGTGCTTTCAATCCTCGTAAATTACAAAAAAAAATCAAAAGGTCAAAATACAAAATATGCAAAAAAAAGCCCTTACTGCGTTAGTCACGCAGTACAATAAATTATTACTTGAATCTCGATTATTTTAGTGTTCTTAAAATCGTTGTGTATTTTTCTCAAGCCTTTGGAGTTCGAAATATTTTGGCTCATCTTGAGGCATGCAGCTTTAACATTTCACTAATACAATTCAAGTACAATACAAATACATGAAGTACAATTCATTCTTTCGTTATTTGTTTCATTTGAATAATTTGATTCATTTTTATGAAGTTTCACACAAAGTAACGCTGGTGCATCATCCACATTTCTGTAAATTTTTATCATAAATGTTCTCTATGAAAAAAAAAGAATAGTTTGTAGTTTAAGATCTATGTCTAAATTTTCACAATTTAACAAAGAAAGATTTAAGAGAATATTGAGCGGTCTAAAGACTTTTAATTCTAAATTCAAACTTTAAATGTTGATCAATATTGATCATGGTGTTGCAAATTCAACTATATTTGGTATTTTAATTACTGTATAAACATGCACTATTACTTCTTTATGCGCCTATTTTGAATGAATACTAGTAATAATTATGCATAATTTTTATCGGAACCATAAATAAACTTAGTCTAAGTGTAACACTGTTTAATATATCAAATTGAGCCGCGTCATGACAAAACCAACATATTGCGTTTGCGACCAGCATGGATCCAGACCAGCCTGCGCATCCGCGCAGTCTGATCAGGATCCATGCTGTTCGCTATCAGTCTCCTTATAATAGAGTTGGTAAGCGAACAGCATGGATCCTGATCAGACTGCGCGGATGCACAGGCTGGTCTGGATCCATGCTGGTCGCAAACCCATTATGTTGGTTTTGTCGTGACGCGGCTCAATTCTTTTCATCCAACACTGCAATACTTAATCATTCAAAGGTATTTATAAAACTTGAATTGAAATAAACTGATAAGGCAGGGCATTTTTGACGAGGGTGTCTGTTGTCCGGGATCATTTTAAAGTAATTTTAGCACCTCATAAAACATTTAATCTTTCTTAAACGTGCTTTGTTTATCATATATATAAATATTCTTAATGTTTGTTACAGACATGAATATATTAACAGGATATGGTAACATAATGTGAAACAAGGGAGACTATCAGGCAAGGTATGCGCTGTTCTAGTCTGGATTACCTGCCCCTAATTGCTACACTAATGCCTCATGTAATACTTGAAATTTATCAAACATCGTAAAAAGTCAAGCAAATACTTTGACATGTCGTCATTTTCAATTAAATTCGATTTACAAATATAGCGTAAACACTAATTGTTATAGTAGGCCTATAAGTGCGTCAAGAAAAAAATAAATAAATAAACCAATCAATCAATCAATCAATCAATCAATCAATAATTTTTGTTTGGTATGAGTTACAGAGAATTTAATACTATTTATTACTGAACCGTCACTCATTCAATATCCTCTATTTATTATCTTCTACTCATATGATTGGGTCTATAAAAATTGAGTATACTAGAGTATACTAGAGAATATTAATTTATTTAAAATAATTGAACAAAATATGCAACGAGCTCACACCCAGAAGAAAATATTGCAAGTACCATTGTTTTACTCATAATGTTTTAACGTCAAATGACGTAAGCATAGTTGACGTCACTGACGCCGCCATATACGTCGTCACCAAAGTGACAACGTTATTCTTTATTTCACTTGACTTGTTCAAGATGACTAGCAACACAAGCTCTCTCAGTAAAAGATTTACTCTGCTAGAAGCTGAACGTCGGTTTAAGAAAGCCTGTGATCAGATCATAGTGCTTAACCAACGTCTCAGTGATATGCAGAAACGCTACAAGAACGCCAAGACGAACAAAAACAGACACTTCCAGGCTAGCCTGAGACGGAAGTTGGCGGTAATCGAGGGTACCCGGAACATGTATCATGATTACGCCAGGATGAAGGGAGAAAAGATTGCAGAACTTCGAGCAGAACTTTTTGGTGAATCAGTGGCGATAGTGTCAGGCTAATTTCTGTCTGATTCGCCACCCGGTCCTTTTTAGGACCAACCAAATAAATCGAAAGAAGCCTTCTTATATTGTCAAAAAACTGTCTTGTTGTTATTTGTGTCTTTCTTATACACACAGTAGTTGATGGAAAATTATGCCTCAGAAATCAAAATATTTTTTATTCTACCAGAAAGGTCAAATATTTGTTTTATAATGAATTTAGAGCATGTTAGGTGTTGATTAACTGAGAAAAAAATATAGCGCTGAATATACAGTAATGTGTCGTAAAGATAGCAAAATCAAATAAAAATGTAAACAAAGTAGTATTTTTACTACTCCGATGCTTTCCTTATTAAACAAAGTGGGCAAATGAAAACAATTGAGCCGCGCGATGACAAAACCAACATAATGGGTTTGCGACCAGCATGGATCCAGACCAGCCTGCGCATCAGCGCAGTCTGATCAGGATCCATTCTGTTCGCTATCAGTTTCTCTACCTGTTATAGGGTTTGTAAGCGAACATGGATCCTGATCAGACTGCGCGGAAGGACAGGCTGGTCTGGATCCATGCTGGTCGCAAACCCATTATGTTGGTTTTGTCATGGCGCGGCTCATTTATCAAGTTCCACTAGCAGTACATCTCAACTTTGCGTGTGTTTGGTAGATTAAAGGTAAATTTTGCTTCAGAAATCTTTATTTTTGTTCGTAAAATGTCAAATATGTGTTTAATAATTTTTTTAAAATGAATTTATAGCTTGTATGATGTAAATCAACTGAAAAGGTGGCGTTTAACGTGCAGTAATATGTCTTAAAAGTAGCAAAATGTAAACAAAGTTGTATTTTGACTTTCATACAAAATACAAATTGACTGTAAATTATACCAATTGCCAAAAGCGCTGAAGAATAAAAAGGAAAGTTCATTTGCATGGCAAATGAGTAATGTTTGGAAACTGTAACAATATACTTAAATAAAAAGTTTTTTTAAGATTGAATTAAAGTTGATGGCGTTTCTGAGGCATAATGGGCCTTTAATGATGCCACGATCGTGTGCTTTATAATGTCGTTTAGGATAAACTCTTAGTTATCCAACTAACTCTGATAGTAATCACGGCAAGAATAGGGGGGAAATGAGATAAACATTTACACAAAACCCACATCTCCTGACATTCATACTAGAGGTACGGGCAAGTGCGTCATTTCCGAAAAGGGGAGGCTCGAAACTTCTAATTTAAACCTTATGCCATTGATCTCGTATCAACGAAATTGATGCACCGAGTTGCTTCTTATGCTCTCTCTCTCTCTCTAATGAGCTAAGCATGCGGACAATAGCAGCAAATAGTGTGAAGTCTAAGCAGCGGGAGAGTGCAAGCTTGCCTTGCTCTGTAAAAGGGACATTATAGTTGTCAAGGACATTGCTTATACTAAAAGAATTTAAGTACATATTCCTTATGCATTCACTTCCAAACCTTATACAGTACATCCTTATCACATCAAGGGCCTTGCACGCGTGTTGTCAAAAAACTGCCGGTATATTAGTCTACCGTTGTAGCTCGGTGCTGGATAAATTATATAGCTTATTCCGCGAAAAAGGCGTAAGAGATTAACGCTATGGCAAGAGCCGAAAACAATAAATAATTGTTTTTATATGATCTCAGATGGTACCCGTTTATAATAATTCTATTAATACTTCATGACGTCATGAGGCAAATATTCAAATAATTTATATGGTTGATAATAAAATGTTCTAGAACAATATTATAAGTCATCATATATATGGTCATACTAAATTACTTAGAACTTTATCTAAATGTTTTTTCAAACAATATTTTATAATAATATCCAATGATACATTTCGATTAATTTTATCAATATTTGAAATACTCATGGAAAATGTGTCCATTGTAGACCAATCCAATATTTGAAATTCTTATGGAAAAATGTGCCCGTTGTAGACAAATCCAATATTTGAAATTCTTATGGAAAATGTGCCCATTGTAGACCAATCCAATATTTGAAATTCTTATGGAAAAATGTCCCCATTGAAGAGCAATCAAATATTTGAAATGTTTATTGAAAAATGTCCCCATTGTAGACCAATCCAATATTTGAAATTCTTATGGAAAAATTTCCCCATTGAAGAGCAATCAAATATTTGAAATACTTATGGAAAAATGTGCCCATTGAAAAGCAATCTAATATTTGAAATTCTTATGGAAAAATGTGCCCATTGTTGACCAATCCAATATTTGAAATTTTCATGGAAAAATGTCCACATTCAAGACCAATCCAATATTTGAAATACTTATGTAAAAATGTGCCCATTGTAGACCAATCCAATATTTGAAATTCTCATGGAAAAAGTCCCTATTCAAGAGCAATCCAATATTTGAAATACTTATGGAAAAATGTGTCCATTGTAGACCAATCCAATATTTGAAATTCTCATGGAAAAAGTCCCCATTCAAGAGCAATCAAATATTTGAAATTCTCATGGAAAAGTCCCCATTCAAGAGCAATCCAATATTTGAAATACTTATGGAAAAATGTGTCCATTGTAGATCAATCCAATATTTGAAATTCTCATGGAAAAATGTCCCCATTGTAGAGCAATCCAATATTTGAAATACTTATGGAAAAATGTGCCCATTGTAGAGCAATCCAATATTTGAAATACTTATGGAAAATGTGCCCATTGTAGAGCAATCCAATATTTGAAATACTTATGGAAAATGTGCCCATTGTAGAGCAATCCAATATTTGAAATACTTA